AAAGTGTAAACCCGATCCCAAAACCCAGGCCCAAAAGCATTGCTGTTTGGAAACCCTTGACCCGGCATGCCAGGAACTCTTCGAGGGAAATCTTCATATTACTGTTGTACCTTTTTTTAGGATTTCTCCCACCCATCTGGAAAGGAAAATGTTGAAATAATTTGGGCAAAAGAAACGTTCTCACACCTTTCGCAGGGGAACGGACTAAAAAGCACTTAAGTGCCTTGGCCAGGACTCGGGTTTTTAATTGAAGTGCAGTCCAGAGTCCTTGTGTGTGTGTGTGTCGTTTTTCAAGCAGGTGTAAAGTTAAATCATAAAATGAAATTAAAATAAACCAAAGCCAAACGTAATGAAGTACGGAAACACTCCACAAAAAAGGAAAGAAAAGGATTAAGCGTGGGCTAACTCGACATCCCAAAGGGTTTCCGGTTGCTTCCCCTGGTGCCCATAATTAGCTGCAAGTTGGCTAACAAATTTTCCGAGAAATTTTTCTACAATTTTTTTCGACTACATTTTTTTACGAAAGTAACATTTTGTTATTGAAATATTAATGAATCCATGCCTAGAACATTGACACAAGGACTCGATGGGGCAGGACAGAGGCGTGTATTGTAAAATCTTATTTTAGCACAAAGATGTTTGGACGCGTAAAATAATTCATGAATTATATGATTATTGAATTAAACCTACCTTGCAAAAAGATAAAGTAAATAAAAGTATTAATACTTCGCATGTTAATATTTTAAGGAGCTTATAGTATAAACACCATTATTTTAATTATTTATCAATAGTTCCAAGCGTATTAAACTGTCCTGAATCAAAACTCAACCCCTTTTTCAACACATAACGCTTTATAATGCATACGCCACTGCCGACAGTCTGTGCAAACGTTTTGTCATATTACAATATAATTTATTAAAATTCTTATTTGCAGCGCAAAGGACAGCAGGAGAAGGATAGCAAGAGTTGGCCAGAAAGAGACAGCTGAAGAGGACTTGGCTATAAAAACAAAAGCGCCTCGTTAGTGTTGAATTTTTAATAAAAAGCCGCACATGATACCGAGTCAAAAAGCAAATTACAATATTCCTTCTATAATTTGTTATAATGAGGCACATTTCTCGCTATCTCATCCTTCTTTGCATTTTGATATTTTATGTGTGTGTGTAATTGCCTTTCGGTGGGCATTAAATAGATAATAACCCGGCAAGCCTCGGTTTTTGGAGCTGTCCCTTTCACATTTGCATATAGAAAACGCAATCAAAACGCCAGAAAGTCAACAAAACCGCTAAGTAAACTCAAACAGAATGGTCAGTGGAAAGTTGGGAGGAGGGGGCATGGGGGTAGGGGAAAACCCACCTGAAAATCCGAACATTTCATTTCGATGGCGACGCATTTGTTTGAACTCCAGCCAAATGCACACGCCCCCTTACAGAAACACATACGTGCACCCGTATATACACGACATCCGCCGACATTCAGTTCCGGTATTCGGTGTTTGTTTTTGCGGTTACGCCTCCGGAATCGACTGCCGGAATTGGGTGGGTCAGCGCCTATAAATGCTGGGGTCAGCAGATTGCGCATACGACTGATGGGCACATATAAACATTCGTTAATTTTTCAGGGGTATCTCTTCCAAACATAAAAACATTAAAATCAAATTTTCAAATTCCCCATGATTAAATATTTCTAATTATATGTTTTCCCCAGAATTTGATTCTTGATTTGCTGATAAGTAAATCGAAAATACTGTTGTTATCAAATTCCGAAAAATTTCCCATTGGGGAATTAAAAAAAAAAACTAAACGAAACTGGAAACATATCAAGATGTAATTCCACACAAATAACAGAAAAGTGAAGTTAAATATTAAAGCAAAATTATAAACAAGCGAAATTAAAAACTTGTTAGCAAGCAGACAAGAAGTATAAAATCAATGGGCGCATCAATGCAGCAAACACAAAGTAAAAATTAAATTAAATAAAACACAAGAAAGACAAAAAAAAAACTCATTAATAACTTGAATTTTAATAAATAAACAGTTCATAATTAGACTATACAAAATCATGGATTGGGGACTTTTGTGAATGAACTCCCAATTGCCTGGAAGCTAGACAAACTCACGCTTCAAAAAAGCTCTCCCGCTAACAAATTCCACAACAAAATCTAACATACGTAACCCAAAGCGGAAAAAACTAAATGAAACTGCAAACATATCAAGATGGAATTACAAGCAAATCCAAAAAAACAACAAAATAAATGACCCATAAAAGTCAAGTTAAATATTAAAGCGAAATTATGAGCAATCAGAGAACTTTTAAGCAGACACAATATAAACAAGAAAGGAAAGCTAACTTCGGGCGGAGCCGAAGTTGATATACCCTTGCAGAATACTCTGTAAATTATATTCTCCAAAATTATTCATATGATGCATTCTTAATACTCATAAAAAATCCGAACTTCCTAACTTTAACAACAACAAAGTTATGGCATTTCCAATCGTTCAGTTATATGGCAGCTATAGGATATAGTCGGCCGATCCTTATGAAATTTGATAGGTCGGATTGATTGGCCAAAAATAAAATCCATAGAAAATCCCAACTTCCTAACTTTACAAACACCAAAGTTATGGCATTTCCGATCAATCAGTTATATGGCAGCTATAGGATATAGTCGGCCGATCCTTATGAAATTTGGTAGGTCGGATTGATTGGCCAAAAATAAAATCCATAGAAAATCCCAACTTCCTAACTTAACAAACACCAAAGTTATGGCATTTCCGATCATTCAGTTATATGGCAGCTATAGGATATAGTCGGCCGATCCTTATGAAATTTGGTGGGTCGGATTGATTGGCCAAATATAAAACCCATAGAAAATCCCAACTTTCTAACTTTACAAACACCAAAGTTATGGCATTTCCGATCAATCAGTTATATGGCAGCTATAGGATATAGTCGGCCGATCCTTATGAAATTTGGTAGGTTGGATTGATTGGCCAAATATAAAACCCATAGAAAATCCCAACTTCCTAACTTTACAAACACGAAAGTTATGGCATTTCCGATCAATCAGTTATATGGCAGCTATAGGATATAGTCGGCCGATCCCGGCCGTTCCGACTTATATACTGCGTGCAAAGGAAAGAAGGGTGTGTGCAAAGTTTCAATCCGATAGCTTTAAAACTGAGAGACTAGTTTGCGTAGAAACAGACAGACGGACAGACGGACAGACAGACGGACAGACGGACAGACGGACATGGCTATATCAACTCAGGAGGTGATCCTGATCAAGAATATATATACTTTATAGGGTCGGAGATGTCTCCTTCACTGCGTTGCACACTTTTGACCAAAATTATAATACCCTCTGCAAGGGTATAAAAACCAGTGACCACATAAAAGTGAAGTTAAATATTAAAGCGAAATTATAAACAAGCGAAATTAAAAATTTTTTCGCAAGCAGACACGAAGTATAAAATCAATAAGCGCATCAATGCAGCAAACACAAATTACAAATAAAATAAAACACAAGAAAGACACAACAAAAAAAAACAAAAACTCTTTAGCTAGTACCGTAACTTGAATTTTAATAAATAAACAGTTCATAATTAGACCATTTAAAATAATGTACTGACAAATAACTTACTGTCTCGATTGATAATTAAAAATCATTAGTGTTTTGTGCCAAAATGCTAATCCTGCCTTTACAGCTAATTCGAGTCAGAAGAATTTTTCCTATTGTTTTTTCCAATCCAAAGCACAACAATTTCCGCCGAAATCTTTCAAGCTCGAAGAAAATTAGCCCCAACAAATGATGCAGGAAGGAAAAACCGAAATGCCAGGAACAGGCAATTAAAGAGCAACCAATAGAGCAACCCCCACCCAAATCCCAAAATCCCCCGACTTTCGGGACGGGCAGCCAAGCAAACGGAAAATTCATTACAAACAAATTAACAAATAAATCAAATTTCAATACGAAAATTTGTTTGCGAAAACAATTTTGAGACGGGTTGGTAAGTTCATGGGATAAAACTGGGGGGATATATACAAATCGCATGCCACGCCCTAACGCGGAAACCCAGAAAAGAGGGCGGGAATGGGGAAAATGTAGAATCCATTTGACTGACAGGCGGCAAATCGTCTGAAGCCCAGCCAGCGCACTTGAGAAATCATTTATCTAAATTAATTCCTGTCGTTTACATTTGCCAGAAACAAAGAGGGGGTGATTTCAGGATGGGCCGGAGATTTTCTGTGGGGTAAGTTGGTTTTAAATGCGAACGAAAACAAAAATCAAAGATTAAGACAAACATTTACTACTTTGCGGATTGGGGGATTCTGTGGATGAACTGCCAATTGCCTGGAAGCTAGACAAGCTCACGCCTCAAAAATGCTCTCCCACTGATAAATGACATGAATGCGCATTTCCGTCAACATCGCGTTAATAACTCATTTTGAAATTCCACAACAAAATCTAACATACGTAACCCAAAGCGGAAAAAAACCGTAGAAACAATTAAAATTGTTCTTAGTCTGAAATGGCTACATTTTCAACCCTTTCAACGGATCCTAAACTGGGGTTACCCCCGTATTTTAAACGCAACGGGCGGTTTTCGTCTGAGGAAAAGTTTTGATACACCAAAATCGCGAGGGAAACGCGCGGTTTTTGACGTTAAGCTTTCGGAAAGATGAAAAGTTCTACGGAGAAAGAGAGTTAACCCCTTACAACTATATTTAGTACTCGAATGAGAGGTAGAGTGAGAGAGAGTTACAACTGCTGTTGGAATAATTGGATCTGTCAAAAGCAGCAATTATAAGACCTAAGCCTCTCTATAAATGATAAATCAAATGGAATATTTGATTACATATTTCATTTATAAGCCAGTTTAAGTGTTATTATTTAAATGCCTGACAATAGTGTTGAATCACGTTATAGGGTGAATAAAGTTGAATAACATGGAAATAATATAGCTATGTATGTTCACTACGTTCTATAATTTATACGAATTATTTATTACAATATAAAACAAATAATTCAAATGATATGTATAAACAAAATGTATATATAACAAATTCTAGGATATTAAAATTATGTTGAAACATTTCATGGATTTTACAAATCTAAGTGTAATAACATTTCATACGTTTTAATGTTAGCTTTTTATTACTGTATATATGTATTATACATATGTGTGACAACTTCTAGGAACTTTGTATACCTATTAAATATTAAGTTAAGTACATTATTTGGCATTAATAGACTCTGAAAAATTCAATTATCTCTGATTCCTTACTAGGCTAACCAAAACGACTAATTAATTCCCCTTAACATGTTTTGATGTGGCGATTCCAAGAACACCTTATTTACAAATTCTGGAGTCTTGCGAGCATAGGCTACAACCAGTTTATAGGGAGATAAAAACTTTTGATCCTCATTCTTTTCGCCTTGCTGCAAATTCATGGATATCACAATGTCTACGAAATCGTCCAGGAATTCTTCGTGCAATGTGGAAGGCATGCGCTCCAGAAAAGGACAAATGGCTTTCACATTATCTTTAAATCAAAAATATTAAAATTTATTTGACGGCTATGAAATGTTAATATATTTTTTCTCACCTTTTAGAGTCCTGACACCTTCGTAGACAAATACTTCATTCCGGATTTCCACATTGTGTTGTATGAAACCCACATCGTTCAGCAACTTGCTGAATTCCTCGCCGGGATTTACACTATAGTGTAACGGCGATATAAATTGCTCCACATCCTGCATATAAGCCGACCACTTTTCGTTTAATTTAAGAATCTTGTAGACTTCGTAGACTGGATTTGAGGCCAAGAAGGCCAGAAGACAGTCACCTCCTTCGGGTTTGAGAAGATTGTATATATTGCCGAGGGCTCCCTTCAGGTTTTGCACCCAGTGCAGGCAGTAGAACGAGGTGACATGGTCGAATCTGCCACTCAGCTCCTCTGGCAGCCTCTCGCAGCCTATGTCCAGAACTTGGAACCTGGTGCGTTCCTCCCCCTGATAATGCTTGCTGGCATAGCCCACCATCTGGCTGGAGATGTCGGTGCCCACTAGTTGGCCTCGTATCGGGAGCAGGGGCTTTACGAAATCCATGAGCACATTTCCGGATCCTGTACCCACATCCAAGAGGGCATCCTCACCATCGGATCGCCACTGCAAAGTGGATGCAAACTCGTCCAGAATCAATTTGGCATCGTGCCGTTGCACCTGGTTGGCGTGCTGATATAGAGAGGCCTGGTTCATGTCGACAACTGATTGACGATTGGGGCCAATCTCCAGCTTTATATAGGGCTCGGTCGTGATGTCATCAGTCGCAGATTCTAATTTTTTCTCTCTCATAAAATATCTCTCTCCAGTTTATGACGTCGAGCTAATTACGTACCGAGTATTATTTATTTTTAAAGCTTTGTTTCGTGAAGGGGAAAGCGATAAAAAATGAGAGAGCTGTTAACAGCTAGGGTATACACTGGTTCACAAAATTTTTTAACGAAAAATGTGGTATCACATTGAAATATATTTTTTTCAAACTAAGATACTACAGATTTTAAATTGTAAATTTGTTGAATATTAAGGCTTTAAAAATTAAATACTTATTAAAATTTGAATTAAATTTGTATAAATTTCCAAATATTCAGAGTTGTCCAAAAAATCTGTTTCAACCAAATTAAACCAAAAGTCAAATAAAAAGATATCAAAATAAAGTTCAGAGAATAAATTATGATAAAATAAATAAAATGTAATTAATTTTTTTAAAAATTTGTACTGAATTTAAACAAAATGAAAATGTAACATATACACCTAAATTACATTTTTATTTAATTATAAAAATCTATTCAATAATAATAAATTACTTATTTAATTTCATACATACAGTTTTAAGTTAACCAACGCTCCAATAAAAAAATGCCAACAAACCTCGTGCTCATTTTTATCTTCGGAAATCGGGCATGGAAAGCTCAAGTTCTAGGTCAATAGAGCTTAGCTAATGCTTCCTTCATAGAATTATTATGACTTGAAGTACGTAACCAGGCATAGACATGCAAATTGTAAGTGAACTTGAGCACACCCCTGGAAGTAAATTCCACACGAAATTTACATAATTTTCATGACCAGTGTACCAGCCTCCAATTGTACAATGGAGATAAGGCAGAACAAATGAATGAGAATGCCCGAAAAATACTTATAATTTTCGGATAGCCCGAAAGTGCAGAAGTATAATATTTTTGAGGTACATTCAACTCAAAAAAAGAAACATTTCCAAAACTAAAGTTAGTTCAACGACCTACCCTAAGAAAGATTTGAAAATAGTGCCAGAGAAATGACTCTATTTTTGGATATCCTATCAATAATGATATTTCCAACTAGAAATAGACATAGACATTTACTCCGTTTGTGTGGGAGACACCCTTCTCCCCCATATAACGGTAAATATAAATTCATTAAAAACATTCCATTTAGCTGCAAATTACATTTGTGTAATTGCTGCCAGGCCCAGAAAGCGAAGCTCATGATATTTCAAATATTTCACATATGAGCAGAACGGCCGTTTGATGTCCCTGGGATATGAATACATATATTCGACTCCACCTCACGTTCACATTCTGCATTCTCCAACACTCGGCACATCACATCCATATAAATTCATTTGCCAAAAGTGACATCAAAAGCCGTCGCCCGGTTTCTGTTTCTGGCTTAATGTGTGTGGGCGTTACGGCTGGTTAATTGCATTTGTCGCAGACTCTTTTTGGGAATATAGCAAAAGGCAAAAGGGGTTATTCGGCTTGCAATTACCGAGAGCTGTCGATTGGCTCGAGCTGTCACAGAGCCACGGAAATCAATTAAATCGGACGAACCAAACCGAAACGAACGGAGCCGAGGTTTCGGATTTTGTTGGGAGTAGGTTGAGTTTCTTGGCTAAGGGTATTTTAATGCATTTATTGGGCATAATCCAATTATTTTTGATGAGAAGGGAGCAAGAAGTAAAGTTAGAAAGGTATTAACCATATATAAAACGTATTGGTTTGTCAAACGACAATTTATTGTGACATTATCGAATAGTATAGCTCAAAACTGGCAAAAAAACAATATTATTTTTTATTCAATTCTAATCGTTATCAACTTTTGTTTTTTGGGCAAAACCAGCACATTAGAGCACTGTTGCGACGACACTTCTCCCAGAGATTGCGAAATTTAGAACAATGCTTTTTTAATGGCAATTATTTCTTGGGAAAAAATCCCTTATCAAGCAATAAATAAATATTTTAATATTTCGCGTTAAAGGCACGAAATTTCTAATAAAACATATTTTTTCAGAGTAAATTTGTATTATGCAAATCAAATCAAATGTGTAAAATATGAGGAAAAAACTTACTTCTTTGGTAACTACCTTAGGCACTTTACAAAACTTAGCTACGTTCGTATTTTACTAACATCGTACTATAGTAATCTTAAGCCAATTAAGTCAGCTCACGCCAACTTTATCAACCCCCTTTGAGAATAAACAACAGAAGGAATAAAGAACCAAAAAGGTAAAGTAAACAGCATCTTATAGTTTTTTATGTGATTTCTAATGGATTCACGAACACTTTTAAGCCAACCCATCACCCACTGAACATCCCTTAACCTCCAACTCCACCACCTTTGCACTCCTTCCCAGAAAATCATTCGCACACACTTGAAAACTATTTAAAGTTTATCTAACTGAACAGAAGACCGTAGAAGTCGGTTCTGGTTATTTGTACATGTGGTATGGGGGTTGGCAGTAGGAACAAGAACGACTTTTGCATATGTTGAAATATCAAAATAACAAACAAAGCTAGAAAATCTTATCGAGAGGAAAGGGTTAAGAGTGAGATGCGGTTCTTCACGGGTGGGGAAATGAGTTTTTAATGTCCCAAAGGGGAATACTTTGAGAGCTCTAGATAGCCACACATGCACACAAACAAATATTAATATTATTTGATTTAATTTAATTATGCAATTTTTATATTCAATACACCGGTACAATATTTTACAGAACTATCATTTTTAACTTTAAAAAATATAATATTTTTATTGAAGTTTATAGAACTGTATAGAAATCAAAAGAGTAAATTTTTCTGAATTATATTATTTTAATAAAATAATACTTAAAATAGTTTCAAATTGGTAAAAAAAAATTTTGGAAACATGAATTCGTTTGCCTGTTAGTGTTATAGTTGGAAAATCGTAATTTTTTGTACCGAAATGTATAAGAACAAATTATGAAATAAAAATACTTCAGTGCATTTATTATTATTATTATTTATTATTATTATTATTCATTAATTTTTCCAATATTCCATTTACAATCCCAGATTATCTGTAGTTAAAAATCAGCAGTTTCTGTTTAATCCACTCCGCGAACATAGCCACATTTGTGTACGTTCCAGGGACATTTTCCTTGCCGCACTCGATGCCCCAGTTCACGATGCCAACCTGCACGTAGGTATTCGAATTGTGACCTCCGATGGGGCAGAACAAGGCTGATCCGCCGTCGCCGATGCAGGCGTCCTGGTTAAGCTCTGCTCCGGCACAAATTAAACTCTTGGGAAGATTATACTCCCAGCCCAGCTCTTCGGTTTGCTTCAAGCGATGCTCACATGTTCTTGTGTTCACCAGGGGTAAGTTGATTTTCTTCAGAATGGCGGAATTGTTTCGATCCGTGAATTTCGTCCTCCCCCAACCGGCAACAATGCAGCCATATTCTTCGAACGAGCTTTTGATGCTAGGCAAGCAGATAGTTGCGATTTGGTACTTCAACTGGAACTTTGATTTCAAAAAGAGAAGGGCCAAGTTGTTGGCCCCGGTGGTAAAATGGAAATCTTCATGAGACACTATCTTCTCCACAAGGCGCTCTTCATACGGGAACGGTTCTCTTTCTGAGTTCATGTCCCATTCCGCTGCCCTGACTACCATTTTCGTGGCGGACGTATCCATTAAGGGGTCAGCTACTGTAAGGACAACTCCAGGGGCAATCAGGGAACCGCCAACCAAGTATTCTCCTTCGTAGAACACAGCCACAACCCAAGGAAATTCAGCAGGCGTCGCTTGGTTCCCGGTGACCTTCCATTGATTATTTGCATTTCTCATCCCGCACTGTTGATCTTGTTTTTTAGGTTGCTTCGTTGTCGAAGTAGCATTCAAAGATCTATCTATCGCATAAACATTCTGTGAATATTAATAAAATACTTATCATTAAATCTTTCGCACAAAATTGATTTGATGACTTACCTCACTGCGTTTTACGCAACAAATTTTACCGGGAAGGCACTTATTCCCGCGGTAATTAAAATTTGGTGCCCGTTGTAAGCACTCCTGCTCAGAAACACATTGATATGTACAGGCATCACCCAAAAGTACGAATCCTAAGAGAAAAGCTCCGAATGACCAAAATCGTCCCATGATTCAAGAAGATTGACTGGCAAATAATTGCGCTGCCTTAATTTATACCTTCAAATCACTTAAGTACAGGCTTATCAGTTAAAAAGAACAATTAAATTAAACTTGCATTATCAGTTGTGGGTCAATGGTTACATCCTGAGATTACGAAAAAGATGACGATACGTAAGCCAAGCAAAAAGCTATCATACATATATATTATTGAAAAAAAAATACAAAAAATAGGCAAAACTATGGTAAGAGGTTAAATTGCAAACGAATCAAAGAACTTTAAAATATCAAATTTTACTTTATCTTAGCAACCTATATAATTAGTATTGAAAGTGTGTAAAAAAAACTATCCTCTTATTTTTAATATATTTTCAAGATAAAACTATCGTCCTTTTTTTAATATATTTTTAAGATAAAACTATCCTACTATTTTTAAGATTAAAACTATCCTACTATTTTTAAGATTAAAACTTAAAAGTAGATTAAAATTAATAGGGTAGTTTTATTTACACATTTTCAATACTAATTAGATTGTTTGCTAAGATAAATTGAAAATGGATATCTTAACCTTTAATAATTATTGTACTATTTTGAACTGTGTATAAGCTATGCGAGAAGAATGGGCAATGCGGATTTAAAATACAAAGTAAACGGCGATTTGTTGTTATTGATTAGAGCGTGCAGACCCAGACAAACATATGAGCTCATCCTTGGCTTCATCTTCTCGGTTTGCAAAAGGCGATTTTCTTCTCTCCCAAGACGACGATGCCCGCAAACTTGATGAGTATTTAAAAGTTTTCCATTGTGTGTTTGATGAATATTTAATTAAGCATAAAAGAAGCGGAGCAAGAATGGGAAAAACTTCCGCAAAGGGTTGCTTCTGTTTCACTGTGTTTTTCTTTCGTTTTTCATTTCCTTTCGCCGAAAACATCCTTTCCCATTTTCCCCAGCATCGTGTGGCGAGCTTAGAGAGTGCAAAAGAATAAAACAAAATCAATTAACGCTTCCCTGTTCCGTTTTTTTGCTTTTAGCTGGTTGTTATTTTCGAATACTCTTTCTATAAGGAAATAATATTTTTTGGCGAGCAATAAGTTCAACATTTTTTTTTCATTCAAAAATAATGCTTATGAAGTAAAAAAATAATATGCTATACAAATGTAATAGTGAAAATAAAACCAGTCTATTTTTTTTTATACAAAAAACATTTATGAATCGACAAAGCTTAAGATGCCTTTTAAAAATAAATAGACAAATATTAGATATAAGTTTAAAATTAAAACGTAACATATTTGAAGTAAAATAAATTTCTGTTTATTTTCTACCCATTTGTATGTTTGACCTTTTTCTCAGTTTTTTATAAAAAACATTAATAAATCAAGTAAGCTGACTTGCAAAAACATTTAAAATCTCGATTTACCATTAACATTAGAGTACCCAACATTCATGTATCAGCAATTTCAAGGTGCTCTTTGTCTGTTTACATAATATTTATTATAAGTATTTTACAAGTTGTAAGCAAAAGGCCAGGCTCAAAAGAGCAGCGAAAATAATTAAATAGTAAAGAAGGCAGCCCGCCAAAGAAGCCCTCGACCCCCACCCGAAAATCCAGCCCACTCAACCCTTTGTGCCAAACACATTTCTTTTTTTCGAAAGTCGGGGGCCCGAAGAAGCCCACAAATAGCCAAAAGCTAGCGAGTGTTGATGGCAGCCCAACGAAATCCCTCCACATTTTATATATATATGCATATTCCTTCTTATATTAATTTGTTGTTCTTTTTTTTTCGATTTTTTGCGGGCGTTGGGAAAATTAATTAAAAGATAAATGAATGAACGAACGTTGGGATAATGAGCCCCTAAGCTGATTTTGCGCTTAAAAGTATGCAATGGGAAAAAATTGTCGAGCTGCCCGAGCATGGCATTCAATAACAATTTCCACCCCATTGCCACGCCCACCATTGCTATACAGGTATTTCGCCCCCACCGCTCCACAGCAACAAAGAAAGCAAGAACTTGCAATTTTTTTGTCGCATTTTTTTGTTGTTTATATTTTATTTTCGTTTAATATCGACAAAGCGCCAACGGAAAAGAAATCAGAGGGGCGTGGTGAAGCAGTAAAAAGAGCAACAGAGAAAAATGGTAAAATTTTCTTTAACGTAACAAAATATTTTTATAAAATAATCAAGTTTTCCTTTTGCTCTGTTTTGTTTGCTGCAAATTATTTTTAGCTTGGTGGAAAGCGGACGAGGAAGCTGTAGAGCGTTTTATGTGTTCGGGTGTAAATTAAAATCATCCGCATTGCGCTTTTTTATAATAAGCGAATGGTGGATGGTGGAAACTCAATATTGAAAGATAGAAATAAAAATTAATTAATAATGGCAAAATATTTCAATGGTAAGCTCACAAAAGGACAGCAAGAATCGATGATTAAAGAAAACCATTTTGTTGGGTAAGGGAAACCCAAAAGAAATTCGTAAAATGATATTCTCCTCAAATTTTCTTTTGACTCTCTTTTGGAAAAGGTTCATATTTTGATGCAAGCAAATTGGCATTTACCTTAATAGTTAAAAATTAATACATTTTTTAGTAATTAATGGTTATTTCTTTATAGAGGGATTTCCAACTTTTGTATTTCATCTTACAGTTTTTACAGTTCGACCCGTTTTTTAGAATTTCTTTTTTTTAGCTTAAAATTAAATCTTAAACTTAAACTAGTAAACTAGTAAACTGGTAAACTTTACTTAGTAATTTTTTAAGCTCAAGATACGGTTTCAATTACGAATTTGCTTTGTCACAAGCCATGACCTTATCCCAGAGAGACTGAAAGTCAAATTTATTGAAAAGCAACCCCCTAACCGCAAAACATTTTAACTCCCATTCAACGCCAAGTGCTTAACTATATGAATATCTCCCCTTCTTTGAAGAACAAACGAAGACAAGGACAAGAAGAGGGAACACTATCAAAAGTCAATTACAATGCAATTATTGTTTGCCCCTGCCAGTGGAAAAACAGAAAACATTTTCAAAAGCCATTGAAAACTTTAATTGAAAATATCAAATTATTTTCGAGTTAGCGTCAGCATAAAAAAGTCGAAAAACTCGTCTTGAGTTCGATGAGGTTTTAAGGAAAACCTGGGATATACATAACCAAAGATAGACTTGTGTGTATATAAACCATTAATTACGTAGCCAGATTGCAGTGTTCGGGGGAAAGAAAGTTGCCGCAGAGTCAAGAGTCAGGCTAAATTGTAATGAGTTGGCATTTTGTGAAACTCCCTGAGACACAGGCGAACCCCACTGAAATATCTCGTTGTAAAGTAGCTGAAATGACATTAAAAAGGCAAAACCAAGCAGAAAGGATATACACATCCTTATGGACACTAACCAGCCAGAAGAAGGGCACACACACATGGGGTTTAGCCCGAGTTGGGGATAATTCTTCTTCAACCCTCTGCCCATCGTTTCATAGTTTACAATCTTATTATCTTTGCTTGGCATCTCAAGGCCCACACACACACACACATTTTCCTAAGGCAATTAAAAATCTTCACACTGTCGTCGATGTCCTTTTCCTGCTTTTCCTCAGTTTTTGTCTGTTTTGTTATCCCCTTGGCCCAACTTGATTTTGTTTATTAAACATATTTTGCATAAAATTCACTTTATTTGCAGTTTATTTCGTAAGAAAATTATAAGGCTCTTCACTATCCCCCTTTTCGTGTGACACGCTTGATAGTTTTTCCTCTGGGGGAGAATTGTGTTTTAGTGGAGGGATAGTGTACCTTATTCTTTGATTATGTTTGATCACGTTTTGTTGGAAAGTTTATTTGCTGGTAAGAGGGGATTGTTTGCCTTGTATTTTAGTAGTTTGAGGTGCATTTTTAAGACTCGATGAGATATAGTTCGACGATTTTGGTCATGGGTGCACTTTGGGGATTAAAGAAACATCGGTCTTAAATGGATATCTTTCAAGCAATCGTTTTTTATTTGAAGTCTATAATGTTTTATGTTTAATGTTTTAACTATTATAAAATTAAGACAATTGTAAACATCAATTCAGAAGTATTTTTTAATATTTACTGCATACTTTTTCTTGAAGCTTGTCTAAGCAGAAGCTATATTTTTTTAAGCAAATTAACTCCAAAATATTTATCTCCGTAATCCCATCACCCCCGTTCATCAAATATTCCCTTTTTGGCCACCCCGCACCAACATTTCACGCTATTCTTATCTAACACATTCACTTCAACATATTCCTCCAGCACCCCGAATGCAGTCACACATGAAAATCCCATAAAAATTGACAATAATAAGCCACATATCATCATTTCACTCTCCACACATATGCACAGACGTACGTTCCACTCGATAAGAATTCAGCAAGGCCTGCAAATCAACCAGAAATCGAAGGCTACTCCGCAGACACTGCCACCCTTCCGAAACCAAAAGCCGAATGATGAAGAAAATCCCATAAAAAACAGTTCAATGATATAGAAAAATAGATAAAGCTAAATTTGCAAAAATAACAACAAAGGGACTCGAGAAATGACAGGGGAAATGGCAAATGGAAAACGCGTGGCAGCGAATCAACTTTAAACTAAGCCGCACAAGGCACTTGAGAATCTAAAAAAAGAATCGAAGGGCACTCTGATCTCCGTGGTGTTGTCAAGTGAATAATGGGACAAATCCGCAGAGTAAATATGACACGTTGCAAAATGGCATTCGATGATAAAAAAAAGGAATCTCAGGGTTCACAACCACACTCGAAAACATGAACAGAAAATTGGCATAAAAAGGTAATGTACAGACTATATTTTTCAGATATAACATTTCGTAATTGTTTGTTTCTTGTAAAATGTTTTTCCAAATTTTGAATACATCATTAAAAAAAATATGTTTCATCTAGTCAAAAATTATGGTCTTAATATTTAAAATATAAGGCGAAAAGAAAATAAAACCATTATAAGCAACAAGAGATTCCTTCTTTTTTGTTAGTACAAAACAAAAAAAGGCAACCCATAAAAATTGTCAAAAAAATCTTAATATAATAAGTTAAAAATAGCATCGTAAATCATTTTTAAAAACTTTTTATATCAAAATTGAACACAAAAAATCCTCCTTTTTGTGAGTGCACTCACTCATAAAAGCCCCACATCTAGAAGGTTGATGTCCCTGACAGACGCACATCCTTCGGGAAAGGTGTTTTGACAGGGCGTCAGGGCAAGTAAGAAGTGCAGACACAACAACAGGAATAACAACAACCAGAAGCAGTGGCAACAAGGGGTTAATATTTACGCCGCACCCTTACCGTAGCATATCAATAAAAAGATTGCTCCGCTGGGCATACGAAATGTTTGTTTGATAAGACAGTGTGGAGAAGTCTGTGCACTGAACGAATTTACAACAACGAAAAAGAGAGTATTGCTTTTGAAACATTGTTTTCCTTAAGTCAATTATATTAATATTTAAAATATATAAGATTTACCTTTTTTTAAGTTACAACTTTGACTGTGCTAAATTTTAAGACTCACAGCATTTGGTTGGTGCCTTCTAAGAATTTTTTTAAGTGTTGTACATTTTTTCGGGGGGCAGTTTTTTTCCCCACTGAACTTAATACAAATATTACGCCTTTTTATGCTGAAAGCAGAAAGTGCAAGCCAAATGCGGCATAAACATTACTTTTGGAAAAAAGGGTTAGCGTCACCCACAATTTTTTCACTCCCCCCAAGAAGTTATGACTTTGTGTCATTGAATCTTTATGTGTGCATTCGATATGCATTAAAATTCAATAATCATAAAAATAACACACTGAATAAGGGAAAATCCAGCCCCCGACTGGACGACTCCCCCCAATTAACCCTTGAATGTAAGAAAAGGAAATTGTTTGCCTCTGTCTCTCTGTGGCAATATGAACGTCACATAAATCTTGGCAACACTACTACTAAGTCGCTATTAAGTAAAATTGACCACATATTTTATCTCATATGCGCACGCAACGAACGTAGACCAAAAAGGGGAAGGGTCAGGGTTTATCGGGGAGTTGGGCAGTGGGCAGTGCTGGTAGCCAAAACAATAGGCAAGTAAATTAAACCAAAGCTCCAAGAAATCACAAATTAAATACTTTTAGGAAAAAAAAACAAAAGAGAATTTTGGTGTGGAGCAACAATAACACACTATACTTAATAATATTAAAGGACACAACTTTAATTTTGTTATTGAAATATTTAAGGTATTGTAAATATGTTTATAAATATGTATTGTTTATAGCAATCAAAGTTTTGTTAAATATTTTTTGCTTTAAATAAGTTCTGATCAACGCTTTAGTTTAGCAGGGAACAATATGTCGATCATGTACAAAGACAAGTGCGCGACGAAGTACTATTTTCTTTGCCAATCAGGGGAAGAAAATTAATAAAAGTAAATATCCAAAATTAAAATGGAAAAATATTAAACTGTATTATCTTTAAGGGAATGTAGGTACACGGAAAGTCGAGGAAATTATTAAAATAGTTTAGTTATTAAATTTGTTTATTATTTCAAACAAAGGCATTTAACAATTTTAAAATTCCCTCCAAAAGAAAAAGGGACTGCCCACAAATGATTAAGATTTTTTCTCGAATCTGGCAGCTCTATGGTATTTTTTAGTATTATCCAAAAATACCAATAGCTATTAATAAAACATATCGATAGGGCGCTTAAACTTACGGGACATTTTTATTTGCAACAATTTCGTAGACCCTTTGTATTTCTTGCATTTTCAAAATAGATTTTAAAAAAATATTATTTTAAGCAAAAAAACACTGCTTTTCTACCATTTATTTATCTATCAAGCTTTCACTAAAAAACGTAGGACTCTGGTAGTCATTTTAACTGGCAAACTTATTTCGATTAACAAATCTTTAATCTAAATGTGTATTTAAATATATAATTTTTGGTTCGCGCCGTTTTAATCCTAGAGATGGAAAATTTGTTCACGAGGAAGGTTGCTTATCGATAGTCACGACCGCAGCAAAGAGCCCATTGTTTTATCGCGAGTACGCCGCATTCAGTGACGTGTACTCTTTTTTTTAGCAAAATAAAAGCCGCATCGCATCTGTTCTGTACACTTAGTTTAGTTAAAGAAGACAAGCCGCGTTGATTAAGAAATTCGTCAGATAAACCCAGGGCGCCAGAGACACGTAAGCTGCTAAAAGAGAAACAACAACAACAAAGATGAGGCAACTTGGTAAGTTCTATAGCTGAAAATTGTTAATAATAAATTATGTTAATATTACCTATTTCAACGCCCCCACAGCGAGCATATTGTTGCTGGCTTTTGTTGTGGCCAAGGCTAATGCCTTTTATTCGCCCACCGATGGCGTTGTGGAGCTGACGCCCTCGAATTTCGACCGAGAGGTACTGAAAGACGACGCCATCTGGATTGTGGAGTTCTATGCCCCGTGGTGTGGCCATTGCCAAAGTCTAGTTCCCGAGTACAAAAAGTTGGCCAAGGCTCTCAAAGGAGTCGTCAAAGTGGGTTCCGTAAATGCCGATGCGGATAGCACGTTAAGTGGCCAGTTTGGTGTACGTGGCTTTCCCACTATCAAGATCTTTGGAGCCAACAAGAAGTCTCCCACGGATTACAGTGGTCAAAGGACGGCGAAGGCCATTGCTGAGGCGGCTCTCGCGGAGGTCAAGAAGAAGGTGCAGGGTGTCCTGGGCGGCGGTGGATCCTCCGGAGGCTCCAGCAGCTCATCTGGCGATGAGGTCATCGAACTCACCGAAGACAACTTTGACAAACTGGTCCTAAACTCCGACGACATCTGGCTGGTGGAGTTCTTTGCCCCCTGGTGTGGTCACTGCAAGAATCTGGCACCAGAATGGGCCAAGGCCGCCAAGGAACTGAAGGGCAAGGTCAAGTTGGGCGCCCTGGATGCCACCGCCCATCAGAGCAAGGCCGCCGAATACAATGTCCGCGGTTATCCCACCATTAAGTTCTTCCCTGCCGGTTCAAAGCGCGCTAGCGATGCACAGGAGTACGATGGCGGACGCACAGCCTCTGATATTGTGTCCTGGGCCGGGGATAAGCATGTTGCCAATGTGCCAGCACCAGAACTTTTCGAGATTACCAACGAGTCCACTTTTGACACTGCTTGCGAGGGCAAACCGCTGTGCGTGGTCTCTGTGCTGCCACATATCCTGGACTGCGATGCCAAGTGCCGTAACAAGTTCTTGGACACACTCCGCACGCTGGGCGATAAGTTCAAACAGAAACAGTGGGGATGGGCCTGGGCTGAAGGTGGCCAGCAATTGGCTTTGGAGGAGTCCCTCGAAGTGGGCGGTTTCGGCTATCCCGCCATGGCTGTGGTCAACTTCAAGAAGATGAAATTCTCCGTGCTCAAAGGTTCCTTCTCGAAAGACGGCATCAATGAGTTCCTGCGCGACATCTCCTACGGTCGTGGACACACGGCACCAGTTCGCGGAGCCAAAAAACCGGCGATTGTTTCCGTGTCGGCATGGGATGGAAAAGATGGAGAACTGCCCACCGAGGAGGACATCGATCTAAGCGACATCGATCTGGATAAGGATGAGCTGTAAGGCTGTAAGAATGGGAGACCAAGACTGTGCGGCCCAAGCTCAAAATTCTACTTATTAAACTTTTGCATTCTGAATGATATTCATTAGTCAGCCAACGTATCTAAATATAAATAATTCATAGTTATCTATTAGCTTTTTCTACCATCCTCACATAGATCTAAACAAATTGAAACCAGCGAACATATGAACTATGTACCATAAAATGAATAAACTGTGCAACCAATTGTGTGAATTGTGGGCGTGTGTTAATCGCTTTCACGAAAAAGCGCGAGTAGTTGTTAATTGCTCAAATGCAATATTAAAATAGGCAATTCGGGATATATTTCATAATGTATACCATTTTGTTATGCATTTTAACATTTCTATATCAAATATTCATTATACATTTTGCATACTTTTCGAGATTTAAAATGACGCATCACTTTAATGTCTTTATTTTCTCAAAATTTTATAGTAATTCGAATGACTCATAAAAATTATTTTTTTTGTTTAAATTTTCAGTTCCTATTTATATTCCCAAAGTCTGGTTTATTTTAATGCTCATGATGAATACATAATTAACTTCATTCTACAAATCAACAGGTTGATTCAAAATTTACATATAAACCATTTCATATTAATATGTATTTTCTTTTCACCAGTGGTTACGGTAAAATCTTTTATTTTTTGTAAAAAATCGCATAAAAATGTCCAAAAAAGATTTGTATAGATAAAATTTGATAGGCTTAACTCTAGGTAACGTCTAAAAACGTATTTTGACACATTGTATAGAAGGATACTTATTTTCGTCTAAATGCACAAATTGAAAATTGCTTAAATGTATTCGTGGTGGCAGATTGGCGCTTATTCTATGATTGGCATGATATATTTATTAAGTACTTGGTTTCGACTTAAGTACAACCTGTGTGTTTGTAGGGACGGGGGATCGGCAAATTCGCGGCATCACAAAGAGTACGTCTGTTAATTCGATTCTGCATGCAAATTAGGCCGCAAGAGGGTTTACATATAAAAAGATTGCCAAATTCCTTGAGATTTCGAAAAAAACAAACGGGCAACGTGACTCAATTGCCACACTTTGGTTTTGTCCAAAAAAAGAAAACGAAGACAAAGCGGTGTGTAAACGGCTAAAACTACCTGCATAAAAAGAAATAAAAAGGGCCAAAGATGCACGAGGGACAGGGTAAAAAGGGTCGGAGGACAGGCCAAACTTGTTGAGTCTGGGATTAAGAGAAACAACAGATAAAGAAACGGTCGGGGATGCGTAGGAAACCCAATTTACAATTATGAATGATTAATTTCCTTTCCAGCGAACTCCTCAATTGGTTATTTTTATATGTAATACTATAGTCCTAAGTGCAAAAGACAGGAAATATTAAGGTATAAATTATAGAATTTGAGGAATTTTTGAATGAAATGTTTAAAATTTTAAACACATATTAGCAATATAATGGGTAAACTTCTTGTGGTATAAGTATATGCAAAGAGATTGTAACTGTTTGAATCAAGTTTCCTGTGTAAATTAGTTAAATAAATCAAAATTTTCGAGAGATATTTCTTGTCGGTTTCGCTCAGGACTTAAATCTGAATCATACTTATGGATTTTCGTTTCTGGCTGCCATTGAAGTCTTTTTCGAGTTACTAAATAGAAGTTAAACTAAACCACGATCCTTCGGATGGTTAGACCTTAAATCAGGCCAACTGATGGTGGTGTTTCTGGTCGGGATAATTCTCTATGGACTGAATGGAGCGCGAAGTGGCGGCGGTAATAGTCGAGGATACGTCCATAAACCGATATTTCTTCTCATCCCGGCACAGTAAGGGGTAGCAAATGATACCGTAGTAAAATATCAGGCAAAGAACGATAACGGTGAAGATAATGGCGATGATGCCGAAGGTGGAGATTCCAGGCTGACTGTCCAGATATTCCTTGGGCGTCTGGGGTGGCGCGATCGTGGTCGTCGTGGTGGTTGTCTTGTAACCCTTTCCATAACTCCGCGCAGCACTCGCACTAAAAACCAGGCAACTGGCGCCTGTAATAACGAGATTGGTTGGATTTGTAAATCTCTGCTCGCGATTTCCCCATTTTTCTCTTATTTCCCCCACTCACCTAAAAACAGCACACACAGCAGGTACGCACTGTGAGACATTTTTGTATATTATTTCGAATTTAAGATAAAGCACGAACACGGAGCGAAATACGTTCGCTTGCCTTTCTTTCTTTTTAGCCACAAGAACGGGACGCAGACGCAGAACAGATCGCACAAAGCAACAAGACAAAAACCTTTCGCTCTGGCGTAGGTGGTTAGGGATGGCACAACGCGGTGTATCGATAGTTGCGATGGGTAAAAGCCGCAACATATTAAGAGGCAGCCAAAGCCAACAAAAACTGTTACACAAAAAAATTAATATATTAGATAATTCTTACATAACATATTAGTTTTTTCTTTTGTCTTTAATTTCAATATATAAATCTATTCCCAAAATTAATAATTCCATAATAATATTTCGTTTATTTACAGTGTACATTACAAAATGATTTTTATTTTTGTTTTGGAATTTAAATCAATTGTTTTATTGCTTAAGCTTGAGTTATATTTAACAGGCTTGTACTTATTAACCCGTTATCAACCCTCTTAACACAACCAATCCACGACTCACTCACGCACACCTTTAGCAATATAAGTCATCGGTAGCCACCAGTGTTATCGATAACTCGACGAAAAATTGGTTGACGAGCGTGTGGCTCAGTTCGTGTACACTTTATTTTCAATTGGTGAAAATTGTTATAAAACTAACGAGAAAATATGTGAAAATAGGAAAAAGCCCAATCCAACGCTCGAACTGTGTGTGCACAATCGATTTGGTGACGCCCACAACGCGAAAAGCAACTAAAAAGCATAAAAATAACAAAGGCGTTAGCGAAGGGACGACGGGCGAAGTCAAATAGACGCTTCACCGATGGTTCCAATGCAGTTGTGTACATTTAGCCATTGCAACTAATTAATTTGACGCAAGTAAATGCAAGTATGAAATAAAAAAGGCCAACGCAAAGCAAAAGTACAGTGAAAATTGGTCGATTGTCGGCGCACGAAGACGAACACGAATAAGAAGAAGCGAACGAAACAAACGAGAAAGAGAAACGAAACGGCAATTTCGCTGTATGTGTGAGAGTGCGCGCGCGTCAGTGTGTGTGTAGGGTGGAATATAAACAAAAAATTAACAATACAAAAATCAAGAACAATTGCTCTACTTGGCGAAAAGTAAAATGTCACATTTGCCACTGGATGCACGGGCCATTCTACAGTATCTAAATGATTTGGGCTATAGGAATATATCAGCCGAGCAACTCCGTGAATTTTTGAAAGGTAAGCAATCCGTACAAGTGTGATTGTGTGTGTGTTTTTTTGGTTTGTTGTTTTTTATGCTCAATGTTTCTTGGTTGCGGCTTTTCGGCTGAATTTCAAACGATTCGTCACAATTTTTATTTATTTTTTCCCCCACAACGAACGTTCATGCCAAACGCAGGCGAGAGAAAGAGCAGCGGCACAGCCAGAAATACGGTGCAATGGAAAAACAGAAAAAATAAAAACGAGTATTACTCGGAAATTGTGAATAACACACTCGTACAAATGTATATACACATGGCACAGTGGTTGCAGCAGCAACAAAAGCCATTCGGACCACAAATTTAGAAACAATCGAGTATAGACCGGCAACGACGGAAAACGACATTTCCAAAACGCATGTACTATGGAATATATTATTTGCTAAACACATGGCTTTTATGGGGCCCACTGTACAGTGTTTTTGAGTTTTGCTTGTTGTCATAGTTGTTGTTGCTGCCCTGGGCTAGCTTTTATACATGTGTGTGTGTTTGTGTATTTTGGCCTCCACCGCATTGTCAGCTTCATCCGTAACTTCACATAAATTTTTCCACAAACATACACATACAGCTGCGGGAAAAATAGTAGGTAGTCATTCTTGATCATTTTGAGTTGTAAACGTATTAACAAACAACATTTTAATTAGTTGATGAACTTTTATTTTTTGTTAATTAATAGCAAAGATAAAACTTTAAAATCATATTTTAATATTGTGCCAATATGAAAATATTTATTTTAAATATCAGCGTTATTACCTTTACTCCAACTGTATGCTCTTTTGTGTGTGTTTGTCTGTTGCCTACCTTTTTCCCTGTCTCCTCTCCCTTACTCTCTTTTGCGTTTTTTTCGTGTTATTTTTCGCTTACGCCTTGTGTGCTCGTCCTCTTTTTCTTATTTTCTTTTGTTGTTGTTGCTGCTGCCGCATGAGGGTTGCCACTAGGTTCTCTCGCATTTTACTTTGCGCCAACGCTTCGAGCTGTAATGGCGAATAAAAAGTCGGAGACAGCAAAAGTGCCAGCGCAGCGTGCTGATGTGCTCGTTTTTCAGGTTATATTAACGCCCGTCGGTATACATTGGAAGTTGGGCAGATAATTTATTTACGATTGGGTGAGTGCTGTGCGCGGGGGGACTGGCAAGGTTGCCGGACTAAGTGCAAATCTGAGTTTAATATCGGTCATCGGCCGTTATGCCTTTGCCAGCTCATTCGCATTGTTTTTGGTAGACGTAAAAAAATCAAAACAAAAAATATGAATGCGATAAACAACAAATTGCGCAAAGGGAGCGAAGATATTTAAATTATATTTTAATAACAAAAATTTGTAAATGACGAAATGTAAAAAAAAACTTTATGGTCTTTAATTTTTTTTTCTAATTTATGTCAAAACTAAAGCGTTTTTACTTGTGGACAAATACTTTCAAAAAGTCAATATGTGGTTTTACAAAAAAATAAAATGTAGGGAAACAAATATTCCTATAAAATTGTTCACAGTTTTTTCAGATAGAATGTTGATTACACTACAAGATTAAAATTAGTGGTTTACAATGTACTCGGAAACAACTGTATATTATTTTGTTTAATCCCTTGCACGTTTTTATCGGGTCTGTTTGTACCATCAAATTAGAGGTTTACAATGAACTCGGAAACAACTGAATATTTTTTGTTTAATCCCTTGCACGTTTTTATCGGGTCTGTTTGTACCATTCCCAAAAAGAGATTATAAATAAAACTGGTTTTTAATCCAATGCAGCGACTTGGTTAAATGTATCAAATGTGTCATCACTAGTTTTTCGTCGACTTGGCAACACCTGGCCCACCTGGCAACCCTCTGTCATAGCACAGCTGCTGCTTCTTCTTCTTCCACCCGCTTGGGTTGTGTTTCTGTGGTCCCATTTTAGTTTGGAATTAAAATAAATTAACCCACACTCGTCATTTGATGGGCTTTTAGGCTATACATACCGAAATGCATTCGAATGCAGTTATTGATTTGATTTGTGTGTATCCAAATCCAAAATTGCATAACACACGACGCCCACAAGGAGCGCCAAGAAGAAGACCAAGGAGTAGGATTTCCAGGCAGTGATTTATTTGTTTTTTAGTTGATTTTTTCGTGGCAAATAAGTTTTAAATGCGGTTGGTGCTGGTTCTTTAACTACAGTTGAACCTCAATTAGCTCAAATAACATTTGATAATCAAACTTTACAAGATTAAACTGGTATAGTTCGACCCACTAGAATTGGAGGGAAAAATAATATGGCGTTAAATTATTTTCATTCTTCATTGTTTTTTAAATAAATATATATATATATACTTAGTGCAAAAATACTAATCAAGAATTCACAGTAACAAACAAGCTTTGATATCCCTAAAAATTTTATTTTTTAAATCTAGGTTTTAATAGCATAAATATTTTTAAATATTACAATAATCAAAACAACCCAAAATTGCACAGACATTAAAGCCCCCATAATGTTTGCCAAAAAAAATACTTTTTGTGATAAATAATTTGGATTTATCTCTTGAAACCCACATTTTAAATCAAGTTTCGTTTCGTGCCAATGTTATTAAACAATGTTCGAAGTGCACCAAATAAATATCAAACATATATCAGTTTATCTGTTACTTAAATCCTCTCTTAAGTTTTATAAAATTAAATTATTTCCAATTTGGTTTTGAAGTTCGACTGTAGGCTAATCTTTTATGATAACTTGTAATTAATGGCGTTTTCTCCACTCTCTTTTTCTCTCAATTCTGGGTCCTTTGACTGCAGCTAATTTGCGCCAGAAGGTATGCAACCGCAGTCGGACAAACAAAGCGCCAGCAGACTTGCAACAACAACTAGCCACACAACAGCAGCAACTTCCGCAGCAGCAGGCACAGGCACTCCTCCAAAAGTAAAGGTCATCAAGAGCAAACGCCCTCTGTGCCACTTTAAGTTCTATCTGGACATTTGCGATCATCAGCTAGCGAAACGCATTGAGTCCGATATCAAAGCTTTGGGCGGTCATCTCGAGTTCTTTTTGAGCGACAGTATCACACACTTTATCACCGATAAGCCAGAAGCTAGCAGTGGAACACCCGGAACACCAGGCACACCCAGCACACCCACCAATCACTATCATCAGGATGATGGTTCGGCAAGGAAACCGAATCAAAGGCAATCGAGAGCGGATGCTATACTGAGCCGCGTGCGAAGGAGCACGGTTGGGGCAAACAGCAGCAATAGCACGCCTACAACATCCTTAAAGCGAAGCTATACCGTCTGGCAGACAGATTACGCCCAACGCTTCTTTAAGCGCATTCAGACCGAGCTTAAGCAATACCTCGAGGGTAAGAAGGAAGGCGGAGCAGCAGGAGCCTCAGCTAGCCCCCATCACATTCAGCTAAAAAAGCAGTATGTGAAGATTGAATCCGTCAAGCGTAATTATAGACCTTACTACCATCTCATCAAGCAGCCAGACGACTGGCCAAAGATCGATTTAAGCAGCGAAGACTGCGCCTTTCGACTACTAGCGAAGTCGAAGACCAAGGAGAAGGAACAGAGCATGACCCGCAAGTCTTTGGGATCTCGCACATCCCAGAAAGAGAAACCAGTAGCAGGTGAAGAGAAGCCACCCCAGCATCCAGCTTTGCAGCAGCTAAAAAAACAGTCAGCAATCCCGAATAGTCCGCGATCCACTTGTCGCGAGCCCAAGGATTCGAGTGAGAAACAAGGTGGAGTGTGTGAGATCTGCAAATTGGAGTACGATATCCTGAATATCCATTTGCAGAGCAAGGATCACGAACTGTTTGCCAAGAATTCGGAGAATTTTCTGGCTCTAGATACACTAATTCGTAGTTCAGCGAATGTGAATCGGTTCCTGGAAGAGGAGCCCGAAGAGAGTGAACTGGACATGGATGTGGATGAATCGTTGAGTAATGAGGAGCTGCAGAGTCCCCGTCAGAGGCCATCGCCTGCATTGCGCGAAAAATCTAAGAGAATAACCAAGGGAAAACATTCATCGGAGAAGTTTCAAGCTTCAGCAGTTGCCTCACCCCAAACGCCTTCTACTGGTGGTAAAAAGGTTTTGGGAAATCTGCCCGGTAGTCTTTCAGAGCTCCAGCGCCAGGAGCATCCAACAACAGCTGCGGCAACGCCCACAACGAATTCGGGTCGTAGAAAAACTCAGAACTCTGGGCTATCACCGCCAATAAGAGCCATGTTGCCACCTTCTTCGCTTTATAAAGTAGTGGAAACAAGGGAAGAATGTGCAACGCCTCCCCGAGGGCGAGGAAGACCGCCAAGCCAAGTGGACTCTCCATCTTTGATTGTTAAGTTCCAAAAGATCCGGCAAACGGAGTTGCAACGGCTCAATGGGGAGGCGGAGAACTTTATGTTCCCTAGAACAGCAGTAACAACCACGAGGAGCAGCAGTGATTTGCCCACAGATGTGGACCGGCAAACCACCTCAGATGTGAGGGGCAGATACAGCATATCCTCCGCCAGCCTTGACACCAGCACCAGCGAAGCAGAGGCAAAGGAATCTTCAGGATTACCCACGTCTAGCATACGTAAGCGAGCTCAGGCGGTGGGTAGGCGGAGAAAAGTAGGAGGAGCACCTCAGGAGGTACTCCAACGCCAATTGTCCACCGGGAGTAGCAGCAGCAATAGCAACCAGCAGCGCTTTCCGAGCGCCCCCATCCAGCCAGAAGAAGAGCCTCAACCGCAGTCACAGCCGCAGCTAAAGATGAAAATAAAGCAGGAGCAAGTGGTGGCCACCAGGAAAAGCAGTCGCACAGCCACGGCCATTGTGACAGCGGCCACTGCTAGCAGTCATCAGCAGCAGCAACTAAGGCAGACCACCAGCCGGAAAATGGCCAATAAACTGGAGGATCGGATGGGGGAATCAGTAAAGCCCAAGATTAAAGTAAAGAAGGAAGTTATCGAAGTAGAGGAAGAGTTGGAGGATCTGGAAGACCTAGTGGATGATGATTTAGACGAGGAGTTGGTCAGCAGCTTATCGTCTGGCAGCGACGAGGATTACATAGCAGCCAGTCAGCGAAGAGCCACAGCAACCAATCGCAAATCTACAGATACTCGAGAACAGAGAGCAGCTAGGCGGCTTTCCAGATTAACCATAAATCGTAGTGCCGGAGAGCTGGAGTTAGCCGAAACTAAGTCCTCGCCGTCACGAAAAAGTCGTGGAAAGAGCCAGAAACCGTCGAGTCCCTCAAAAAACAAGGTCAAACAACTTAAGGTGGTACCACCAGTGATGGATTTGTTCTTCGATTGTAGCAAAAGTGAAAGGCTTCAAGAAATGCAGTATACTTTTGAATCGCTTCCAAGTGGGGAGCTTTGGAACCGGGTGTTCCTGCGACAGGATGCGGGTGAAGAGAACTACTACACATACTACGGTAGCACTAACTATAGGAAACTGCCCTATGAAATGGGTCCCATACCCATGGCCAGAACATTGCCAGCACACAGTTGTGCTATGTGCCGCGAGGTAAGCGATGGAAAGCAGGAAAAAAAGGAGCAGCTAAAGCAGGAGGATTCAAAGCCAGTTCCCAAAAAGGAAGTTAAGAAGGAGGAGGAACCTCAATCATCATCATCCGCAACCTACAAGAACAAGAAGCTGCATCTACTTCAGCGGTATCAGCAGGAACAAGAACAACTTCAGCAGCTAGAGGGGAATTCCCTAGCCACTGCCATAGCCAAATGTGATAGCAAGGCCAGCACCCCAGAACTGCTGGAAAGGGAGTTTGCGTCGGGTTCGTTGGCAGACCGAGTGCAGTTGATAGAGAGAGTGAGGAGCACCTCCAGTTCCAGTTGCAGCAACAGCCAGCGGAGTGGGATAACCTGCAGGAATAAACAACTGGCGCGGATTGCCGAGTTGCCGCCACGGAAATCTCCGAGAGAACATGCTTCTACACTGGCTTTAGTCAGTTGCATTATAAGGCAGCGTCAAGACTCTCAAAGCAAAACGAACTCTGAAGCGGAAGAGCCACCTCCCCCTGTGGTTGTCCCAAAGCTGAAAACCCCTGTGAAACAGGAATCCATAGCACCTTCATCGCCGCGAACTACTCGTTCCCAAGCTGCCACTCCTGTCGAGGAACTTAGATTCGCCACAGAGATAAGCGAGACGGTCAAGAGGATGAGGCGTGGTCAGAACAAATACGATCATTCCCCGCCAGCACCAGCCCCAAATCCCCCGCCAGAAACTTCATCACCAGCTAGAAGTCGTCGCCTGACGCCTGCCGCACAAAATCTGGGTCAGACTTACTCACGACGTTTGCAGTTCTCAACCAGGGAATCCTCTGCGAGTGCCCTGTTGGGCAAGCGCAGTAGAAGGGCAAACAAATCGGTCGCTGGTACAGTGCGTCCCAATCCTCAGCAAGCTTCCGGAATGGGTGTCTTTCGAGGAGTTCGCAAATTGCCCAGCAAGAAGGGTCTGCTTGAATACGAAATGGAACCGTGTGCTTTTAAAGCTCTGGATCAAGCCGGCCAATATTGTAATCCAGGTTTCGTTGCCTGGCAGTTGGATAAATATCTAGAGCTAGCTGGCAAAGAGTATGATCTGGAAGATGACGAACTGCCAAGTGAGAAGGAGACTGAAATAAGAGAACAAAGGCTTGCCAATAGTCCTCAGACTCCTCCACCCACTGATTGCTTCACCAGCGAATTCGACCTGTGCGATTTGATCCTGGGGAGCGCAGGGAGTGGAGATGACGAAGAAGATTTGGCCAGAGGAAACCGACCGGGCTTCAGTCGACGGATCAACAACCTCAATCTATATGCCAGCTATTATAGAAAGAAAAAGAGCCTAAAATCCAATCGCACGGGTTGGCCAAAAGCTCAAAGAAGGCGCAACGCAGGTGGATTGGGTGGTAGTCGATCCCTGCCAGATGACCGAATTAATTTTCAAAAAATTGGTCTTGCCGAGCTTCATCCGATTAAGCAAGAACCTATGGAAACTGAGGAGGAGCAGACCACTACAACAACCACGACTACATCTGCTACGAGGGAAAAACTGCTGAGCAAAGAAGATGAAGATGATGAAGGTGGCGGGAATACGGGTAAAGGAGATGGCGATGAATCGCCGGACGATGATAAACAGAATTCCCGAGAAGATGCCGTGATGACTCCGCCAGCCACCGATGTTGATGAACAGGTTGAGCAGGAGGCGGATGAAATGGAAAGTCTGCCCGAGGAAGATGAAACTATGGCGGATTCTGTGGATCAGCAGCAGGATGATGAGGCTGAGATCGAAGCAACCGATGCGGATGTCGAAGAGGAGGAAGAAGAAGAAGAGGAGGAGGAGGATGAGGATGTCTTTGAAGATGCGTACGAAGAGCAGGATATGGGCAAGAAGAAAGACGAGGCGCCGGAAAAACGATCACGAATACCCTCCATATCCGTCACCACGCCATCTGAAGAGCACTCTACGCCGGGCAAGAAACTTCTGCTTACTTTGCACAATGGCCAGAGACTGCAGGCAACCTCCACACCAAGTTCCGGGCAGGTCCAACAGCAGCAGAGGAGGACTCCCCAGCTAAACGGTAGCCTTGGCAGCTGCATTTCGCCCAGTGAAAAACTGGGTGATAATTCGGACATCTTCACCGTTTCCTCTGATGGACTGGATACCGATCTGGATCTGAGTAATACCCAGGCGGGCGATTCCCATGATCATTGCACACACCAGACGACGCCGAAGCGCAAGTTCGACATCTCCAAGTATGCGCCACCCAATAATGGCAAAGCGGCGAGCAGTTGCGCCGCCGAGGCGGCCACGGCTGCCGTGAAATCTCTGGCCATCTCGCAGTTCCTGAAGAAGGAGGTGCGTGTCACCTGCCGGCGGCTGAGGGCGCCATTCCGACGCTTTCGATACCGCCGCTGAGCACCTATTGTCATCATTATCATCATCCAGATCAAGATGTGCATCATTCAGCATCAATCACGTTTAGCTTTTAGTGTGTACAGCGACGATGAGTAATAAGTTTCAGTTTTTAGGTATTTTTAGGCCACAAATCCCTCCAAAACCACAAAAAGCGATTCGGTCATCTTTTTAAATTTATTTACCGATTAAATTTGGCGAAATACGCATTGAATGAATAACTATTTGTTCGTTTGAAACTGCCAAAATTGTTCAAAGCAAAATGTATAAAATTGTTTTCGAAGGATTCCTTCCATTTGATCAAAAATTTATTCCGACAAATTTAATCGGTTTGGAAATTAGGAAGATCCAAACACATCCATCAACTAAATGTAGCATAATTTAAACTCGCACACAAACCACACACGAAAATACGTACATAAGTCTTACTTTAATCTTAGTTTAGCTCAAATTCCCTTACCCTCAAAAACTCCTCATCAAAAATTTCGGACTATTCCAAAATCTCTCATTTTCAATATAGCTTTTAAGTAGTCAAGATTCCATTTATCGTTTTTGTTTTTAACTGTGGAAATCACCTATTAAACTGTTTTCATTTTCTTAGCCATGTACTATTATCAAGTCAACGCTCAAGCAAAGTAAAGAAAGAAAAAAGTAAACTATGTAACGGAGATAAATTAAATTTAAACAAAAAACCAAAAGCAAATGTAAAAAAATATTAAAACAAAGAGTAAATTAAATTAAATATTCAATTAAACATCACAGTTTTATTTTATTGAACGCATATCGAAAGGGATGAAATAATGAAGGTTACTAAATTGATAGATGCATTTTAGTGGATTTGGATAGTTGTATTTTCATTTTATTTTAATGATGAGTTCCCTGTACTTTTTTTGTACTTAGTCGTCAAAAAATGTTGATGGGAACTTTAATTTGTTCTTTTAAAGGATGAATGATTTTAAAATATTTTCGAAGTTAAATTTAGTATCTGTAAATAATGCTTAAATAAATATTGAACGGAAGTTAAATACGTACTTATCAATCAAGTAATTTTACTGATCCATTATCGATTTTTAGTTTTGAAGCAAAAACTAGATCGGGTGGCAATATTTCAATACTACCATTTCAGCTAGTCGATTTTATATATTCCTCAAGATGAAAGTCATACCAAATTTAGATTATGCAATTCTTATCCGGAAACATACATTCTGCACCAATCACATGCCAATGACCAACCACCATCCCCATTTCCCTGCTAATGGCCTCTTCTTTGATCCGATTCCCATTCCCATTCCAATTTAGACTTGCGGAAGCTTATCAAATATGAGGAACGTCTGGCGGAGAACGCAAAGGAGGGAAATTTCAGGGGCCTGCATAAACGCGGCACCGTCAGCTCGCGTGCCAAATTAAGTGGAGAAAAGGATAAGGAGAACGCCGCCCCTTTATGTCCATGTTCATCTGCCAAGGAGAATGAGTCCAAGACTGACCAGGATGACGACCAGCAGCAGCGTTCAGGTGGCGGTGCTGGTTTTGCGGACTTAGCTCGCCTTTTCAAAGAGAAACTTCTGTTGGAGGCATCCGTGCCTCCGCCGGCGACTAAGGCTTTACTTCCCGAACAATCTCAGTCTAACGGAAAAAGACGCAGTCGCAGTAAGACTCGCCAGGAAAAGGAACCCCCAGTGTCCAGTGGCGAATCGGAAGGTAATGACCGTCCGATTCAGCGCCGTCGTCGCAGCAAATCGCATCCGCGCAGTGCCGGTAATAAGTCGCATAAAATCATTTATATAGTTATTATGACAGCTTTCTTCTCGTTATCAGTTCGCCGCCGTGGCAAATCCAGACATTGCGATCCAGTGGCATTGTTTCAGTACTACCAGAAGGAATGGGCCCATTTCCGCAGCCAAATCCCCGGCGAAAATGCACACATGCGCCACAAGCTAATGGATCTAAAGAAGTAAAGATATATTACCGATGCAGCTATTACTTACTCAATCCCGTACTTCGACCGATTCCGCTGTTTGCAGTCATTATTCACATTTATAAATCATTATTAAAAAACTTCAAAAGTCGAATAAAATAGAAATTCTAATTTGGTTCTTTACCCAATAATTTTTATGAGAAATTTTTGAAAAGCATTAACTGCTTCAAAACTAAGCATTAATCTTACTCTTTTTTTTAATCTATCAACGAAATTACCCTCAGTTTTTAGGTTACCTGTCAAAATTGTATTTAAAAATTGTAAATATTCACCTTGGCTTGGACAAGTTAAAATTTTTGCCGAGATAGCCATTTTGAAAGACTTTTGAAAATGTTGGAGCGGCGTCGTAGATCCCAGTTAAGACTGGAACCCCTTGTTCCTATTCGAACAGGGACTACCACGATGCGAAGGACTCGTCGAGTGTGCGTTAATATCGAAGCGAATGGCTCCGGGCCTCTTAGATCTCGAAGAAGACGAAGAAGGGAACTACTTAATCCATACTTTATGACCTATCCTCCGATTTATGACCCAATGCAACTGGGACATCAATGGGGCTTTGATTTCTGCCCTAATGAATTGCCCAACAGTTATGGGAGTTTATTTGATTCGTCTAACCGCTTAATTGCGGGAGATCAATATGAATATGATTCGGCTGGATTTCTTCCGCCGAAAGAAACGAACAATACTGTTCATGACCTTAAAGATATTTTGATGGGGTTGGATAGTCATTTGCAAGCGGAAAAGGTCAATCTGTTGGGGCATGATCAGGAAAGGCAAAATTCCAGTGAAAACCATGAAGACCAGAATCCAAATGCCCAGGGATGCCAGCTCACAGTACTAACCGATATAATTTGTGGAACTATTGACAGGTTAAACAACTATTTAGACAATCAGTCCAAGCAACAGGAATTGCCCTCTGCTCTAAATCAAATAAACCCGTGGAGAGGAAGAGCGCCACCTGTCCAGGTCTTTCAGCTACCTGTGCAACCGCTAATTCTACAATCTATGCCTCCCTATCCATCTTGTGATTATTATCCACCATGTGATTCCTGTTTCCAAAAAAAGTCCCATCTTCAACGCTTGCCTTGGTTAAAGGAGAGAAAACGTAAACGTCCATCTAAACCCGCTGCCTATATACATCTGCAAAATCAGGGAAGCAGTACTAATGATTTGGAAATATCGCCAAAGATCTTAGAGGCCTCAAATTCGCCAGAGAGAAGCAGGAAGTTCTCAGTTTCCATGGAATCCCCCAGTCAAAACATGAAGGATGCTGGCACAACCATGTGGTGTTCTATGGAATGTTGTAGGGAATGTTGCGAATCGGTCAGAGGTCAGGATAACTATCCTGCTATGCAGAAAACTCCTCCAGAGGCTTTAGCGTTTCCATTTTCACGTATACGAACTGATGTGTTTCCGCCCCCGTGTATCAAGGCTCCACCACCAAGTATTATATCAGAGGACGAACTGAACGATTCCGAAAAGATTTATCATCCGAGGGGTGAACCCGTTTACCTGCTTGGCTCTCCTCAAACATCTAGTTATAGCTCCAGCTGCGATTATCGTCACGAAGGTGGGAATTTGACATACTCCTATATAGAAGAGGAGGAGGAGGAGGAGCATATGGATGGGGATGACTGGTATCAAAGCGCTAGCGATAAATTAGCTCAGTTAGAAGTGGAGCAGGACTACTTCAAGCAAATGAATAAGCAAAGCGAAATGACCACTGAATATCAAACACTTCAAACTGATATGGAGAGCATCAGTGAAAATAGTTTCATTAACGTAATAGCCACTACCGATGAGGCACTTAGCACCACGGAACTAAATACGCAAAATACCCGAGAACCAATGAAAATTGAAAGGATTTGCAAGAAGTCCTCTTTAAAACAGCGAGACAGGCTTATAAATGGGAGCCAAAAGGGAAATAAAGTAAAGTTTGAAAAAATGCAACACACGGAAGGTGTACAAGCTCAGCCAGAAATTAGAACCATTGGGACCGATCCGATGGGAAAAGAGTCCTTTACCACAGTTCCCAAGGTAAAAATCCACGCTCCCAATGAATCTGTAAAAAATCAGGAGCTTTTAAAGCCTAGAACCAGGAATAATCAGAAACGCTCCGTTAGGCGTTCAAACTGAACGAACAACAACAAATGACTTAAGACAAATTGCCTTAAAGCAATCTTGTATTGCCTAATCAAATTTAAAATTTGAAATTATTTTTCTACACTTTTAGGCTTTCTCACATACATAGCAAAGGGCGGGGTCTCGGATTAAGACATTGGGGTGATGACAACTAGATTATATTATGTTTTGTGACGAGCCTGCGCCAGAGCCGGAGAAGATCATCTGTCGCTGCAAAAACTGTGTACTTCGCCACTCGGATATCCTTCCCTGGCCAGAGCCCCTGGGAGTAATGGCTGAACAGGACGGCAATAAAGATGGTACTGCAAGTCGTCGAATGTCCACCCGTACAGTTCTGTCGGTGGATAGCGAGTACCCCACTCGAGATGGCGATGATAAGCAGAACAAAGATTATACTCCAAATCGTTATGACGCAACTGCCCCTGGCTCTCCTGTTCGGGAAATTATCCATGAGGGATATACTCCAAATCTCAGAGGGGCCAATAGTACTGAACGATTCGGAGACAATACGCCAATGCGGGTTCCAACTCAGGCTCCAGCTCAACCTACTATTCTGCTGATTGTGGTCAAGTAAGTAATGAGTATCTCTAATTTTTGGTCAATTGAGAAATAAATAATTTTTAGCAAGAACGATCCACCACCGTTTCCAGACAGAGGGTATCCGGGCGCAGGAGCAGGCCGGGGATATCACGGTCAAGGACCGGTACCTAGGGGTTTTCCAGGTCAGGGCCGATGTCCACCAAAGTAAGATTAAAATAATTTCAAACTTAATATTCTGGATTATGAAGTTTATTTCTTAATATTTCTAGCTATTATCCACCACCTCCGTCAGGACCTTCAACCAGACCAAGACCAAGACCAAACTACGGCCAAGAGCATTTTCGCTGGTGAGTCATCAGATTAATATTTTTGAGGATATTATAATGTTTTTAAATGTCTGCTTAAAAATATTTAAATACAATTTTGAACTCTTTTTCCCCACAGTGACAACCGGCGATTCAGGTGTGTATAAGATCTATATATTAGATTTGTCCACAAGTATTAATTAAGTCCTCATTATTTACAGCGACGACTACCGGAATAATCGATTTGGGTAGAGTAGCGTATTTAATATTCTTAATAAAAACAACTATAATTTATTTTTGTATGCCATATGTAGATACTACGATGACTGGAGGAGACAGCCAAGAAGGTAATGCGTTTCTCTGCTATGCTAAAATATTTTGATTAAATCTTGAACCAAACCTAATTTTAGATACTCCAACAATGTCTACGCCGACCAACCACGTATTTATCGCCATCCAGAAGCGCGACGCGATTGTCGGTGCCCCAATGTGGAGAAGTCTCAACCGGGAAGTCCGCCAAATAAGATGGATACTGATTATCCCAACGACGATTTCCTTCAAACATTCGGTAATAAAGCAAACAAAAATCGTCTCGTAGGAAGTGGAAACGGAAAGGGCCACTCATGTCATTGTAAGGGATCCGATTCAATGAGACCTCCCAGAAATGAACCAGAAAACGAAAGAGATGAAGAAATGGGAACACCACATAACACAATGGAAAACTTTTTGGAAATGGAAAGCCCGGAGGAGATGCAGGAAGTCATTGTTACCGATGCCAAAAACAAGGCCTACAAATGCATACAGGTCAGGGATAAAATATTGTTAGTTAACCTTATTTAATCGAGGCTTATCCCGAGAACAGGTACCCATTTGCATATCAACAGGAGAAACGAACACCTGTCGCTGTTGCAGATGTGCTCAGGAATCTCCGGATGCTGACGAAGAGGAGTTTGATGACGAGGAGGCTGAGTGTATCTGCAATCCACAGGGCAAATGCACCTGTGTTCCCGGCCAAATGTTCCAGGATGACTTTGGCTGCGAGTGTGATCTTACCAATTTGGAGCGTACTCTGCGGGATCTCATACCCAATGCCGATTGTATTTGCTATTTGAAGAAGAAACGCCGCAAACGACGCAAGAAATGGGCTCCTAAAGTCTACTACGATCGCTTTGCAAATCCTCCGTTTGTTCTCAATCCGAAACCCAGATGTTTAGAATACGGCCGCAGTCCTTATTGCAATCCTTGCTATAATCCTTGCTGCTGTGCACCTCTTGCAAAGAGCTGCTACACCTGTGACTATGGATGTGGAGGGTGTTGTAGGTGTTAGAAACGGATTTCTACTATAACATCTTATCTCTCCGACATATTTAAGATATTCAAATCCTCATTATTTTGTCAGCTTATGCCAGAAAACTTCTTAAAATTAGTTTTCTGACGTTCTCTGACAATTTTTGAGGATCTCATATGAAACAAAACAATTTTTTTTAAGGGGACTATAATGAGATCATTCTATACAGAAAAATAAATTAAATTAAAGCAAAAAGATCTTCTAATGGTTGATATAAATAATTTGTAATATATTTTAACATTTAAGGAACGTGTGTGATAAATGGGCTATTGCTAAACATCTCAGAATTCTAGAAGATGCACAGATACTTATTTTGGGTGCGTTTCCAAACATGTGTGAAAGTCTATGAGTTCATGTTTTTCGGAAACCCAAAAATAAAGTGAATAGTAACATATTTTTAACTGTCAAATTTGACCAGCAATGTAACTTAACCTCTGAGCTGCCTTTCCTGATTTCCGCTCCTTTGAGATGACTGACCTTACCAGAAGACGGCGCACCGCCCAGCAAATCCTCCTGCGACGAGCTTTGAGCAAAAGCGTTGGCAGGTGCCAGGCTGCCACTGAATTGGTCCCGAACAAGGGTGGCATCGTGGTACCTCCTTCTCTGACCAGAGAACCTCAACTGCTTAATCAAATTAGGGAGAGATCGTCGTCGAGAGCGGTAAAGAAAGTGCACAGGTTTTTGGCAGCTAATCCTTTTAGGATTTTGCAAGAGCGGAAGGCGGCAGGGAAACTATCAGGATGTGTGCTTCAGAGGAAAGACTCACTTTCCTGGAGAAAACTGAAGCCAAGTGGTGCGTGAGGGAATGCAGAATATTAACTGAGATGAATACCCATTTCTACTTCTTTCTTTCTAGACGCTGACCCAACCATCAGTGGTCACAATCTTAAAATCAATGAACGTTCTAGGGGCAGCACAAGATCTCGACATAGTTCCTCTACTTATCCATCTACTTGGCAGCTGAATGTGAGTAGAGCCAAAGAGGAACTTCAAGATAATTCTCAAGGATCTCTGGAGGAGATCATCAATTGTTCGATTCTAAATCGAACACCCTATGATCACCAGCTTAGTATGCCCCTCAAGTCGGATAATTCGTGCCAATGCACTATCAATAAGAAATCACGACGAAGGGGTAGGAAAACCAAAACAGTTTCTGTGGCTCAGGCCCAGACCCAGACAATCAGAGAAAGCGGGAAAAAAAGAAGCTTAAGCAAAAGCAGTGAAGTAAGTGTGCAGTTCCAGAGATTAAAGCAGAGGGTGTACAGCGGCGAGGAATTCAGTCAAGAGCGAAAGATTTGCATATCACCATCTAAAATCAGCGGCAACTCTAAGGTGTCTTTCAAGTGTGCGAAAACTTGCCCCGGCAAATCCTATAAAAATTTTGGAGGTTACAGTCCTTCGGAAACGGATATCGAAACAGAAGCGGAATACCATCCGAATCTGCAAGGTCCATCTGCTTATCTAAATAAAATAGAGGAGATAAGCAAACCTGCATCAAATGTTGATATGAAGTGGAGCCATAACATGCCTAGCAAAACGGAAATCCAACAATCTATGGCCAGAGGTAGTCAAGAAAGCGAACGTATGTATAAAGATCAAGATTGGGAAATTCAAAGAAAGATAGCCAAATGTTATTGTACAAATGCACGAACAAAGGAAAACCAAGCTAGAAGTGGTGGAGTCAAAGATATTAAATCTATAAGACATGGTGAACTTCAACAGAGTATACCAAGAATCGGATCCGAAAACAGACGCATGAATAATCCAAACTTTCATGATAATGATCAGAAATTTCAGAGAAAATACTCAAATTGTTTTTGCACGAATCCACGGAGGAGAGATAACTTAGTTGAAAATGCCAGAGCACAAGAAACAATGTCAAAGAAAAGTAGTGTTGATAATTCATTTAATTCTTTAAATGGATATTCAATGCAATCGGAATCTTCGCAAGTTAGCTTATCAACTTCTGAACAATTTGCTTATGAAGCTAGTGAAGATAATTTTAGCCATGATGAATTTAGAGCACAAAATGCTTATCAAAGTAATGTTTATCAAACGAACGAATATTCAACTAAATCAGGTCCTTCCGTTAAAAGCATAATATACTATTCTGATGATTCAGATAGTCAAGAAACAAAACGTGAAGGTCAAACCAATAACAATCAGATGGTTAATGCATCCTCCAAGTCCAAATCTTTTTTAAATCGGGAATTAAGACAAGGTATTGTTACGCTTACGACATAACTTAATCAAGGGCTATTATAACTTATTTACTTTTATCACAGCTAAAGCCTCAAAGCGACCACCTAAAAGAGGTACTCAAAGTTTTAATACTGAGGAATCATCTCCAGGATTCTTGCAAATGAGAACCAGACAAGAAATAAATAGTGGTGGTGTCATGCGCACTGAGGCCATTACGCAGACATCTGAATTATTAATATCAAAAAGAATATATGCAAGCTCCGACAACTCTCAGGGAATGCCTTCAAATAAAGCCAACCAGGTTGAAGAATCGAATCAAGGGCTAAAAAATTCAGTAAAACCAAATCAAGATAATTTCAAGCAAGCTAAAACAGATAAAACAAAATTAATGTCCAAACAAAATCAAGATATGGAGGTTCAAGAACAAAGTAAAGTATTGAAACTAGTACAATCCAACTCACTAATAATTGATTCAGACATAGGGCAATACCAATTAGTACAATCTAACTCGGTAGAACTTAAATCGCTCCCAGAATTTGTTCCAAAAACTAAAAAGGCAAACCCTACTCGGAAACGAAGAAGTAGTCGATCTTGCTGTCGTTGCTGCAGTCGATGTAGTACTCGGAAAAGATCTTTAAAAAAGCCTGTCATTTCTGAAAAAACAAAAAAACGGGTGTGCGAAAATTGTGAATGCAATCCTACAGTTGATAAGAATCAAAAGGTAATCGGAGGAATGCCCAATAGTGGCAAATGTAACGTGAGGGAAATATTAGACATTTTGCAAAAAACTTTGGCAGGACTGGAAAAACAAATAAATATAAAAAAGGGATGTAAAGGCTCGAATAAAAAAAAAACAGTTAAAAGTACGAAACCAAAAAGCAGCAAAGGACATGCTCAACACAACAAGATTCCAAATCAATATGTTAATCAAGTCGGTACCCAAAATATCCCTTACAAGCAAGGTAATTCTCTTTCAGACCACGATCAGCCTTTAGATACTTTTCAAAATCATCCCTACCTACACAATAAAACTGTTCCTGCCAATGTTGGAGCACCAACGAATATATATCAAACTAATGCTTATGGAACAGCAGGTCCCGCCAATGTTGAAAACCCATCGAACATATATCGAAGTAATTCAAATACAAATTTACCGAATTCTCCTTTTTATAAAAATTCAGCAAGTCCAAAAAACGTTGGAGAAAATATTCATCAAAACAACACAATTCAAAGGACAGCCCTGCCCGAAAATGATCCTTTAAAAAATGGATCCAATCCAGCTCCTGTTGAGGTGCCTTTTAAAAATGAAAGAATAACTAGAAGTACTGAAAATAGTTATCGAAATCAGGAAACCTTGAACGAACCCATTAAATATATAAATGAACCCCATGAACAAAGCAATTACTCAAAAGAGGATTATAACAATCAAATATTAAGTCAATCCTTTAATCAAACATACACAACTCCTCAATGCATTAGAAACAATCCTCAAATGGATGGTTTCCAAGAGAGTGCTTTCGCTAGAACACCAATGACGGATTCAGCATACAACCAGGGTTCAAGAGACACAACAAATTCTACAAGCCAGAATTCAAAGAAAATGTGCAAAGGTCCAGAATGCTGTCCATATCGAAGTCTTTATAAAGTAGACGATGGCTTAATAAATCGAGGGGTTGTTACCTTTCAAGACTGCGAAAAAATCTGCAAAGAAAGCTCTAGCCCCAATGACGTGCCCAATAAGGGAACAACAAATCAAGGACCTTTACAAATATGCACAAATTTTGCTTACCCGGAAAATTTAAAACAGTTCAGTTCGTGGGCTAATCAGACCAACTCTATTTCAAACAAAGCTCCATCCTATCCAACGGGAAATGATTCGCCCAGGATCAATCCTGAGTGTGCATGTGGTTATGAGCAAAAGGAGAAAGAAAAAGTATGCAATGGTCCCGAGTATTGTCCGTATCAAAGTAGATTTAGGGCAGATGTCGCACCAAACAGTCGCGGGGGAGTTACTTTCCAGGACTGCGACAAATCCTGTATAGAAATGTCAGGAAGAAATTATGAGGATCCGGTAAAAGTATGCGAAAATTACCCTATCCCAGAAACTATACTATATTTAAAGTCATGGGATAATTCAATTTACCCCATTTTGAACAGGACTCAAGTTTTGCGAAAGAAAAATGCCATAACAGAGTGCGATCCAGAATGCTTTTTTGAACAAAAGCAGCGGCAAGTTCCTTTTCAAAAGGGTGGCACGGCTGATAACTATAAAGACTTTTGTGAAAATCCCTATTGCCCAGAAAACAATTCATTTAAAAATGTTTCAAGATCTGAGAGGGGACAAACTTGTCAAGAACTTAGGAGCTCTAAGTGGGAGAATTCAAACCGTCCAGAAAACGAATTAGTTTACAGGACTTTCACTCATTACCATCAGGAAGAACCACTTTATCAAGAAGAACTGCATGAATCTCCTGAAAGACAAGTTATTTGTGAACTTGGATCCGAAGAAGACTCCAATTATTCAGATGCTCAACAATGCTTTAATAGCTCCAGCTATATAAAACGGTCTTACTCAACAGAAGAGTGCTCACCAAACTGTCCTACAATACCAAAGATGTCAAATCAAGATGATAAAAGGAAAGAAAGTCCCCGAATTACTAAAGTTTCTACTTCCCGAAGAAGCCGGAATTCAGATCGAGTTACAAATAATAGATTACATGGGGCTCCCAAAAAAGACAATTTGTGCAACAATTCTCAATTTGAAAATGGAATTTTTTCAGACAAAAAAAAAACATATAGATATAATGAAAGGCAACCAAAAGTAGGGGACGAAGATGTTTTAGATATATGCCCGCAAGAATGTCTCAATCAAGGCTCCTTTAACTATCTCAAAAGTCGTTATAAGCAATTAGCTTTGGAAATTGTCGATAATTGCAAATGCCCAGATGGATTAAATAGAGTTTCCAGTAAAGATAATTTAGGAAAAAATTCGCAATGGCTCGAAAAAAGAAAAAAGTACAAAACTGAAAGGTATGAAGAACCTGATATCAAAGTTTGTGAGAACCCAAACTGCATCAACCAAAACCGTGTGATTAGGGATCAAAATAAATATCCAACTTATGCCGACAACTCTTATAGAGCCGGACCTAAAAGAAAATACGATAAACAATTGTGTGAAAATCCAAAATGTCCTGATAAAAAAAGTATATATATTGCACGGAACGAAACTGGATATATGAATGTAACCTCGCATAGAGTCCGTTCTGAAAGAAAGTCATCGTACAAGGAAAGCAAACCAATCGCTCAGGGAAAAATTCCAAGTGATATTTCTTATGATCCCAACTGTCTAGAACGGAATGTTGAATACAAGGACATTCAGTCTGAGGAAGATTCAGACTCGTGTCCTGATGATTGTTGTAATTGCCAACGTTATCTTTCTATCACCGATAGAAGTAATCGTGTAAAACAAGAAGATAATGAATTTAAGGCCTGCGTTAATCAAAAATGCCCAGATAGATTAAATACTGTGGATCAAAACAAGTATTATAGAAAAAATGGATATGAAAAACAAGTTCATGGAATTCCAGATTGCCCTGGTGAAACAAATGAAAATGGGAATGCAGCCTATGGCCATAATAGGGTGTGCTCTGAAAAAAATTCAACAAAAATGGAACAAAAATCAATGGATCTAGATGAACCGTATTTATGCTCTGTAGATTGCCCCAATCGTCAAAGAGTTCTCTTCACCGATCTTCGTCGATTTAAAATAAAACAAAGAAATACAAGTCGTCAAAACAGTGGAAGATCAGATGAATATGCAGACGGTAAGATCGTAGCAAAGGCCTGCAATAAATGTAAGAGATATGTCCCTCTTGAAAGCGATCGTCAGGCAATCAAGAAATATTGTAGACCCTGTAAAACTAAAGTAAAAAGAAACACCGGATCGGTAGAAAACATAATGGTATGCATTAGCCCTGGTAAGCAAGCACCTATTTTTGTTAAAAATAGGCCTAATCCACTTGTAATAAACCCCATTTTGAATAGCTACGACAAGCATATTTTGAAAAATTTTCAAAAATTCAAAGCAGAAAAAAATATACGACGGAAATGTTCTGAAGGTTGCCCTTTTATTGGTCATATCGAAGATGAAATCCCATTAAAAAACCACTCGTCCAGCTCTAGAGATAAAAAAGCTCCTCAAGAAAAGCCCAGTCCGTGTTATTGTGAAAGTGAAGAATTGATAGAGTACAAAGATCAAAAAATAAACAAATCCAAAATTTCATTTATTACTTGTGAAAAATCACCGAAAAATGAAAGCAAATCAAAGACAAATTTTGAGTCACCTTCTCGGGAGAAGGAACCCAGCCCTATGGGAAATAATAAATCGAGTGGATTTAGCTGTCTTAAGCAAACGGAAAAATATTCCCAAGAAAAGTCGAAGCCAAACGAGAAAACTCCATCAAAATCAAGTGGATTTGCATGTTTTAAGCAAAAAGACCAAAAAATCCCAGAAAAGAACAAACCAATCGAGAAATCCCATTCAAAATCTAGTGGATTTCTAAGTTTTAAGCAAAAGGGAAAAAATCAACAAGAAAAGCCCAAACCAAATAAGGAAACACCTTCATCAAAATCTAGTGGATTTCTTTGTTTTAAAAAAAAAGAAAAGCCTCCTCAAGAAAATAAACCTGAAATGAATAAAAAATCAGAATATGGAATTATTGAAAAGCCATCAGGTCCAGGGGTCCAATACAGGAAAAAAAAGGACAAGGAAAATAATGCAAAAATCAAAATAGAAGAAAGAAATAAGAAATCCTCGAAGCGTAGCGGATTTTTCAGTTGGTGCAAGAAACATCAGACTGCCAAGGAGTCTAGTCGAAAAGTTGAGAAAGTTCCCTCGAATATAACATGTACTTGTAGTAAATATGCCCAACCAAAAGATCAAGAGATACCCATGCTTAAATCTGAAATGCCTTTTCGCTGTCCATGTGCTCCCGAAGATATCGAGGACGGCGAGGTTAAGGTCCTATATGACTCCAGTTTCCGTTTCCAAAAAGAAAGTAGCAGCTGTGCCGAGGTTGCGAAAAAAGTATATTGCCATAATAATCCACAACAACCTGCGCAAGATACTTCAGATTGGTATGAATCATCGCGTGCAACTTCAACAATATCCTGCCGCCAAAAGTTCGGGGATCAGGAGACCACATACTGTCCATGTGCCAGTGCCAATGGATTCTACAAAATTGTGCGGTAACTATGATTGGGAGTTTCAACAAAAATACCAACATTTTTGGAAAGCTCCCAATCATAAGTACCCAAAGTAGGCAATTCAAACGAGTGGAAAACGTACAGTTAAATCAATGCCAAGGATTCAAAATATCATAATCGAATAACTGTTTTAAAACCCAATTAATTCTAGTAAGATTGCTGACCATCAAACTTATTCCAGTTAAAAAAATTAAATTCTAGATAAAGAATAAAAACCGGTTTTCTTTTAAATATTTTCTGTTTATTATTTTTATTACTTATCCTAATTCAAAATAGAAATATGAAGAAATAAGTTTGTTTATTTGTAATACAGCCCATTTGGTGTCCATATAAAGTATGTTGATATATTATATTATCCATTAAACCCCTCACCTCGGCGGTAAGCTCCTTCGCTGATCTTAAGGGGTACATATTCGATGAGCATTTTTGGATGCTGCAGCCTAAATTGATCGAAACCACCAAATGGGGGAACAGCCGACGAAATGGCAAGCAGAACAAACAAACAGGCAATCTAAATCTAAATTAATTTAAAAATGATTAATAAGCATGAAATGGTTTCTAAAAGTTAATCAGGACTTACCAACAATTTCATTTTGCTACTGTGATTGGCTCCTAATTTTGGAGTACGACTATATGAAAGTTTCTTTAAGGCATTCCTGCAACTAAGCTATTTCCCAGCTTGTCTAGCTATTTACAGCATGCGTTAAGATACATAAGAAATCAACAGTTTGTTACCTACTTCTACATTTTCGAAGAAAACATCTAAGAAAGGATCCTTAATTACCATTTCTACCTAAGTCTGTTCAAATGCAGGAAAGCAGGTAGTTTAAATATTTGCCCAAGATCGCTCGTTCTGAAAAAAATAAAAATCTGAAGGTCATCCCATTCACAAAGGATTTTTATTACAAAGTACAGCTTAGTTATTGGAATTATAAATGTACAATAGCTATTCTATGTTTAAAAGACAGTAATTTAACTTTTGATCAGCATACTTAGCAATATCATAAAAAGTCTATTATAATACAAATATCAAATTTATTTCCTCAAACTATAGTATTCCAATATCGATTAAATTAAAAACCTATTTGGGTATTAATATAAAATGACTGTATCACGACCTACATTTATTTATAGTAAGTGGTCTGTAGGTTTAAACGTTTTATAAGTTGCCTTAGATATATGCCCTGATGAATGTCTCAATCAATCTTTTACACATCTTAGTAGTCGATATTTGCAAATACCCAGATGGATTAAAAACTGTTTCCAGTAAGCAGAATTTGGGCAAAGATGCATAATGGCTTAACAAGAAATGAGATACAAAACTGAAAGGTATGAAGAACCTGATATCAAAGCTTGTGTGGTAAATATGATTGGGAGTTTCAACAAAAATTCCTACACTTTCGAAAAACTCCCAATCATGAGAACCCAAAGTTGGCAATCCAAAATAGAGCAAAACATACAGTTAAATCAATTAGTAAGAAGATACAAACCATCAAATAGAATAACTCCTTAAAAAAACCATACATTCTAGTCAAACTGCAATCACGGCCTTTAATTATAGGCCATCAATCTAATTCCAGTTAAAATTTAGATAAATAATAAAAACCGATTGTCTTTTAAATATTTTCTGTTTATTTGTAATTTTGTTTATTTGTAATACAGCCCATGATGGTGTTCATATAAAGTTTGTTTGCTATATTATCCATAAAACCCATTAAATCGGCTGTTAGTTTCAAGCTCCTGCTGTTGCTGCTGCTATCCAAAATAACCTCCGACATTTTCCTGCTGTTGCTGCTGACCAAAAGGTCCAAAAGGTCCGCCGAAAGCTTCTTGCTGCTGCTGTTCATATCCGCCGAGACTTTCCTGCTGTTGCTGCTGTCCAAAAGATCCAAAAATACCTCCGACATTTTCCTGCTGTTGCTGCTGACCAAAAGATCCACGTCCGTCGAAACTTTGTTGCTGCTGCTGTCCAAGATTTCCAAATCTGCCGAAACGTTCCTGCTGTTGCTGCTGCTGTCCAGATCCACCGTAATTACCCCAGGGACTAAAATGGGGACGCGCCGACGAAATGGCAAGCAGAACAAACAAAAAGGCAATCTAAAGAACAAATGGAATTTTTAATTAGCTTAATAATTTTAAAATAGTTTGAAAAGATTCCCAAATGTTATTCAGGACTTACCAACAATTTCATTTTGCTACTGTGACTGGCTCCTAATTTGGGAGTACGACTATATGAAAGATTCTTGAAGGTATTCTTGCGACTGAGCTCTGTTCCATTGGGTCTAGCTATTTATAGTATGCGTTCGACTACTTTCTAGGGTACTTTACCTGCTTCTAAATTTTCAAAGAAAATATATGAGAAAGAATCCCTAATTACCATTTCTACCTAAGTCTACCTAAGTTAAAATGAAGGAAGCAGGTAGTTTATATAACAGAACTTTTTGCCAAGATCGCTCGTTCTGAAAGAAAATAAAAGGCAGATTTGGTTGCTTCTAATGTACAGTATAGTTATTGGAATTATAACAAGAAAGGAAGCAAACTTCGACAAGCCGAAGTTTATATACCCTTGCAGTTAGAACAAATCGACTGCATTTCGATTTATGTGCCTATATTATTAAAAACAATGAAGCTATGTCGATTTAGCGCTGCATTTTCTCATCGTTTCTCTGGCAGCTATATAAGATTGTTGTCCGATTTTAATTTAATTAAAACCGTAATTCAATAATATTTAAATAATGACAAAATATAATGATTAGAATTGTGCTACGTTTTTATAAAATATTTAAAGTGTTCCGTTAGTTGGTGTAACCATCTCGCTTTGCGGCTGGTATTTTTACCACATTCTTTGCCCACCTTTGATGTCGGTATTTCTCAACTTTTCAGATTCGTTCACACTGAAGCACGCCGCCGGAAAATGTTGAAAAATATTTTGATTAGATCCAGGCAGTTGCTTTATCCCGTGGCCAGGCCTTTTGGTCGAAGCAGCAACCAAGGACATGCGGTAACCGAATCCCCAGAGGCGGTGACCGCTCCTCTGGCGACCAAATCTCCGCTGATTCTGGCGCAAGATTACACGGAGTACTCGCCAGTGAGCAGGAGCACGGCCCGGCAGGCGTGGATCGAGAATACGGATGAGGTCGCCGAGCGGAAGATCGGTCTGATTGAACTGCATCCGGATGTGTTTGCCGCCCAGCCCCGGGTGGACATCATCCAGGAGAATGTGGAGTGGCAGCGCAAGTATCGTTATGTAAGCATGGCACACACGAAAACACGAGCGGAAGTGCGCGGTGGCGGACGGAAGCCATGGCCCCAAAAGGGAGGAGGACGTGCTCGTCATGGCTCCCTCCGTTCGCCCATGCTCAAGGGCGGCGGAGTGGTGCACGGCCCCAGATCGCCCACCACCCACTTTTACATGCTGCCTTTCTACAAAAGGGTCTTAGGACTGACCTCAACGCTAAGCGTTAAGCTGGCCCAGGATGATCTGCACATCATCGATAATGTGGACATACCCACTGGGGATGCACAGTTCCTCAAGGATCTGATCGCCGAACGGAACTGGGGACCCTCTGTCTTGATTGTGGATGAGTGAGTATTATAACCATATCAACAGTGATGGAAAAAGTCGGATTGTACTTAATAACTTTATAATTTTTTGCTCTTGAATGAACTATCTAACAAACCAAATTATGTACCTAATGATACATGTAGTATTTAGGTAATGGAACCAAATACCTTTTCCATAACTGCTTTTATGATTATTTATGTTGATAGCTTAATTCATATATTTTAATCCGTTCCCAGAGACCACATGTTCCCAGCCAACATTTGTCAGGCCAGCGACGATTTGGGCTATGTTAACCTGATGCCATCCTTTAGCCTGAACGTGTATTCCATGCTAAAGCACGACACCCTGGTGCTAACGGTGGCTGCTGTGAAGCATTTAGAGCAGCGTCTACTATATCAACTTCATCGCAACGACGCCGCCAGCAAGGGCGGAAAGTTCAAGCTGGATCAAGTCTAGAAGCTAAGAAAGTTAAATCCTTTAGTATATTTGTAATCTTTACGGATGCCAGAAAATGCATTGTTAAACGATAAAAGGGTTTTTAAATTCACCTGGATAATATGGGTTTGTTGGCAAAATTATATAAAATTAGGTTTAACCGCGAAGAATAAGATGGCAACCAATTGGAATCGGCATTGAGTCACTCCATTTTTGTAAAATGAAAATTTTCTTATTTTTCAAATTGAAAGATCATACGAGGTTTTCGGTTCCCTTTCCCCTACAATTTTAAATAAACAAAAGATATGTAATTCAAATGCTTCAGATTATCTTCCATTTAATGAAAATATAGGGTTCTTATGCTCTCATTTCTAATGTATTTAGGAAAGGTGATAACAAATTGGTCTTCATCTTTATGATCTTTATCAACAAAGTTTGTGGGTTCCTTTTAAGAGATACCCCAAAATTTGAGCAATTTAAAATTAACAATTAAAATGCTTTAGTTTATTGTTTGTAGCAGTCAACAAAAATGCTTTTATCCTTAGTGAAATCATTCGCCACAGTGACCAAAGGATCCTTATCCGCTTCAGATACCAGGATCTCACAAGCTCCATTCAGTGATTCCCCCAGTTTATGTGAGAACACCTTTAGGAAACCCCTCTCCGAGTTGCTGTGATTGCAAAGCAATACGGTGGTATTATTGTGGGTGAATTCCAACAGTTCGTGGTGCGACATTTCTCCAGTGATAATGAGATCCGCTTGGATTCCTTTTAGTAGGGATCCCCCAGAGCCCGCACAAATACCCACGGTTTGGATTAGGGTATTTGGATTGTGACTCACAGCGAGTGCGATATGCACGCTATTCCCTATGTGCTTCTGCAGGGATTCCAGCAGCTTGGAGAGCTCCATTTTGGTTTCTATATATCTACCGGATCCTGTGCCCGGTGGAGCGCCCAATTCCGGTTCCAGGGGGCGGATACTAAGGATATCCACTGCCAGCGATAGCCAATCGTTGACGCCACCACATGCCTTATCCCAAGCCGTGTGGGGTGAATACAAGGCTATATCATTGGCCAAACAGGCGGCAACCACGCGTTCCTTCCAATGCGTCTGCGTAATTCTTGTCAGGGGCTTGAAAATCGGCGGATGATAGCTGATTATAAGCTGCACATCCTTCGCCAACGCTTCGCTCATCACTGGTTCTGTTAAATCATTGGAAATTAGTATTCTCTTTATTAGTTTTTCCCGATGCGGTTCAATCAGGAGTCCCACGTTGTCCCACTTCTCCGCCCATGAAATCGGCGCAAATTTCTCCAGCTCCTTCACCACTGTCACTAATTTTTGACCATTATAAGAGCTCATTCTTTTTAGCATGCCTTGCCGTCCTATTGTTTGTTGAATCTTAGAAAAATGCAGATTAGGTTTTATTTTGAAGTTTGGCCTGCCAACCTATTCTTAGCCGCTTTTACGTAACAGCTGTTATTTACCCCGTTATTACGTAGTTAGTAAGGGCGAAATAAAAAAATTAGTTTATTTAAGGTGAGAACACTAGATCTGATTCTATTCGTTTTTTCAAAAGAAAATAAATTGAATTAAGAAATCGGTGTGACTAAAACTATTTTTCAAGAGAATCGAATTCACACATGTACATATACTTATGTATGTAAATATTTAGGTTGTACGCATGTTATTCTTATCAGTATTTCTTAAAAACCGAAACTTCAACAAGCCATAATTTATTAAGGGAAAAACCTAAATAGGACTTGAACTGTATATTTTTTAAAGTCAATGAATACTTAAAGTTCCATTGTCAAAATAAGCAGATCACAATATTACTGTTAAGATGCTAAAGCATTTGTACAATATTGAATTTTGTAAAGTTTAAGGAAGTGAAAAAAGGTTTTTATTTTTGATTAAGTGTTTCCTCTTTTTAGCAAACCTTTGGTCTTTTAAATGTTTCATATACTAATTCATTAACAGTTTAACTACAAGAAAAAAATCGGTAAGATGGATATGCTATCAAAGACGGCATATCCGAAATAGTCTTATTGACCCATAACGTTGAAAATCCATCGGAAAATAATGTTTCAATGTGACCACATCATCAATCAAGGGGAAGATGAAGTCCTTAGGTCCAGACTGGTCTATCAGATTGCAGAATGTTCTAGTAAAGAAAATGTTCCATTATTGTCAACCGCAATTTTAAGTACGCTCATCTGAGTATAAATCTTCTACTTTACCAATTAAAATAGTAAAAGTTAATTATTAGTAAAGTAAAACTAATTTATTAATCAACGTTAAATTAGTTTCAAATTTGTATAAGAATTTTAAATCTTTTTGTTTTTGTAAAAATATTATTCACTATATTTTATAATAAGTTATGTTAAATGCTTATATCATTAAAAAATGTTCTAAGAAATCAAAATTTCTATATATACAGCTTCATGATGAAAGAAAGTGAAATCCCAAAACCCTAAAAAATAAATGATTAGTCAGCACGATTTTAATCAACTAAATATTTTTCAGCACAATTTAAACGAAAAGTTAAAGCCATAGCTTACATTAAATAACCTTAAAATTTTTATTAAAAAAAGTAAAACCACTTATAAAAACATTTATAATATTTTATAATAAATGTAAAAAAAGATTTATGTCTCTGAATTTATTTGTCTTTATTTACCAGTCCATTGAAAATAACTAATGGAGAAGTCCCCTTACGTGGATTCCATGATGATTTGGCACTATATATTTCTGATTAAATTGAAAACCCAACTTTGAAAGATATTAAGTACGCGTGACCAACACAAAATAACGCCAAAAATTTCTTATCTATACAAGTGATACAAAATTAAAATTTAAAATCTAAAACTTTTAAGAATTTTTAAAGCATGACCAAGTACTCCAAATAACCCATAAAATGCAGCAAATATGCTATTATGGTGGAGAATCAAGTGGTAATTTTATAAAATATATATTTCTAAAAATGTATATTCAATAATTGAAAAAAAGTAAATCCGCAAAGCCTATAAAAACCACTGTTCTTGATAGCAAAGTAGCCAAAAATAAATTTCGCTACACAAGATAAATGCAAGATTCTTATTACTAGTAAATTGAAAAAACAAATTTTATATTTCCACTTTCATTTTTATGACAACAAAGTGTGATGAAATCTGAGTTTCCAAGTGGAGAATTTCCAAAAATGTAGATGATTTAATGCAAAGAAAACCCCTAAATGATGATAAGCATGAAAAAAAACCCTGACAGAGATAGCAATATATAATACAATTTAATGACAATTCTTAATCTATACCTCTCTTATTTTACTGTTTAAATATTTTACGAATAAAATAAATCCCTTATATTATTAATACTTAATTAAATGTAATGCTATAGCATTAAAGAAGCATGATTAAATGTTTAAAAAACCCAAGAGGAGGCCGCATGACAAATCGATCACACGGAAATTCAGCCGAGAAGTTGTGAGCCAATGCCATGTGAAGAACCGAAAGATTGGGAAACCAGGTAGAAATATTCGAGTTTACAGTTTTCGAATTCCAGAGAGTATCCTGCGCAGCAGAGGCAAAACCATTTCCGCTCGGTCACCTTAAAATTAAATTGGTGTTTTTCCTGATGTTTGTTCGCATCGTCGTCATACGCATTTTGTCCACAGAGCCCTGAACACCGCTCGGTAGAACTCGCCGATCAGCAAGTAAAACGTAAATATGTAAATATATTTTAGTAGCGCTACTGTTGTTGCTTTTGTTGCTACTGCGGTTGTTGTTGTGGGATTTAAACTTGGCGCTCAGCTGGCGATCCGGCAACCCTGTTACGGCTCTCTTTTGGCTCTCTCTCCCACTTACACACACCTTCTCTTCAATCGAAACGGGAACTCACCCACACAGTTTTAAAAGGGGGAGCACACACAGCTTAAGCAAATTGTTTTGATACTATATAAAGACTATATACTTCACATTATAACTGGCTACCAAACGTCAATTCGTATCGAAACGTGAAAGAAGCAAGACGTGCACGGCTACTATGCGATTTGCAGAATTACAAATCAACTTGAGTTAAATTCAAAATAACGCGTGTTAAAGCAAACTTTGCAAGACAATATTAGCGAGCAAGGTAGTGAAAAATATTAAATATAGTGACCAAATCTAAAAAACCACCTGAAAAGAATGAGGGAAAAAAGGAAGCTGTGTGAAAAGAGAGATAAAATAAATCTCCCTCTGTATGTTTGTGTGTGTGCGGGTGAAACAAACGTAAAAAGGCAAAAAAATATACAATTGATGTATTTGTATATTTTTTGAAAAATTTATTTTATGAAAATTAAAAATTAACCAAACCAGTGAAACGCTTAGATTTATGTTTATCTGGCTATACTTGTATATAAAATTATAAATTGCTTTAATCTAGAAAATTATTGCGTTTTCACTTGTTCGCTTAGGTCTGTATGTTTGTTTCACTCGCACTTGGAGCAGTTACGTGTGAGCGCCCTCTGTGTGTTTGTGTGTGTGAGAGAGAGACTGAGCTCAAAGCAAAGTTCAAAACGACAAATATATATGTATATAACATATATGTATTTGCAGTCCAACTGAGAGAGTCCGGAAAAGCACGAAAATGTGGAGCCCAACAAAAGCAGCGGAGGCAGCAACAAAGGCAACAGCAACAAGTGACTGCAGCTGCAGCGCTGCCAGTGTTGAGCAGCGTGCCCCCCCAAACGCAGCTAACCCCTCACCCTTACCACCTACTAGCGGTAAATTTGGCGGCAAAACACAAGATCAAACGGCCGCCATTAACAAGCAAAAGGAATTTGCCGTGCCAAACGAAACCAGCGATTCGGGCTTTATTTCTGGCCCCCAATCCTCGCAGATATTCAGCGAGGAGATAACCGACGAATCCGAGGAGCAGCAGGATCTAGAGGATAAGAATCAGAAGGTTTCGGAACCCCATAAGACACAACCCGTTGTCCTCGATTCCGGCATTATCGACGAAGAGGACGATCAGCAACAGGACAAGGAGGAGCACCAGGACATCACCACCGCCGATTCGATGCGTCTCAAAAACAGCGCGGACACAGGCATCCCACAATGGACCGTCGAAAGCAATTTGGCCAGTCGTGGCGAACAGCTCAACAATCTCGGCCAGAGCAGCAAGGTGCAATCCTCCACAGCCACAGCCAACACCAAGAATCCGAATCCCACGGGATCAGGAGCTACCTCATCCGCTCCGCTCAGCAGTATCAGCATCATAAACGCCTGGGAGCAGTTCTTCCAGCAAAACGACGACGGCGACACGTAAGTGCACATGGAACATATCAGTATTTAGGGGGATACAGTCGCAAAAAGATTCGAGTTTCGGGGACTTTAAGTAAACAATTTAATGGTTAATGTTTATATTCTTAACGTCGTTAAACTATAAATTTTAAAGCAACATGTCCGACAAACTAAAATCTATAAAATCTTAAATTTTATCTCAAGATTTATTATATTCTCATTTAAAGTTTTTACAAAAATTTTTAATATTTCTATACTTACTATTTTTAAGCTCAATGGGCTACGAACATTGTCCTTATTTCGCAATAAAATCCGAATCGGAAATTGTTTGGCTTTGATTAGACAGACTTAACACCAAATATTCTTTGAATAACCCACATTATGCAAATACACATTGAACAAGAATTTTTACTAAATTAAAAAGACATATAAATTCTGAAATTTATCTCTAATGAAAACATAAATGAAATAGAATTTAAGTAGAGGATGTATTTTATTTGGGATCCACTTGAAAGTTATCATTCCTTCCAATTATATATCTACAAACAATGACTATCGCTTTGTGGCACAGCCTTTGAATCATTGCTATGTTTTTTGGAACTTGTACGTGCTGTATTTCCGATGAGAATTTCAAAATTTCCCAAAATAACAAAGACGCCGCGAAACTGCACTGACCACCAAGCGAGCTATGGGGAGAGTTTCGTGAATCACTCAAAGACCATTGTATGTCTGAGGCGAGAAACGCGACTGACACATGTGTTTTAGTCAGGCTTCGGGGTTTTCCTGGTATGTGGGCAGGTACGGGAACAGGTTTTTCGGGGCACCTCTTCTTTTTTCACCTTAACTTAACTTACTTGGGTTTTTACGCCGCCACATGACCGACGACAAGTGTACAGGAAGGGAAGAAAGTGCGGGTGCCGGTAGGCAGGTAAATAAACCCACAAATTCATTGTGTATCTTTTGCTTATTTCAGACCTCTGCATCTGGCCTGTATTTCGGGATCCGTGGACGTGGTGACCGCCTTAATTCGCATGGCTCCGCACCCGTGCCTTCTCAACATCCAGAACGATGTTGCCCAAACTCCCCTTCACCTGGCCGCCCTCACTACACAGCCGAATATCATGAGGATGCTGCTGCTGGCCGGAGCAGAGGTAATATTCAGTAGAACTAAGAAGGAAACACTTAGGAAATAGTTCGAAAGTTTCAGGCTAAAAAGGTCAGGTTTACAGAATTGTAAGATAATCATTTTCCACACTTATGTATCTAAAAGAGGTATATTAAACATTGAAATTCAATGTTTACAATCGATGAGCCTTTATAAATTTGGCTTTCAACCTTATTTTGGAAGTAGTTGTTATAAATCGAATGTATAGAATCCAATCTAACGATTTTATTATGCGGAAATTCATTCTTAATTTTCCAAACTTTTTTAATAGCCCCTATAAACGATAAAATATAATAAGTTTAAAATTATTACGTCATAATTACTCATTTCTATAGCCCACGGTCCGCGATCGTCATGGAAATACCGCTCTCCATCTTTCCTGTATCGCCGGGGAGAAGCAATGCGTCCGCGCCTTGACAGAGAAATTTGGAGCCACGGAGATCCATGAGGCCCACCGACAGTACGGACATCGTTCTAATGATAAGGCGGTTAGCTCCCTCAGCTACGCCCGTCTGCCCGCCGATCTGGAGATTCGCAACTATGATGGTATGTTTTTATCTATATTGCTTTGTATATACATTTACAGGAAATACATTTTAGACATCTTAGTATTTTAATGTTAAAAACCCACCACTACTATTTTAAAAACGAGTTAACTACTCTTTATTCAAATTAAATTTTTTGAGCTACTTGCAAAATTATCGGAATTTTTTCGTTCCAAAAGCTAAATGTGGTTTTACAAAATGTATTATTTTTGGCCTAGCATTTGGAGGCATTTATCAAAAATAAATATGAATCTGTGCCAAAAGTGTACACATTATATAGCTATACATATATTTGGTGTCCCGCCAACGGCTAGCCACATTGCGAGACATTGTCGTCTGCCATATAGAATGTATATACGTTATAGACGTACATATGGTTATAGTCTATATAGACGCCTTTGAGCAGATGCCAAAAATACATTGGCCTCCCCGACACAGTTCGCCTGAAAATTTCGCTCGTCAAATGATTAAAGCAACAACCCTTCGCCTTATTTCCATTTTCATTTGCGTTATTGATTAACCAAAATAAACGAAATGCGCAAAGAACATTTGCAAAGTTTCAGACGTCAGCAGAGTATAATAAAAACAATTTATACAAGGATAGGAAAAATGTTTATTTCTTTGTTGGATGAAGAGAACCAGAAAAGCATTTACATAGACGCTTATTGAAAAGGAAATTCAATTGATTTGCTTTGTTTTACTCTCTCGCATTAATTTTGAATATTGTATCAAGGAAATGATATTAAATTCAATTTATTTTCCGCGCGTAAAGGCAGGCGTGTCCCATCATTAACATTTGTTTCCTTATTTGTTTTTACTCTGTATTCGCGGACCTGAAATCGAATTATCGATTTAAAAGCCGATGGTATGTGGGGGTGCCACCCACACACATTGTATAACATGTATTCAAGAAGGGTTCCAAATTCAAATTTCTATTAATAATCCATTTTTTGGAATGCTTGCCAAATTTTCTGTTGCACCAACAGTTTTATTTTGTTTTGTATTATATTTTAAGTAAAGGTTATCTACATTTTATTATTATTGTCGTAAAATAGCAAGTGCTAAACTTAATTTGCTTATTATTTTGAAGAATATTTTAAAATTTTATACTAACTCCAATTTTTTCATTGAACGGAAAGTAAAAGTTTTTTTAACTACCGCTTCAACTCTTTAAAAAGGTTAATAAACTTTTCAGAAAGTATTGCAAAATCAAAGTTATTTGCTTTTAACCTTTCGCTTGTTTAATCGATTTCTATTGGCCTTTTTGCACCTCTGTTTTTTTTTGCTATGTATAACCTTGCCAAAAATAAAATCCGAATTCGTGAGTGGCAAACATTTGGTGAACAAACATTTTTTTTACCCATCGGCCAGCTTTAAGCAGCGCCAACCGGTTTGAAGCTCCACAAAACAGCTGCTCCGCATATTGTGGATATATATGTAAATGCTATATATAACCTGCTCAGATACGGCATATAATGTATTTCGGCTAGCCAAAAGCAAAAGCGCAGACATTTCCGACAAAAACTATTAAAAACCAACAAAGCAAAAAGAAACGAGACGGTCAGACGATTGTGAATATTTCGCCTCTTTGAAATTTCTGGGTTTTCCCACTGCCGCAGCATTAAATTCGAAAGCAATTCAAAATATTCGAGGCGGGACTTCGGGGGCAGTTTTGTGTATACAAGGCAGATTACTAAGTAAACACAGTATATATGGTGCAAAGCGATCTACATCAGCAATGACGTCAGCATCCCTGGGTATAAACACACACACAGAATGTTTTTCTTTTAGAATCTATTAGTAAATACTTCTTAGGAAACATGTTATACCATAATTTGGAGAACAAAGAGCGAAAGCCCTAAAATGTGCTTTAACAATCCGTTTCCTCAACTCTTCCGAACATTTTTAAAATTATCAGTATTTTTTCTCTAAATTTAAAGTCATTCCGTTCCCAATTTAAAATTCTTTACTAAATTAACTTAAATGATTCTTTAAAAGTATTAAAGTGCGAAAAAATGCGCTATATATAGGACACATTTTCCTTTTTGGCCCTGCGCCAAGCAAGAGCAGGCTTTAAAGAATGCAGCTGAAGAAAAACAAATAATACCAATAGAATAATGATAACATTAAGCCGATTATAAGGGCAGACAAAAACGGAAATTGGGAAAGGTTCGTTATCAACGGCACAAAGGTGGAAACTAGAGACCTCCAAAAAATATTTCTGTACAATCTGGAAATCCCCACAATAGTAATTATGGCCAAATGCTTAGGGGCCGACCGCCCGCCTGTAACTTGGTCGTAATCCATTTTTGGGCCTCATTAACGCGACCAACACGCAACTGGGAAATGGATTGCGATTATATAAATAAACGCACGCAAGGCTCTCGAGGACAGCCTCTATAAATAGTATTGGTTTTATTTCTCTCGTTCGGTTCGCTTAACAACATTGTTTGCTTTGCTCTTTAGAAAACCAAGAATGCCAGAAATTCCCATTGTTGATAATAAAGCCCACAAATAGATTGATTGTCATTCACTTATCTGTGAAAATAAACCATTCTCAAATTAAAACTTTTTGGGGATTACCAAGCCGGGTTTTATGGATTTCTAGGGTCAGCTACTAAGGATTCTGCGTATATTCCATTGAATGGTTTAGTTTAGAATTTTCCCCAAGGGTATGGGGGAGGTCAGAAAACGTCTCTTCTTATCGGTCTGAGGGAAGCAATATACAAATGTCGGTTAAACCAAACGAGGGAATTTCAGAACCGCACATTTGTCCTGCATGTGTGGGTTTAGGTATTAATGCATATCTTTATTTAAACGAAGAACCAATGAAATCTGTGGCCTGGCAACTGAAATTACAATTAAGAGCATTCACTCCAGTACTTCCCCGGCTGATAAGCTGGCAAAAAAAAAACAAATGAGATATGTCCAGCGGTGTTCGATCGTCAGCAGACATTGGTAACTGTTATCAGCTGAGGAAAACCCCATAGGTGGTCGTTTACTGTGCGATTATACGACTCTCCACATTCAGCGAGTTGCGCTCTGGAACGTCCTCGCCCCCTTTCGCATTAAAAAAGATAACTGGCTATTATCAGTGTGTAGGTTTTACCCCTGGAACATTACGTTATTTACTGGATCTTAACCATGTGTGCTGTAAATGTCTCGTGTTCTAAAAAAAAAACTCATAGCCGTAGAAACCCGCTGATAAATCATGAGTTAACAGATATTCTGAAAAACCTAAACCATTTTGCGTAGCTTGCAAATTGCCACATAAAAAACAGCTATAAGATAAATAGGAGAGGAATAAGTGCACAATTAACGTGACTGGGATTTCAGAAACAAATCTCTTTAAAATAAAATTAGAATATAAACACCTACCAAATTAATCAAGTTTAGACTTACACCATCGAAAACCTGTTTCAGGCATTCATTATTTATTGACATCTCAAATCTACGACATTCTGGAATCTGTCGACTATCAATGAGTTTTACATCAATGCACATAGTAACGAACACAACAACATATTAGTCATAAACGAACGATTGTCAGAGACACAAGGTTAAATCTGGACTCTCCCGTTTTTGCAGCTGTCTCGAACCAGTCAAGAGTCGGAGCTATGATATACTCTGTTAAAAGATCTTATTTTTCACTCCGCCTAATTCGTTAGCTCACTTCCTTATTCATGATCCGAAGAAAACTTAATCGGCTTTGTTTTTGGTTGAACGAGCTTGGTATTTCCAAGATCCAAGAGTTTATTCACTTTAACGGACAGCGGACAAGGTTAGATCACTTTTAAAACCTAAGCATTTTGTTTCCCTTTTTTATCTGGGAGTTTTGAAAAATGACATTTGCGAGAATCCGAGATTGGTGAGCGGAAATCTTAAAGTTCACTTACTTTAACAGATACTGGACAAGGTTAAATACTTTTTTAAGCGGAAATCTGTACTTCCATTCTTTGTTTTGATTATTTCTTTTCAAACAGTCAGCTGTAAATAAAATTAAATTAAAATTACTTGCTTATTGCTTATTGTATAATTTCCCAAGAGCTCTCTAAATAATAGAGATCTTAAAGATCTAAAACCTTTGAGGAGTAGCTAACATAATACTTCCTCTACTTAGAAGGTAAACAAAACCTGAATGAGTAACATGAGTGAGTAGCGCAGAAACTTACAATGAGCTCATGCTAATTGCAAAAAATAAAAACAATGTGACGGAAGTTAAGTAACGCAATGAATAATACCTGACGTCCGAGGAAAATCCTAACTGCAACTGAGAGTTGAAAAACAAAAAAACCTAAAGCTGATCTCCTTCCAACAATGGTGACCTCTTTGGGATTTCCCCAAATTCCGTTTGCGCCTTAATTGCTGAGCTGTGTTTTCTTTTTTACTTATTTCTTTTATTTAATTTTTTTGTGCAGTCCCACACGTGGCTGACGATCCCCACAGCCGATTTTGGTTGAGTCGGGTGTTATTTGCATTTCGCATTCATAGCTCGAAAGAAAGTCAACAAGGCGAATCCACTGACATAACGATCGAGCGATATAAAGTGGTTCGGGCAGGGGGTGATCATGGGGGAGCAAACTGAGCCCGAGTTGCTTTCAAAACACTTTCATTGCCAAGTCAGTCGTCGTAGTCATGGCTTGGAAAATCCATGGCTTTAATTGTGCTAAATTGTGTTGTTTGTTTTCGCTTCATTTGGCGGCCGGCTGCAGTCAGCTATCTGGGTTTTTCACTTTACTTTAGCTAATTTCCACATTGGGAAAGTTCGAACATAGATGTATGTAGATAAATAGCCCAACGGCGCCGAGAAGTCTTGTGGTAAACAACTTTTAATTTGATATTGTCTTTTCTCCCCACTTTTGATTGTTTATATATATTTTTTTTAGTATATTTGTCTCCCAGTCGTATTTTGACAGTTGGCTTTTATGTCAACGGCCATGTCTTCTGGGTCTTTGTGGGTTTTGGGCCAGGTAGTTCCCCTAATGGCCTGGTAACTTCTTTTGGCACGCGTTTGTGTGGAAAACTCGAAACAGCTTTCAGATAATTCCCGCTCCGATAAATATTACAAATACTCGTGCCTTACGCATAAAGAAATTCCGTAATTGTATAATTATGAATCAATGACCCAAACTGAAGGACAAATAAAGCTGGCAAACCGGGGAATACAAGAAATAAATATTTGAAACAAAAAACCAAAAGTTATAAGCAAAAAAACCCGTTGTAGAAATACCAAAACTCTGCCCCAACAATAAACACAATTAATTAAAATTAAACGAAGACAGCGTTGCGTTTAATATTTGCGCTGTCAATAAATTTATGAACTTTGCTACTTCGGGTGACTTGTGGAGTACTCTTAACTGCGCCGTTGGGTTTTTCTCATAAGGTCGTTGTCGATATCGTTGCCGTTTTTCGCCGCCTGTGTAAATAGTAACAACATCATATCATACAGGTTAATGGGTGTGGGTTGTTGGGGCGTTAAAGGGGGAATCGAGGTTGGAGGAGCGATCGGATCAAGTGGGCGGTGGTGCCATTTGTGAAAGTGTTTAGGCTGTCAAGTGCCGGGCAAATAGAATTTCCCATATTGCGCAGTTCTAAACGATTTCAAAATGGTTATTACTTCCTAAAACTCGAATCTGATTAAAGTTATTACAGCAAAACACATTTTTTCTAAAAATGGTAAGAATATTTGAAAATATTTTTGAAAAATGTTCTAAAAATTCTGAAATTTTGTTATAATTTACTTGTATTATCTGTAGAAAAACAAATTTTACTATCTTTTCCTTGTCTTAATTTAAATACACATAAATATGAATGCTGTGATAAACGGTTCTTTTTAAACCGTGACATCAAGTTTTAAATTATTCAAAGGGCATTGTTGTGAATTTTTGAATTCCAAAGTTTTTATTTTATTTACTTACTTTTTATGTACCCTAATAAAACGCTACAGAAATGGCTAAAAATATTTGTGACGATTGAACCCATTAAAATATTAATTGCTGAAATAAATTTAAACGAAAACGTTCAGATTTTATAACTTTTTGACCGATCAAAATGCGCTGAAGTGTCAGATATATGTACAAGTCTAATTATTGAGCAATCACCGTATTTATTTCTGGTCTAACTGCTTTCTGGAGACGTGTCTTCGACTCAGACTAGCTGGCTAAGACAGCGGATTAAAATCTGTGGGATCTTGTGACGCAGCCCCGTCCGGCGACGGGGGAATTCCCAAAAGCAAAACAAAGTTTGAAACAAACTTTTCTGTTTCATATTTCATGCTTTATACTGCCTGCCCGTTTGTCTATTAATATCTAATATCGTTGAGTATAGCTCTTTAATCGTATGCTAACGATTGGCACGTTGCTGTGCTGAGAAGCCAACAACAATGAGTATTGTCTTTTACTAGCTCATCTGCTTCTCTTTTAGTTAGTCGAGCTTAAAAAAATTCATGTTGTCATCGTTTATTTTTAAAGCTTGTGACACAATTGTTGTTTTTGTACGCTGTCAAAAAAAAAATGGACTGCGCTGCTGACTTTCTTAATCCGCTTTCTTTTGGAAAAAAAAAGATCCCGGCTTTTAATGTCTGTGTGTACTTGGGTTTTAAATTATTGCCAAATAATCTTATGTATTATTTATTGTTTTCCAAAGGCCAATTCTGAGGTTATCTTGCATGTTTTTTTAAGGTTTCTAATCACCTTTGTGTGGAATTTTGTTTGGATTACCACAGGTTGTTCTCGAATTAAAGACATTTTCATAGAGATAATTCTCTTCTGGTCATGTAAATGTGTGTGATTTATGTAAATGTGCCAACTGTTTGTGTGTGAAAGTCAATCAACAGCACGTGTAGCCTAGCGGCAAAAAAAAACTAAAAAAACCCGTGCAAAAAATATGGCAAAAGCAGTATCAACAACAACTACGTCAACTAATCATAAAGCCATAAAAGCGAAGGCATGGAATACAAAAACAAACAGAAACTAAACAATTCACCTTTGTTTTCAGTTTTTTTTTAGTTTTTTAGCCGTACGATCTGTGTGCAAGCAGAGACTCGATCTGAAAATACAAGATTTGATTGAGAAAGAATCTGAAGAATCAAGTAACAAAAAAATAAGATGAGAAAGATACAGTGTTAGAGCTAACTTTTTTTTAAATACATTTTTACTCATTGCATTATCACGTTTAATTTAATTTAATTAAAAGTGTTCGATAAAATGCTTTACTTTTTGGTAAAAATCCATTTATAAAACATACCAGTAATTTAAATTTTATGCTGGAAACTTTTTTGTGTTTATCTCGTAAAAATTCATATTCATATATTTTCCTTTTATGGAACCCATTTAATTATGAATTTTTTCAAAAAGCGTAGAAGGAAGTGCAAACAAAAAGATAAGAACTGAAAAATTATCGAAATTTCCTCGTTTCTTTCCTCAAATGTCAGTTAAATTATTGCACATATTATTATTATTTTCAGACACTTGTATTCGTGTGTCCATATATCAGATTTCTATATGCTCAAACCAATTTGAACTTGAGCAAACTTGTTGCTGAAGCAGAAACCCAAAAGCCAACTTTGTATTTGGTTTGTTAACTTAACTTAACGCCAACTGTTTGAGTTTTATTTTATTTTATTGTATTTTTTTTGCCCGCTTACCTCGTCACTCGCCTTTGTTGTTGTTGGTCGTTGGTATGTTATTGCTGCTGTTTTATTGTGGGAATTTCTTGGGTTTTTCAACGCACACCAGTGCCGGCGATCGGGCTCACAGATACTCGCATGCGAAGTCAACGGGTTGTCATATTGTCTTATAAGGCAAAAGCCTCCACTTGGCACCAGCCCCCCTAAAAACCCCTCTTTTGCCTTCCAACCGGTCATTGTCGTAATCAAAGCTTTTTTCGTTCGCATTATAAAACGCTACTTGTTTTACAACGGACAGCGATCGCGAGGAGAGTAGCAGCTTTTTTCACTGACGAAAAGCTTTGGGGGAAGGGATCGGGTTTCATTCATAAATCCAGCTTTTTCGATCCACAATGGTGGGAAAATATTATACAAATTGAAAATATTTACTGGTGTTCTCATATTCTTTAACACGTTTCTTAATATGATTAACTATCGCGTCATTCTTGTTTATTAGCATGACGAGCATCAATAAGCATTAGCATGATTACCTTTTGGTGCATTAAAGTTGAATACAACCTATTACAATTTTTTTTATTTATTCAAGAATAGATTAACTTACTAACCAAATTCTATTATTTTCTGTAATTCCAGGAGAGCGCTGTGTACACTTGACTGCCGAGGCTGGAAACATCGATATCTTACGCATTTTGGTATCCCATGGAGCCGACATAAACGCTAGGGTAAGTTTAAAGTCGTTACGAATTCTTGAGAAGCCCAACTAATTAGTTGTTTTAATAGGAGGGCAAATCGGGGCGCACACCGCTGCACATTGCGATTGAGGCCTGCAACGAGGATCTGGCCAACTTCCTGCTCGACGAGTGCGAGAAACTCAACCTGGAGACAGCCACCTTTGCCGGATTAACTGCCTACCAGTTCGCGTGCATCATGAACAAGTCGCGCATGCAGAACATACTGGAGAAGCGCGGAGCAGAGACTGTAACGCCACCGGACAGTGATTACGACAGTAGCGATATCGAAGATCTAGACGATACGAAGGTGAGCGTCACTGCTTAAGAAAATGTACCAACAAATGATCATAGAGATCGTAGAGCGTAAGACACAATTTGAAATGGGCCACCACCAGCTTCCAAAATGTTCAAAAACTAAATAAGAATATGAAATCCCACACTGAACTGGTATTCAGTTAGAAAAATTGTTACACTTGAGTAATGAACTATTGTAACATTTATGTATTGTTAACCAAAAAAGAAAAAAAACAAAAGAAAAAGAAAAAAAAAAAAGCAAACAGCAGAAAAGCAGCAAGTAAAGTAAATATCCGCACTTGATCTTTAATAGGGAATCTATGTTTTAGTAGAACCCGTTTAAAACAAACTAAACCAATAAAGTAATGCTAGTTAATGAACAGCTTTACGAACAAACCATAGATAAAAAGAATTGTCGGGCCAACTTTTGTGCGTTTTAAAGTTGAACTTATTTCTATATTCGTAAGGGCAATGCACTGTACCAATTTATATTATATTAAGCTGTCCAATGTATAATTCGATGTCTTTTGCTATTTCTCTCCACTTACATCTATGTACTTGTATACTTGTGTCTGAGTGTTTGTAATTTTTGTATGTGCGTGCGCGTGTGTCTGTATCAACTAACTAATCTATTATTATACAAAATAAAATCATAAATCGTAGTACTAAGCTAGCTAAATCTAATTGATGTTTTCATGTTCTGACTGAATGAAATGATGTTGCAAAATAAATATTTTACTCTACAAAAAATTGACAAAAAAATCCAAACTATAAAACGATGGGTATTGCTAGCCCTGATAAAGTCTTAATAAAATATAACTTTATCATTCCTAGTTAAATTCTCTTATTTCTTTTTAAATTTGATAATGAATGGATCTTAAAAGGTTTGTAATTCTGTTTAAATGTTGAATCTTTCCCATTTTAATCTTAACTTGTTCTTTTTATGTTGTTTGCTTATTTTGTTGCTCGTTGTGGCTTTTGTTAATCGTGTTCCCTAACAATTATTTGTTAATTTCATTTTAACATGCTTTATTTGTGATCCTCTTCTTGTACTTGCAGATGTTTGGTGATCCGCGCTATTTTGTCAGCTACAACGGTGGTAACCCAATGACGGTTGCCTGAATGCCCCACCCAATCTGTACATACGACTTAGACTAAACATATACATGCCTATGATTAACACAACCCGAATTCCCCGACTTGGTTTAATTGCTGTTTCCAAACGCACGCCTCCCTGCCAAAAAATGTATGCAATATTCCATGACACACGTTCACAAAAAACATCCAGGATATGGAACCTATGTACTTACTATCCCCGCAAGTGGCAGACCGAAATGAATTGAATTGCTTGTGTTAACGATAGTATTTAAAGCGAAATAAAGCATACAAGGATGCAGAATGTCAAGCATTTTATTTATACGCACACAAACTTAACTCTAAGAAATAAAATTATTTGACAAAATTTAATTATTCAAATATCGTCGGTGGGGTTACACATTGAAAGAAAAGATTTATCGATAATCACAAAAATACGAAACATGGAACGGGAACTAATAAATTGGGAAAGCATTAAAGTATATTTGTCTAGACTCCACTCTTCAACCACATCATTAAAAAACTAACATTCAAATGGGTAAATAATGCATTCCCAAAGGCAGTTAACTCACTTCTATAAGGGCCTAGTCCTGTTAACGAATGCTCTGCCGGAACACGCTCTGTTTGGCCTTACTATTGGAAACAGCTTTTTTGGCCGCCAGAGGATCGGGAGCAAAGCAGTTCCATAGGCGCAGTGTTTCATCGGCTCCAGCACTGATTACTGTGCTGCCATCCGGAGACATGGCCATCTGTAGGACACGCGAAGTGTGTCCAGTCAAATCAGCTTGCTTCACCATCGTTGGATATTTCCAAATGGTCAGTTGATTGTTAGCAAATCCATGAGCTGATATCAACTCCTTGTAGTGCCGCGAGAACAGCAAAGAGCAGACCTGCGACTTAGAGTCCACTGATTTCATTAGGGTGCCATTGCTTACATTCCAAAACTTGATGCAGCGATCGGCGGTACCACCACCAGAGGCTAAAGTACTCGGCTGCCAGGGACACCAGGCCAAAGCACGCACGGCAGCCTGATGATCGTTGAATTTGTGGAGAGGATCACTGGCAGTTCCCACGCCACTGCTGGCCGCAGACCACACATTCACCAGATTGTCATTGCCTCCGCTGGCCAGGTACTTGAAGTCCGTTGACCACTTCAGTCCGCAAACCTCCTGCGAGTGTCCAGCCAAGGCAGACAGCTTGTGTTCCCGCGCACGCACATCGTGATGGACAATGGTACCATCGCGACTGCCAGAGGAAACCAGGAACGAATTCCAGGCCAGGGATCCCACTCGGGCACTGTGTCCATCCATCACACGCAAACGCTTTACCTTGGAGCAGTCCCACAGTTCCACAGCCCCGGTGCTGTTGCCAATGGCAAGGATCTGACCCTCCTGGATCCACGATAGGGATCCAGCGTAGTCGCCCTCCTCGAATTCGGTAAGCTGCTCGATATTACCGGTCTGAGCGTTCCACAAATAGACACAACTGCCCAAAGCAACGGCCACGATGTTGTCGCCACTCCAATCCATAAGGTTGAGATCTGAAAAAAAAGAAATGAAAATATTAAGAAATGCGAATATATATGATTAATAAGACATATTTCCGTTTTAAAAATTAGGAATTAGGAAATAGGGTTTTAAATTATTCACAAAACTTTCAAATTATTATTAATTTAGAAAATTACAATTTTTGAATCTTTGAAAATAAAAAAAAGAGGTGACAATTTAAAGAGAACTTACAGTAATCATTGATGAAATCAGGTGCATCGAGAATTCTTTCGGATGTGGTTGGTATATAGCGTGATCCGCTCTTCGTGGATATTGGCGTCTTTATGGAGTACACAACTTTCAGAGGATTGTTGTGCGATTCCGGAGCAGCTGGAGCCTTGTTTTGGTAGCATAAAATGCGGCCAGTTTTTGAGTCGCCGACCTGGGCCACATCGGATATGAGTTTTTGCCTCTCGCCCTTGTGAGCCGAAGCCTGAACATTGCTCTCGTTGCTGTTGCTGGTTGTGGCCTTTTCGTTTTCCTCATCAGACTTATCCCCGGAGTCCTTGGTAACCTAAAAAACATATATGGAATTTATTATATAATTAAAATATTATGCAAACAATTATGCTATTGCAGAATGCACTTGCAATAATTGAAGTTTTGTAAAGTAATATAAATCCTGGAATTTCTCCGGGTTTCATGGAAATTTAGAAAGGTTTATTTCTACCCAAATTTTTAAACTAAAATATAATCTGCAGATTAAAAGAGAATACCATTCGAAATCTGGTTAAAATATAGTAGAACTAAGGGTATGATCTTTTATTACAAGCATGGATGGATCTATAAAGCCTTTAAGAAATTTAAATAATTATTAGAAGGAGTTCATATAAAACGTGGAGCGGAAACAGTATAGGGCCAACATAATCCTTACCAGGAAGTGCGCCAACTCAAAATTGGTGGCCGCCCGATTCGGGATGAAGCGATCTCCGCCTCCGGGCGTCTTAGTGGGTGTTATTGTGGACTTCTTGGTCTTGCCCTCGCTGCTCTTTCCCGGGGTCTTTGTGGGCGCCTGAACGCCCGAGAAACTGGTGTTATACGAGACGGATAACACTGATCGCGTGGTATTCGCGCTTCCATTAAGAGACGCCTCCAGCTTCTTCTTCCAGCGCGGTGCAGGTCCGCGCGTCTCCCCATCCATGATCAACGCATTTTGCAAATCGCTTACAAAATTGAACTGCGACATGGTTTCCTGTGGCTTCGGGTGTCAGGTAATTTTTGTATTTATCACACAATTTTCTGGTGATTGCACGTCAGTCGTTTGAAGTTTATAGATCACTCAGATCCGATCTGGAATTTCCTTTTTTCTTTGTAGATGCAATGCAATGGCGGTTCGATTTGGAAATGCAATGTGACCGCAGGCTGGATAGCTGTAAATGGTATTTTTTATGGAAATAAATACCCCTTTTTGGGGTATTTTAAATAATCTGTTAAAAGAATACATTAAAAGTTCTTAAAACTTTTAGAGCTAGTAAGAACACATTAAATAATATATTGTGCTTAAAGGTTGATATTTTTAATATTATTTATTTTAGTTCAAATTGAAATATATTTTTTAGTGTGACCACATAGCAGGTCTAATTAATTTTGTGCATCCCTGGTGCACAGCTGTCATCATCGCCGCCCTTGTAAAAAAAACAAGTAAGTCTTACAATTGGAAGCCGAAATTTTACGTAAATAATTAGCAAGTCTTTTTGTTTAGCACGTTAAAGACGTGGTTTAACGATATTACAAGATGGCCTTCAACTTCACCGCCTTTACGTATATAGTGGCCCTGATCGGCGATGCATTTTTAATATTCTTCGCAATATTTCATGTCATTGCCTTTGACGAGCTAAAAACGGATTACAAAAACCCAATTGATCAGTGCAATAGCCTCAATCCGGTCAGTAAACTTAGTGTTCACACTTAAAGTTCACCATTTAATTGATAATTATTTTATATTTCAGCTGGTTTTACCGGAGTACTTGCTGCACATATTTTTGAATTTGCTATTCTTGTTTTGTGGGGAATGGTTTTCACTTTGTATTAACATACCACTGATTGCCTATCATTTTTGGCGGTAAGTCACTTATAGACCTTGGTATCTACAAAATGATCACTACTTAATGAACCATGACCAAGTGTTCGAAATAGGGACGTAGTTATTGTACCCGAATTTATGCATTACTCATGTTGTTTTTTTTTACCACCTAATTGACTCACTCCCATTTCAGCTACAAAAACCGCCCTGTTATGTCTGGACCAGGGCTTTACGATCCTACCACAGTCTTAAAAACCGACACTTTATCCCGGAATATGCGTGAGGGCTGGATCAAACTGGCCGTCTACTTGATCAGTTTCTTCTACTACATATACGGGTAATTATAATTGATTTCCTGGGTGGCCGGGTCCTCGTTTGTCTAACGATTCTCGCTAATTTTAGCATGGTTTATTCGCTCATCTCGACATAGAGGCATTGGGCAGCTGCCTGGGGATCTCATTGTTGGCGCCAGCGCATCCGCATCGTGTATTAGTTGTCATAACTCAAGTGGAACCCTCCCTTTCTGGGGGAGATTCCCCATCAACTGCGAACAATACTTCACTTGTAAATTCTAGTGTTAATCCATAAAAACATATTGCAGCTTTGTTTTTTATAATTTGTAATCTATTGTCTGCAGTAAGAGATTGTAACGTATTTTATTATTTTTGCATTTCGCATCCTTGGTGTAGTTGGATTTTAAGCATTAAATAAAAGTCAAATCAAAAGAACTAATTTCTATTTTTTTTATATAGCCTAAGGGACAGCGGAATGTTTGACTGAAAACGGGAAACTTCGATCCAACCAGCACTTAAGATAATAAAGATTAGCTTATCAGCAGGGCCAACATAGATATAGTCCGATTTTTTAAATTGTGGCAATAACGATAAGCAAGCACTTTGTATGTATTTTTAAGTTTCTTCCATTACCAACATGAATCAATAAGAAAAAAACTTATATAAAATACATTCATTCATTCAAAGTCACCCTTAGTTTCCAAAATAAATGTTTTTCCTATTTACGTATTTATAACTTTATTTTACAATCGTTCTGGGAGGCCACAGCTTGGAATAAACAATATTGTGATTGAATCTTGGTTAAATTAAAATGCTGTATACATGGGTAGGTACATGGGGCTTTTTATGGGCAATGGGCGTTCGATTACGACATAAAAACAACGAAGAACAGGAAGAAGAATATGAGAACGCCGAATATCTTGATCATGAGCCAACGGTTCTTTGAAACAGACTGAAAGTATTTGAGGATCTCGCCGTGAGCCGCCTCGATATTCAACTCTGCGTCCGCCACGTTCGTGTCAATACGTTCCACGATCTCCTCCTGCTCCTTGACCATATGGGCCAGTTGCTGGAAAATGCCACCTAGTTCAACGATGGTAGATTCTATATTTTGCATGGTTTCCGCCCGCTGTTGGACGTAGTTATCCGAATCGTCGTAGATAGCCATCTGTGTCTGGGTTGTTAGAAGCGGTGTGGTGTCGCTGCTGCCCATGTCTATGCTCACTGCTTGGTTCTCCTCGCTAAGGAGAAGCGATCCCTGCTTGGCTGTCGACGGAGAGACGGTGTGAGCGGCCAAGGGACCTGGTCCCTGGCTAAACTGATCCCGTCGCGTCTTCTGCTGCTTGAGGTTCTCGGTACGCACCTCAAGGATCTGCTTGAAGTCCGTGCTCATGCTGGCCAGCTTTGATTGCAGGGCCAGTACCATGTTGGAGGAATGTGACACCAGGTGTTTTCCGTTAGTGTGACGACGCTGGTCCTTGGAGATGTCCTGCAGTCGAGCAATCTGTTGATTCAACGCATTCAGGTCGCCTTTGATGATGTACGTCAGCTCCTGGATCTCCTGCGGTCTGTCATCGAATAGGCTCTTCTTTTTGGCCACTGAAAAGGAGACCGGGAATGTCATTAGCTGGATAAATTGAAATAAAATTGTTATTCGCCTATTTAAAAAAAAAAAAACTTTTTAAAGAAAATTTCACTTATTCACAAAGGGTTTGTGTTAATAAATCTAAAAATAGGGATAAATCTGGGTAATAAAACAATGGATTAAATATCGAAGACATTCAAAAATCTATAAATTCGCTTATTAAAGCAAACTATTGAAAGTTCCTCGAAATTTAAAGTGACGCACGTGTTGACAACCTTAAATTACTCTTGTTAGCATTTGTCTTTAAGTATAGGAAAATTTAGAAAAAAATTTTAATTGCTTATCTATGATGTGTTAATTTTTTTTTGTGAATTATACCCACAAATTATACCTACTTTTTATTGTATAATAATATTAACACACTAAATTGCACTTAACAAGTTTCCTGTTCAATCCAAACCCACACTTACACATGGTGAGCTTTTCCAGCTTGGCGTAGGTGCTGGCTATGTTCTTGCCGATGAACCTGGCCACCATCATGAACTCCGAGTAACTCTGCACCTGCTTGGCCTTGCGGGGATCACGGATATTGACTGCCCGGGTGATGTTGCGTGCTTGTAGCGATCGAATCGCGTTGGCGAATTCGCCTGTCCGATCACGGGCGGCCATAACGAAGATTTCCGGCTCGGGTTCCGGTTCCTGGTGTTCCTCCTTCGGTTGGTAAAACTGCGAACTGGACTGAATGGAAGCGGGGTAGCTGCCGTAGTTGCTTTGGCTATTATTGTTGATGCCCGGTTGGTTGCCGGTGACCACGGCAGCGGCTGCACTAAGGGTGCGCAGTGCCTGGCCGGAGAAGGCGCGAAGGTTCCACTGGCGGGCCGCCTTGCCGTACTTATCGTCCGAGTAATCGGCTGCAAACGATTCCCCCGTCTGGGTGGTGTCTCCAATGTGGATGGCCGCCTCGTGGGCAATCGGTGGTTGAGCCAGGGACTGTGCTAATAGTCCTACCGATCCGCCAGCTGCTCCCAATCCCCCAGATCCTGCTCCTGCCCCTGCTCCTCCCTGCTGATCCTCTTGAATGGTATAGGTACTGCTGCTGCTGTAATCCTGCTGGTCCGTTTGATGAAGGCGTCTTCGGGTTTGCATCTCATTTCAGATTGCAGCTTGACCCGGGGAGTTGACGTTGCCGTTTTTTCATATGCACACAAACGATCTGTTGGACTTTCCTTGCTGGTGGCGAAATTTTCCCCTTTCTTTTTCGCTTTTAAAGCCCTGGCTTTCCGTTCGGTTTTCCGCTCGGTACTTATTTGGCAATCCTGTGTGTCCTATACAAAGTATAATTTGGTTTTTGTTTAGGCATTTTCTTTTGGTTTTGTCGAAAATTCATAATAATTGTTAAAAAGATTGCAGAAAACTCACTCACACGCACCCAAACACACTCACTCGCACACACACGAACACACCTCACAGATGACAGATGACGATGACGTGTTATATCTTATAACTATCGATAGGCCTAGTATTGGCGGCTAATTTGTTTTCGCGTTATATTTCGAGTGCAAATAAATTTTAAAGACATACAAAATATATGGTAACCTGTTATCTATTCCTAAATTCTCGCACTGTCAGTTTCGTGGTATTTAAATATAAATTAAATTATATATTTACAAAGGTTTTTTAGTAAATTGAATAAATGTATTGACACATAAATGTATATATAGTAATAAATAAATAGACAATTTAAGTTTACATGATTTTGTATTAGTATTAGTCTAAAAAACAAGCCAGTGTCATTTCAAACTGTTTTTTTGCAAAAACTTCAGCTCATGTTTTGTTAGAAATTATCCCGCTAAAACACAGCTAGTTTTGGTTAAGAAATCAGGCCAACACTTTTAGGCACATATCGATAACCAACGGCGAGCAACGCTAGTTTTTTTCTTTTCAACTTTTAATTCTTCTCTTAATTAAGCCAAATAGCCATAGTTTATCAAAGAAAATGACGTTGTATCACTTTGGAAATTGCGTGGCCCTTCTGACGCCGTACTACTTCACCTACAAATACTCTGGCCTGTGAGTTTTCCGCTGTTTTTTGCGAGCTGCCGAGCTCGTAGCGCCAGGTCAAAGAAAATATTTATGAATTGTCCCGGTTTTTCCACAGATCTGAATATGGGGCCTTCTGGAAGTGCGTTCAGGCGGGGGGTATCTATATATTCACTCAACTTTGTAAGATGCTCGTTCTAGCCACATTCTTCTATTCGGACGCTCCATCTTCCTCCAGTGGCGAGTTCAACTTCTTTGCGGTGCGTGTGCTTATCTTTATTTACCTTCACCCAATTATTAAGGTTAAGTTGTGTGCTCTCTGGTTTGCAGGAGATCTTCCGCTGCAGCGTGGACATCGCCGATCTGCTGGGATTCGCCCTCATCCTGAGTCGCATTCCCGGCAAGGGACACTCAAAACTTATTACGGCTGGACTTGGCTGTAGGTTGAACTAAATACCTTAGCTAAATCTTTGGTTATTCTTATGTATTTGATTGAAGTTCCTTTGTCTATCCTTAAATGTACAATTTAGATTATCCATTTCATTAGCTAATCTGAAACCTAATACATTAGTTATATTAATGTAATTAGGTCAGCACCATAGTATAATGATGCGAGTGGTTCTGTACCTTTTGTAATTATGCAAATTAGATTAAACACATTATAATCTTCGCTACAAGGTGGTTTGGTCGGAATCGGAACCTTTTATATCTGTATCAAATTGTTTTAAGAAAATAGTTATAGTTAGTTGATACTAAAAATACGTTTTTATAATCGGTAAAAAAAATAACTTAAAACTAAAGATTTCCTCTTTTTTCGCAGGGGCCACTGCTGAGGTGATTCTTTCACGGGGCATCATGCTGTGGGTGGGAGCACGAGGTACCGAGTTCAGCTGGATCTACATACTCAAGTGTCTGGAGTCGAATGTGCTTCTGGTGCAACACATAACCACGGCCACTCTGATTTGGCTGTTCACCCGTCACGATCTAAATAAGGCGCTGAAACCGCTGGTTAGTCTGCTGCTGGCGGTGACTGTTTTCAAAGGAGTCTGGCTGGAGGGCATGCTCCACATCCTAACTATTGGACCTTGGTTAACGGTGGCTGTGAAAGCACTGGTGGCTGCCGTAATTGGATTTTGCACGCTGCACATCTATTCGGGTCTGGCCCAGCAGATCGGCATTTAAATAATTGTGCCAAACACTTTGTATTCCTTTTGTTTTGTAACTTGTTTATTATTTTTTTGGTGTTGTCACAGAGAGAATGAGATTTTGTAACAAAGACAACAATTACGGTTTAGAGAATCACCCAAAATGTTAATAAATTATAGCTATGGTAAAGTAAAGATTGGTACATGAATTTTAATGGGAACAATGAAACATGGAAATTCTTACCTGGTTTATTAATGTAAAAGTTAAGTTGACGATAATAGCGAAATCTAATATTGATATTTTTTTAAACAAGAAAATTAAAATCTAAAGAAAAAAACAATTTTAACAATAACGACATATCGATAAGTCTATTTTTTACAGACAAAAATTGTTGGCTTAGAAAATTGATTAAGTTATAGCTACGATAATGTAAAAAAAACTTACTATTTTTGATGGGAACAATGCAAAAACCTGTGGAAATCATTGCCCATCCAACAATTACAAAGTTATGGTGATGACCAAAAAAACAATTTTTTATAGACTTTCAAACATTTAGAAAGTCTCGCTCTGGGTTAAATTTTCTATAAGCTTAATTGACTCTTTACCCAGCGTAATTTGATCCATTTCAATGGAATTAGCCTGTTTTGAGATCTCAATAAAATGATCCCGAACTAGATCTGAAATTATTTTTATGTTATTTCTAAATAGCTACATTATTTCAAACTCACATAACAAACAACAGAAAGCTAGCGAAGCTTTGATGCGATCTTCAAACGATTTGATAAAATCTTGGGCATTGATTCCCAAGATCTTTGGATTATTACGCCAACGATTTAGGAGGTCCATCATTACACTGTGGGTATCTGTGATAAATTAAAATATTGATTACGAAAACATTTTTTTTTATCCAGTTTATCTCACCAAAATTATTATTGTCCCTGTCAATACTTTTTTTGAAGAAAATGTTATTATTGCTTTGTTTATTAACGTCTTCAGGAAGTAAAAGAGTTGATAAAATGTCTTGCAGGTCAAGCGGCACGGGGTGGACATCATACACATCCTGATTTCTTGATTGTTCTATGTTTCGTGCCTGAACAAAAATCTCCTTAGCTATGTTTTCCGTAAATTCGTGGCCAAATATGGATTTCAAGGTAATTTCAGATTCGTATTCCATTTCTTCATTTGATAAATTAAAGCCGGTATGATTAATAATATTTGAAACAATTATACTAGAAAGAACAATTCTTGTATTAAATATTACAAAATTACAATTGATTTTCTTACTTCTTATTTAGTTTACACAAAATTTCATTCGGTGTTTTGAGTAGTTCGGATGCCTTTTGCACAAAAACAACTCTGTTCTTAAGCTTATTTATATACTTGCTTCTGTGCTGAATCAGTTGCTCTTGTGAATATTGGATATGTTTGTCTATTATTAGTTTTCTTTTACGAGGATTCTTTGGCTGTCTAAATGAAATATCAACCGGAGGATAAAAAGACGACATCAACGATGGTGTACACACTGGTTCAACGTTATTCAGATAGATTTGGGTCATATTAGCATTGTCAGCTTGAAAAATATTCAATTCATCCAATCTTGGCATTTTATCTGGTAAAATGTCAGTTGGATCCAGGGTTGTTGAGGGCCGCTTTACTACAAATAAATACAAATTAGTTAAACGACTAATATGGGGATTAGAAATTATTTACAGAATTGCCTTGTTGATTTGTTGGGGTAGAGTTCTTCAAAAATGGTTAAATCCAACTCATTACCATCGCCAAAACCTTCAGATGAAATGATAACGCTCTGATCCTCGTGAATTTGTATCTCTTCGGTGATAGTGAAGGCATGATATGAATTTGAGTGCGTAGAGCTTCGAGGCAGTTCAATAGACTATTGATATAATAGTTAAATAAGTTTAAAATAAACCGTTTAAAAAAATCTCAACAGGTCTGTCCTGTCCTATGATTCGTCCGATTTAAAATAATGCAAAAAAACTCTTCTTTATCTTCATTAAATTATCTTTTCTACAAACTTCGAATTTGGACAACATATTTTGATTAACTTTTAACTATCTTCCTAAACTCTTAAGCAATAATCATTACTAACAACAAAATACGCCTAATAAAAAATTTATAAAACTAGTAGGATAGAAACAGAAACACGGAAAGATGATTCTGCGCTGGTGATACTGATCAAAAGTACTTTTTGAAGAATAGCTAGAATAACTATTTTTGTGACCCACATCTTGTAATTCCTTTACCACCTGGTGTGTGGACTCTGACTGCCATAGCTGACATTCAGAAAGCATATTTGCGTAGTACTCCTGAACAGTTTTATTCAAAAGTTCTGACTCCTTCAATCTGGGACGTTTAGAGACGGTCACTTTGGTGTTGTTGGTAATCAAGCACTTCCGTTTGCGATTGACTCGGATCGCCGATTCCTTGACCACTACAGACTTGGTGGTTGTGAGAACAAAGTCCAAGTTGGTACGTTTCATTTGATCCAGCAAATGTTGGGTATCTCCTAAAAGGATGCCAAAAAATTAACATAGATTTCCCAATATTCGAAATAATGCTTACCTAAAAGTATGTTCACCTGACATCTGTAGATATCGGTGACTCCGTATGCCAAGCGTGAAATGTCCTTGTAAGTGACATTTTGCTTCCTTATTGTTGCCAAAACATTCGATCGGCGTATTGTCGATGAGTTTTCCTCTATTAAATCAGTTATTTCCTTACTAAAATATTGCACAAATGGGTTGGGTAAACCGATTAAATTGTAAAATGCTTACATATATACCAACACACATATGTATATATTTACTTACCAACAAGCGACTATATTCACTGCGGCGATCTCATTCCGATCGAATTGGTCAAAAGCCGTTGTCCTAGTGCCGCCCGCTTTCCAACAGAAATCTAAGATGTTGCCCTCATACAACTCCAAGTCCAGCTTAGGTATCGCCATCTTAGCTACTACATTTATATCGACTGATTACCCCGATTAGGTAGTTAAAAAGCTATTGAAAACATGTTTACTTGTTTTCAGGAAAAATGGCGCAAAAACCAACGGTACTTTCTGACAGCTCTGTTTGTATAAAGCTTTAGAGGTCACATAATTGATCTAAAATATCGTATCGGTTGTGAAGGAGCTATATACTTTAAATTAGCTTCTCGAAATAATTTGTTAATCCCTTAAGAATGTTATATATTAAAATTACATAACATATTTTTAAGAAACAAGAGACTTGGGTATTTAAAAACTATAAGTAAAGTGAATTACCTCACATAAACCCTTTTGTAAGCTTGTAAGTAAGTTAAAATATTCCTAAGGTAAAAGGATTTCTCGGACATTTATATAAACATTTATTTATACATGTTCTGCTCAACTATAAATAAATACAATAAAACTATTTTGTATTTCAATTTTGTGATCAACTACAAATTAAATGCAATAAAACTATTTTGAATTCCAATTTTGTTATATTACAAGGTGTATTTTGGATAAATGAATAATTGTTTATTAAGCGACGTACGTTAGAAAACATCCTTAATAATAATTTCACGATATTTTTGTCTCTGTATCTTGGTGTTGTTTATTAAGCGATATATATTAGCAAACATCGTTAATAATAATTTGACGATATTTTTTCTCCGTATCTTAGTGTTTTTTGGCGTTCAGAGAACGGTCGCACTGCAGGTGGAACAACAAAAACTTAAAATAAAAAAGGCCAGATATATTTGAACGTTTACAGGACTAGTGATATTTTATCCCCACGACAACTGCCAAAGAATCTGCAGGCCCATTCCCAAATTTCTCCCAAAACTTCAAAACTAAAGCTATGGTAAGAAGTCGCAGCCAGTTCCGAAAATCAATTAGCAAAATGAAAACATGACTAATGAAGGGAGTGTGGGCGTGTTTTTGTTTGTGTTTTTTTATCGTTGATTGTTGTTTCCAGATATCTCTGGTGATTCCCGTTTATTAATCAATTAAAACGATCTCTTGCAGGGTGATAACAAAATTTGCGACATTAGCAACGAAGTTCTGGAGGAATTGAAGAAGTTTCGATTCAGCAAAAGCAAAAATAATGCGGCTTTGATATGTGAGAATTGATTGCCATGGTAACAAAAGGGTCTCTTCTATAAACCAGCGTTTTTTTTCAGTAAAAGTTGACCGGGAAAAACAATCGGTGGTACTTGATGAATTCATCGACGATATCTCAGTGGACGAACTGCAGGACACCTTGCCAGGACATCAGCCCCGATATGTGATCTATACTTATAAGATGGTGCACGACGATCAGCGCATTTCCTATCCGATGTGCTTTATCTTCTACACTCCAAGGGATAGCCAGGTAAGCAATTAAAAAAAAACATGGACTATATTGATACACTTAGAATAACCAAACAACTTAACATATATAAATTTTTCGAATCTAGATTGAACTACAAATGATGTACGCCTGCACAAAGAGCGCTCTTCAGCGCGAGGTGGATCTCACGCGGGTCTACGAAATTCGCGAACTAGACGAACTGACCGAGGACTGGCTGAGAGCCAAGCTCAAGTAAAGTGGTTTCGATCTCTGGGATCAGTTCCGGGCCGTTGTCAAAAGCAATACTTTATTATAGTGCTTCGATTGATTTCGGAGCATTTTATTGAAATATTCAATGGATCAAAATGGATCAAGCCGATACCAACGATGCATACCAATACCAAACAAACCAATATTGAGATACGACAATTTTTACCTACAGAAAACACAAATCAAGATAAGTTTATACAACATAATGACAATTTTATATAGATTACCGCATGCGACAAGCATGCGGGAGAGTTCTTAGTGATTTTAGTTTTTGTATTTAAGTAATAATCATTATAGAAGCTGTGCTTGCCAAATTTCTACATGTATTTATTGTAAAGATATAAAAGCAAACATGACAAAAATATTCCATTTTATATAGACAAACTAAATAAAAGTGTTCAATATTAAATACGAAGACTGTAAAATGTAATTTACAGAGTAAAAAAATGATAATGTTTGCGGTTCGGAAATATTTTGGGATAAAAAATACTTTATCACACATATATACGTATCATATTTTAAATTAATAGTTTTTTAAGAGCATCTTAAAATTAATTTATTGTAATACTTTAGTAATGCAGTCTCTGAGCCGCCGTGTGGTGAAGCATTGTATAGCGTCCTTCGCTGGGCGTGGGCGGTGGAGGCGGCGGTGGTGCCAGCATGTGAGCCATGGCCGCCATTCCCATTTGTGTAGCGGGATTCGGAGGCCCCAGGTGATGCAGAGCATCGTGGTGGTAGTGATGCGACATAGGTGGTGCAGGTGGCAGCGGTAGGTTCAGTAGATTATTATTAACCCCATGAGTGCGAAAATGAAGGCTTAGATTGTCCGCCGTATCAAAAGCCTTGTCGCAATCTGGGCACTTAAAGTGGGCATGATCCAGGGTGTCCAGACCCACGGGATCAGTGTCTATGGGTTCGTCATCATCATCATCTACTATATCATGACTCGTACTGGATTCCAGAGGATGTAGTTTCAGTTTATGAGATCGCATGTCTCTTCGTCTACTAAACGCTTTGCCACAAACATCGCAATGGTGGTTTTTAATGCCCGTATGGGTTATCATGTGCTTGGATAGATCGCCGGCTGTATAGAAACCTTTTTGACAGACCGAGCATATCTGATCCCTCACACCTAAATGTATCTTCTGATGCGCCTGGAAATTGCCCAGGGCCGAAAACTGTTTGGAACAGATTTCACATTGAAATGGTTTGTCACCCGTGTGAGTCCTTTCGTGTACTTTCAAGTTATATTTCTGGGCGAATCGCTGGATGCAAAAACTGCATTGATAGGGTTTTTCACCGGTATGCGTTCTAATGTGCTGCGTTAGTTGGGCAATGCACTTAAAGCTCTTGTGGCATTCGTAGCAGGTGTGAGGCATCTTGGGCAGAGGTTTGGGTCCCCGTTTCTTGTGCTCCTCTGGAGGTTTCCTTTGATAGCGAGATCGCCTCTTGCCAACTTTGGTGTCCACCGGATCCTCCTCGTCGCTATCACGCTGCGGTTGCGAAGGCTTCTCCGCAAAGTCCGTGTTGGTGGCCGCATCCTGGCGCCACGACTCGAGGATACCCAGATATTGACGGAGGCGCAGATCGCTATTTTCGCATTCCTGTTTGAAGTGAAAGGCGACTCCCAGTCGGTAAATGCAGTTGTTGCAAATGACCGAAGGCAGACCATCTGTTTTGAAAACCTACAATAATAAATGTGTAAAATACATTATTGTGAAGTTTGTTTTTTAATACCCACTCTTATTTTGGCACACTGCATCAACATAACCGAGGGCATCATGGCAAAGTCTGTGCTGTAAATCGAAGTAACTGGATGTAATTCCTCCAGGCAAACGCGACATATTTTATGTATGTTATAATCCATATTTTAATTTGGTACAAATCAACAAACAATTTCTTTACGAGTTATTCTTTCAGCTCCAAACAGCTGATGGCGACCAGGGCTGCTAAAGGTACAGTCAGTGGCATAAATGACAATTTATTGAGTTGATATATGTTTTTGATTGTTGTTTATGGTAAGATTATCAAAATTAAATATTAGTACTTGTTTCGAAAACTATATTTTTTATGGATGTACAGTAGGAAACTTGCAAATTACCAACAATGGGTATGAGTATTTAGCATGAGAACATTTATGATTTAAATGACCATCTATATATTCTACCAATTCATATCATATATTTGTTTAAATAATACAAAATAAATGCCAAAATGAACACTTAAATGCTTTTCAATTTATTAAATACTTCAATTAAAAAAATAAACTAGTGTTAAGCAGTGCTGCCAGACTTGGCAATATGGTGTGACCCTCTTTCGTTTTTGCGCTGACGTGACGTGACAGTTGATTTGTTTGATTAAAATAAATAAGAGAAAAAGCGCATATAAATTGACTTGGAATCAATCAATCCTTTATCGGTAGCCGAAAAAGAATAAGTAATCCGCGAATTGGAAGCATAACTAAGGAGAAGCAATCGGCGGAACGGTCGAGAGAGAGAGAGCGAGAGAAACTGGGAGCTGCACGGGTGAAATTTTGTGGTTTCGGGACCCCCTTGACCCCCACAACACATCCTATCTCTATCACCATTTACCCAGTGGCAAGATGCTGTGTATACAATATTAGCGATTATCGAAAGCAGGCAGCGCATGTGCCGGCATCCGAGAAAACACTATTTAATATTTAAGCTTTTGTAAACAAATTCTGGAGCGGAGACCGAGGTCAAACAAACACAAACTGACGAATACCTGGTGAATAGGTTTCGTTTGGTTTCGCCGAAAGTGCCAGTAGTCCCGTGCAGTTTGCAATGGCCACAGCCACAACTTTGGATAGCCAGCTGTTGCCCAATGGCAGTAATAGGAATGGCAAGAGCAAAAAGGAGGAAGAAGGATCTGGTCTTAGTGCAGGTGCAGATGCTGGAACAGCACTAACAGCACACCCAAACACATCCGGCACCTTTATGAAACTGAAAACCTATCTCCTAGCCCTGCGTCCATGGTCGCTGTCCGCCAGTCTGGTGCCCACGCTGCTCGGCTCGGCCTTGGCCCACCGCTCCCAGTGGGCGTCGGAGTTCTCGCTGGCCACCTTCTTCCTCACCGCCTTCACCGTGGTCACCGTCCACTGCGCCGGCAACGTGGTCAACACCTACTTTGACTTCATCAAGGGCATCGACAAGCAGAAGGCCGACGACCGCACGCTGGTGGACCACATACTCACCAAGGATGAGGTAAGCACTCGATCGGATCGATCATTTAACCCTACAGTGCCCAGGTCTGACAGAGGAGGGACTCCCCTTAAGGCGAAATCAGGCCATTGAGAACATTTATTTGTTTGATATGGAAATTTAAACTTTACATGTCAGAAAAAATGGTTCTTACTCGAAATAATTTGAAAAATGCTAAGATTATGCCTTTTTTATATACCTAATGTAGATAAACAAATATAAAGAATCCAACAAATATGGAATAATTACTGATATTCAAATTATTTTTGTATACTAAATGCCTAATCACACGTTCAAAATAATGTAAATATACTTTGTTCGAAAAACAATTCACTTAATCACTTTTCATGCACAGAGGCGAAAAGCTATAACATATGATTTAGTTATTACGAATAATACTGCATCAATAACTGTAAAACGTGATTTATAAATATTTCAAATACATATTTTCTTAATACTGCATATGTTTTCAGCATTTGTAAAATATAAATTCTAGATGATTTCCCAGTTTTTTCTTTAAATTTGGAAACAGCCGATATTAAATACTTTGGCACAGAAATCGTGCTATTTTTTTAAATATCAAATTCTTTTGACAATTAACAAAGTACTAATTTAAAACAATGGCACACAAACAGAGCGTGATCGAGCAAATACACTTTAAAAATAAGAAAAGTTAAAGACGATTAATACAAGCAAATTATTTAATTTACTTCAGTTAAAGTCTGTCTCTTTTCTTTAATTTGGGTATTAAAGATTTAAATGAATGAATACGTCCGTTTAACTCAGTTAAAATTATATATTTCTTAATTTTCAGGTAGTTTCTCTGGGTGCCATTCTATACATGGCCGGCTGCGGAGGTTTTGTTTTGCTGGCGGTGCTCAGCCCAGCGAAAATGGAGCACCTGGCGCTGATTTACTTCGGTGGACTGTCCTCGAGTTTCCTGTACACGGGAGGCATTGGTTTCAAATACATCGCCCTAGGAGATTTGTTGATACTGATACTGTTTGGACCCATCTCTGTGCTTTTTGCCTTTATGTCACAAACTGGTCACGTGGATTGGACGACAATGGGCTACGCGATTCCATTGGCCCTAAACACAGAGGCCATCCTGCACAGCAATAACACCAGAGATGCGGAGAACGATCGTCGGGCTGGCATCGTAACACTGGCCATTTTAATAGGACGCACTGCCTCGCATGTTTTGTACGCCATGCTGCTCTTCGCACCTTACTCGCTGTTCTTCATATTTGGCTTGAAATACTCCCTGTGGTTCCTGCTGCCACTGGTGACCCTGCCACAAGCCTTCCAGATAGAGAAGCGTTTCCGGAACGAACAGACGATGCACCTGGTGCCACGGCAAACGGCCAAGTTGAACTTCTTCTTTGGCATCCTGTATATCGTGGCCTGCTGTTGTGCGCAGCAGTTGCCTACCTTTGGATTCCGCAAAAATTGATAGACGGGGAGAGTCTACGGATCTGGCAGAAAATCATAATCGGAGAGAAACTGGTGCAATGTTTTTAGGGAATTTCATTAGGTTTTAGTCAATGTGTGTAGTGAGAAGGGAGAACAAAGCTTTGTCAATTTCCCACAGTTTGATGTTGCGCAATTTTCCAATGCCTGCTAGTCGCCCGTTGGAGTCTAAACTTTTGAACTGAACATATCCTAGCCCTAAAGGGTCGATTCATTTGACAGAAAATCTAGGGATAAATATAAGCATTTTGCATTAGAGAGTAATGGCCTAATATCAGCTTAGAAGTTTACTTTTTGAATTCCAAATGATAACTATAATTCTGTCTGTAATTTTTCCAGACCGTTTTAACCATTTAATAGAGCTATAAAGTCTTTAAAAAAAAAGGAATCCATATTAAAAATAAACGATGACAATTTTATTTATAGAAAACAACATTTCGTTTCGAATTCAATTAGATTAAAAGTTGATAATAGACCTTTAGATTCTGAGTCAAAGTCTCTTTAAATTGTCCAAAGATTTGTTCATTTCCTACAATATCGACCCTAAACCTACCTCACTCGTTTTTATTTATTTCACATCGTCACAATCTTAAATCTTAACCAAACAATTACGACTCAATTACATTGATAATCATACTCTTCCTCTCGCGCGTTGGGAATTACGGACCAAGAAAGTTATGTGCAACAGTAACCAGTAATGCTTATGCAGACCCAATTTTATATTATTCTAAAATATATATAGCTCCACATTCATACGGTGCAGATACTTAAGTTCCGCGAATCAAAATGCAGATTTACTTTACGAATATAAGTGCTTGGAAATGCAGCTAAGTTGAAAGTTTTTGGCAATTGGCTGGCTTGCTTTTGGTGTAACAATTGTTAGAGTTTTTACATATATTATATACACGAACACGAGCAAATATTTATATACACATCTAGATCATGTAAGCCCAGTGTCTAGCGGCAGGCTGAGAGTGAGAATATCAAAGGAAAAATCTAAGTTTAACGAAAACAGAACACAAATTTAAATTTTTAAATAACTATATACGTAGATGTCGAGGCGAAGAAACAACAATTGTTTTCCATTAACAATAGCGTGTGCATATAAACAAATAGCTTTAAATATCGAACAGAAGAGGAGAAAGCCAAAACCCATTCGCATTATAATCCATTGTGTAACTGAACATTTTTGTGGCAATATTTATTTGTACGCTAGTTTTTGTATATTCATTCATGCTTTTGTATAATGCATTGAGAAATGCTTCTGTTGGAATCGCTTAGCAGCCGGATTGAATTGAACTAAGTGAAAACTTTGTAGACTACAAATCAACCACAACATGAACAATAATAATTATAATGATATTGATAATTAAATGTTTAATTAGAGAATGTAAACATTAATTGTTTGATATATACTGATATATTATTTTATTGAATGGAAGGGGGGTTTCTTTAACTCTCAAAATGTTGATATCACCCAATCCGTAAGCGGTTGATATTAATCAATTAAAAAAAAACAAATGGAAATCTCTTAACAATTTATTTGAAATTTAAACAAAAATGGTAGCATATTTCATTGACTTTGTACACCTTAATCCATGACGAGGTAAGTTTAAATTAAGAAATTAGGTTTACATTATATCGTTGTTATTCCTCTCTAGCTACCAACATGATGTCATATGGCTTTACTGCAGCAGTGGCTCCTTCGAGAGGTTCTTCCTCCGGCAGCTGACCAGGAATGGACACCATTTTAAAGTTCTGCAGCACTGTGGTCATAAACATAAAAAGATTCTGCCTCCCCAACAAATCTCCCATGCAGCGATGACGTCCAAAACCGAATGGATTGAAAGCTTCCGGTAATTTCAAGTGTCCATCGAAGAGAAATCTTTCAGGATCGAATGCCTCCGGATCAGGAAAGTCCACTGGGTTGATAAGCATTCCCCTGAAGCAGGCTATAACCATGGTGTCCTTAGGAATTTCATATCCCGACAAGCGAGTATCGCAAACAGCACGGTGCGGAATACCGAAAGTGTGGAGCATAAACATCCTGACCGCCTCCAAAGTGATGGCCTCGCAATACGGCAACTTAGAGCGGTCCCTGGACCACTCGGGTATGCGCTCCAGACCTACAACCTCCTTGATTTCCTGGAAGGCCCGCTCCTGGATTTCAGGCTGCAGTACCAAGTGCATGAAACAGAAACCGAGACTTTTATTGGTGGTCTCAGAACCGGCCAAAAACATGTCCAAGCAAATGGCCAACAAGCTCTCATCACTGAACATGCCTTTCTCATCATTCCCCTCCTCCTGGGCACGAAGATAAGAATCCATCAGATCCCTGGGCTCATCGTAGTTCTTGTAAGTCAAACGGTGCAGCTCGATCTCCTTGCTCATAAAGGAATACAAAGATCGATGGCTTTCCACAAAACCATTATATCCAGAAAAGTCCGGAGCAATGAATCGAAGTAGAGGAAAGTGACTGAATAGAGCACCCACCATATCAATGTTTTTAAAGAGCTCAAAAAAGGTCTCCAGTAGTTCCGTGATCTCTGGAGAACCAGGTTCATATCTCCTGCCACTCAGCATGCACCAGAGGGTGTTCAAAACATAAACACTGGTCAGATCGTGCATCTCAATACGCGCCTGCTTTCCTCCAGTCTTTGCCACTTGGTCCTTAAGATCCTGCAGCAAACAGGTCGCCTCATTGTGGACAATATCCATCATGCCACTTCTGGCAAAGCCGAAATTCTTCAAGTGCCTCAGGATAAACCTTCGCTGCTCCACCCACATTTCACCATCGGTTAAAAGAACTCCCAATCGGGAATTGAAGGTCCTTAGGCGATAGAATATACCATCGGGTCGGCCATCGATATCCTCATTAGTCATCATTTCACTAATTGCCAAATTCGTATAGGCTATCACCACCTTATCCTTGCCAATCTTTAGGCCAAAGAAACCATAAGGATTCACATATTGCTTGGCAAATACATCGATCACTTTGCAAAACATTCCAAGACGACACCGCAGCTGCGAAACCTGCAGGGCACTTCCCACTATGGGATACCAACGAGGTCCTGGCGGAAATCTCTTTGGCTTTCGAACTCCTCCAAACAAGATTGCCAAGAGGGTGGCACAGAAAATCCAGATGACCGCATAAAACATGTTTTTTCGGTGCTTTCACTTTTCCCAGTTACGCAATCTTGGCTGACTTTTGAGCTGGAGTTTGTGGCAGGTAAGTTATCCGCAGTTTCCTGGTGGTCCAGTCCACAGTTTGATCCCGCACCTGACGTTCACCCAAATCGACTGAATCCGCTCGGTTGGTTGGACCTGGCTTTTATAGACGTTTCGTTAAAAGCTTTTCCTCTTGTTTGGGTTTTCTTTTTGTGTTAAAGTTTTCACAAGAGTTGGGAGTTTTAAAAAATGAAAATTGATCAATTAGAGATCATTGAGAATAAGGCTTCGTTCCTAAAATTGGCTTCAATATGGCTTATCTAAAACACATTTTGTAATGTTGTTTAATGAAACATTACTTCATAAATCTCAACCAATTGTTTTAATAAGAATCCTAAATTTCTTAATGATAACAAAATATTCTCTTGTGGACGGATCGGAATTTTGAAGGTATTTTTATTTATAAAATATTAATGCACAAGTTATAATATTTTTTTAACAAATGTTTTATTACAAATTAAATTTGAGCAATGTGATTTATCCACCTACAAAAGGTTTTCCATAAAGAATCCCAAAACAATACAAATTTGTATTCTCTGAGAAATCTTTAAGTGATTATTCAAAACGTCCTTAACTCCATTCCTTTTAGCTTCAAAGTCCCGAATCTTCACCCGTCTGACCCACTGCCTTCTGGATAGTTGAACGCATGTTCCGCGGCAAATAATCGCCTCTAACCACCGACTTTAATGGTCATGGACAACAACGCCAAAGTCAAGGAAAACTTGTTGCGTTAAGAAAACCGCGAAAACGCAAATAGAAAAACCCGTTTGCTCCAAATGAAAGGGAAAACAAATGGAGATGTTGGGAAAAAGACGAAGAAGGAGGACGCAGGGGCGGAGCTGCCTGGACAACTCGACTGGATGAGGCTATTATGTCATCGCCATTGCGGAAAGCGGTGGGATGGACTTTGTTAGATGATAACTCCGCTGGTTCCGGTTTCGGTGTTTGGGATTTCGCTGTTTCAGGCGATCAAAGTGGAGCTGCCATCGATTTTCGGCATCCAATTGGGGCTTTAACACGGGCCACACTCGCGGAGATCGCCCATTTGAGGACTGGCACTCGAGCTGCAAAGACGTGACAGGACAGCAGCTTACTTTTAAGGATGGGTTTCAGGTGAGCATAGCGATAAACTGAGAAGGAACTATTTCAACACAAAAGCTTCTAGGAGATATTTTTAAGAAATGTTGAGTGTATTAAGTGCTAGAAATAAAAATGGAATCTATTTAAAGGTTTGCTACAACTCGGTTTTTAAAAGAAACAGCATAATAATTTGTCTAATTAAAAACGGCTCTAAAACTTGTATATCTCTGCTTATACCCAACGTTTTTTATATGTTCCTTTTTCGCTAAACTTGAGAAATTCGACAGTTAAAAATTTCAATAAATTAGGCTATATAAAAAATATCAAAAATTCGGGCTTAAATTCGTTTCCGTAAAACCTCGAATTTACGTTTTTAATGTTTTTATTTTGAAACCCTTAATAGAGTCGTACTGTTGGCTGCCACCGGCCTGGGAGCAATGTATATGATGCATCTGCTGGCCCAGGATTGGGTGAAGATTCGGCCGATACGGGGAATAACGCAACTGGCCGGAATGGCGACTCAACCTCTCCAACAAATTATTGCACCCATCCAGCAGGCCAGTGGTTCCTTGAATTTATTTCGAAGCAGACGAGAGGCGAGCTTAAAAAATGAGCTTGGTTGGGTGCGAAGGACTCAGGACTCGGAAGGAGGAAGTGGGAGAGGTGGCGCTACAGGAAGAGTAGCCGCAATCGATTGGAAGAGGATCCTCTCAAGAGATCCGTTCGAATGCCTGCAGTCCCTTATTTGCCAACTTATGTCCGGTGCTGAAGCGAAAGTTCCGGAGGCAGAGCTGCTCATGGATTATCTGGAATCATCACTGGAGATGGCTCCGGCTAAGATCGGACGGGCCTTTAGTCGAGGATTGGCATTGAGGGGATCCACTGAGCTCTGCTTCAACGAATATCCTTTCTGTCTCTATTCCGCTAAAACGATGTTGCGCATCCTGCGGTGGTTCAGTGAAACGGGGGAAGTCCCCGTGGATGAAGTGGTTTAGTTACATTATATTGGCTTCAATAAACATAAGGAGAGAGTGAAATGAGGAAGTGAAAATGTGAGTTTCATTTTGGTAAAAGGTGTCAGTGCGATTGAAGATTAATTTTGTTGCTGTTTGTATTTCCGAATTTGCAAAATACCAGTATGGGTATTTCCATTTAGGTCATATAGATAAAGAAACTAGTGAAATGGGGGTTTTGAGAAGAAAGTTATGTTATAATTGATGTTAATGAAATAATAATAACGAATTTAAGAATATTTATGAATATATAAGCTTACAATAAAAACTTTCTAGTGCGTGAATTTTTTGTTTATTAATTTAGCACACCATTTCTTTATTAAAGGTGTTTTAATGTTTACTTTAAATTTAAATTAACATTAAATGTTATAAAACGTATTAAAAATTTAAAGAAAAACTCAAAAAAAGGAGCCAAGCATGTTTTCAACTAAGGTGGCAGAAAACTTCTTCCGTATATCCTGCGAACATCGTTGTGACGAGCACGGCGCCTGCAGATCGGACAGCGATGGTACCGCCGGATGGCGGTGTGGATGCAGTTGCTCCCAAACAAATGGCCGCAGCGTAGGGACACCAGGTGATGTCTACCCTGGTCACCCGTCCAGGGCGTCAGGCAGATGGAGCAGGTTATGTCCTGCGACATTCTGTCCAGGCGCTGATTGAGTCCATTTACGCCAGCGCGCAGGTCCGATATGATAAGATTTTCGCCGATGGTCGCGTTTTGCGCCATCTCTATTCGCAACTGGGTCCAGATCCTACGACGCTGAGAATTAATTTGCTTTATCTGCAAATTGATCTCCCTTAGCTTGCGTACCTTCTCCTCCAGGCTAGAATCGGAGTCCTCTGTCGGCTGCTGTTCCACACGCTCTAGCTCGCCTTCTTGTTTCCCGAGTTCTCCTAAAAGAAATTCGATTTTGTTCTGATTTTCCGGCGGCACTTGCTCCGCCGACGACATTTTGTATTGCTATGACAATTAACTTCCGACACCTAGATTATTTGTTAAATGTAGCTTTAAAAAATTATTATAGCAGTAGATGTTTTTAACATTACTTACAACTGTAATCATCTTGAAACGTTTTGATTGATTTATTCCGCGAAATGGAAAAATTTTGCTAAATCATTAAATTCTTCTAAGTTTTATGTAAGTTGACGCTTTATAATAAGGAACGTTTTCCTCGATGAAAATACATAGTAAAAACACCAATAATTTGATTATAGAAAAAGTTTATTCATAACAATAAATTTTCCTTTGTAGTTATCATCAGTATGCAAAAATATTCATATACATTCTATGTTACAAATGATTAATCATAAATAAACGGAATGAAGTAAAGACTCAAAAGCGATTAAGCTTATTCTTTATATTTGAGATTTGGGTTTTGTTGCTTTAAATAACAAATGAGCGAGCGATAATTCAGTAAATAAGCTTTCAAAGCCCCTAGCATTAACGAAAATAAGTTAAGATAAGATGTTTCATTTGTTCAACATATTTTGTACATAAGAGAGAAGGCTGTTGTGAGAGAGCTTCTGTTGCGACTTCAATTTGTGCACATTTTGGGGAGATTCTCGCTTTGATTTGAGAGTAAAAATAACAATTTAAAAATTAGAATAAAATGAGAATAAATTCAAAAATATTGAAGCACATTAGGCCAGTTGGTTAGTTTTGCCACTGAGTGTGACACTCGTAACATCCTTGACAATCATTTCGGCCACTTGCCAGGCTATCTCCTCTTGCACATTGTCCTCGGGCAGATTGACAAGCTTTCGCATTGCATTCTTGATTTTGTTTCCGCTGACACTCAGTGACCATGGTTGCGATTTAAGAGTCACTGCCTCCACGGCCTCAAAGTCCCGCTCATAGCGTCCTAAAGAGTTAACAAACCCGAATTTAAGGGCTCCCACAGGACGCTGCCACAGAAGTTGGGGATTTGTTAACTGCCTGGCGTCGATGTTAAGATTTCCAGACTGATGATTGACCGAAGTTTTCGAGGGCAGCTGATCCATGGAAGCCAGCAGTGTATTGTGCTGCGAAATGTGTGTGCAGTCCGACATGGATAGGGCCTTGCGATGGCGCTGCTGGGCATTGGAAGTTTTCCCAGCTCTCCGCAAGCTCAACTTTTGCTGAATGTTGGAGTGAAGGGTGGAGTTATCTGTAAAATCAGACCTTAGTTTAATACTGGAAATACACTCAATTTAAAAAAAGTACTTACCTCTCTTAACCTTCAGTTCATTCACATAGTTGTCAAAGATGTGGGATTTTAGGAAGCTAGCAAAGTACTTTTGCTCCAGATACTTGGCAGTAACCAAGAGAGCCAAATCAAAGGCTTGCCACTGTTCACCTGGAGCGCAGATGGCTTGTTCCACCCTCGAGCGCAGCTTCTGGGACATCCAGAGACGACATTCGGATTGCAGAGAGAAGTATCTGTCGTATATGATCATCGCATCGCTTTGGGCTGCCTTGCGATCGTCCTCTTTCTCTTCGCCAGAAGCGAAGCTTTTGCGAAAGTTAATGGCTGTTATCCAGAACTCCAGACATTCGCGCTCTTGTCGTTGTTCCAGGTACTCGGTAAAGTAAAATAAAGCCAGTTCGCTGTTCAGCACATCGTAGATATTAATGGAACCGCCTTCGACCAACTCTAAACAGTAGGTGGAGTAGTAGCCACTCTGCAGAAATCCCTGCACATGATCCCGCTCCAGTTGCTCCAACACAAACTCCCTGGCTTCATCAAAGCAGCTGGCTGGGATTGGTTTACTACACTCGGACTTATCCCTTCCACACAGGAGCAGCGATATGTGCGCTAGGATGACAATGGGCAGGTCCACCTGCAGACTGGCATTCACAATCAAATATTTCTGGTAGATGGCTATGGCATCGCTGATGCTGGCCCGGGAAAGTTCGGAGTTCGTGACACATCCCGTCCCAGACTTTTGTCTGTTGATCTGCTTGTTTGTCTCTGCATAAATCCGACTCTTCTCGTCGTCCGTGAGGGGTTTTCGCATGGACAGATCGCATAGCGTCTTTAGTTCAGGTACATATTTGTCATCTTTGTTTGGAGAAGATTGTTCCGCCTTCGTAGGCGGCTCCTCCGGCTCCTCTTTCTCCTGCGTAAGAGCCGCTCGCTTGAAGTTCTCAATGTCCAGATAGAATTTGATCAGCGGCAAGCCCTGTCGGGTATCAAGATACTGCACGAAGAAGCTCAGGCAATTGGGTTCGCTGACGATGGAAGCCAGGTTCATCGAGAGGCGCGAGTTGTAGGTAAAAATGTCTGGGGAAATAAGAGTTTGATTTTAACACAATATTTCATTATAAACGGTCTGAGTTTGATTGTTTTTAGCTATTTGAAAAACAGTGAGCTTATATATATTTATATTTTCTTAAAGACAAAACAACCTTTTTTGAATCAAATAACTAATGTACACATTTTGCAGAAATACATTTTGTTTTACTTCATACTTTTTAATTTTTCAGTTTATGGAAAATTCAGCGCATGTTCATGTAAAAAATTACCAGAAATTTAAAGTATTTGATTGCGAAACTAGAATCTAAAAAAAACCTTTCATTAAGAACCCAATAATTTTTAGGATCCGTCTTTGCGTCAGAAGTAATATAAGGATGTACAATTTTTTGGGTATTGTATAGGGATAATTTTTCCGAGAAAGTTTTTAAATATCTTTGATAATATACCTAAAAAGTTTAAAGGAATCCGATTTTAAAATGTTAAAGCTTTGATTTGCAAATTTTTATGGGAATTCCCACCCTAATCAGATGCGATTCAAAGGTGCGAACGTGATCAGCAATTGAATAATGGGCGGTGAGGTAATTACCATCATTGCTAGAGAGACTGATTCCGTCGGAGGAGGTACCTACTCCGTATCCCGCGCCACCCCCCTCCCCCTCTTCAGCCTCTAGGAACACTTCGTCACAAAAACTGGTTGTGGACCGCAGAGAGTTACGTTTGTGAGCCATGGCTCCATCGATGACGTCCACATCATCGCTTGATTGGACACAATTGGCTTCCGTGGCATCTTGACTGCTGCGACGGCGGCCTAAATAAAAGAAAACATTATTGGTGTCAACAGAAGGGCGAAGAAGAAGAATGGTAAGAGGGCGGGGGTTGGGTGAAAACAATTCCGAAAATCGTTTGATTTTGAGGACTTACTGGCTTGCCTCTTGATGTAATTTAACATCTTTACATTCTCCGGCTTTCGTTACGCGTTGCTAAATAATATAATATGCCGATATATATAAGTAATTGATAAATTAATTTAATGCGACGGAACGGTAAATATTATGAAAATAATTTAAGCCGATAGTTATTAGAGGTGGAGAAACATCCATGCCAACATGGTCATCGATGTTTTCAGAATTATAATTAATATCGATAGCTGTCAGGCCGTCATTCATGCTTTGCCGTTTCTAATAGCCTATTCACACAGGTGGTATTTTTGTAGTACATGTACATGCGAATGTAAATAAATTTGTAAGTGCCATTTTGCAAAACACATGGAACAAGCACCAGCTCTAATAGGTATAATCTTATACGGTACTTACTTAGCTGTGTAAAAGAGTTATGGCCTACAAAACATAAAGAAACCAAAAAAGGAGAAAGGAACGTAAAAAGTAGAATGTTTTGCGCAGCTAATGATTTATCCACTGCTGTTTGCGAATTGGTAAAGGCATTTGAAGTATTCAGAAATCATAAAAATAGCATTCTCTATAACTGACATTAATAATATCCATGACTCCACCTAACGGTATTCACTATCTGCGGAGTATGTCCAAACTATCGGGGGATTAAGTCCCCACTAACTGATACTTAACAGAGCGCCATTAAGAGGTCGAAAACAGTGCTGAAAAACGCACGATGGTAAAAATCTTTTTTCCCCTCCTAACGCGTTGTTACGGTAACTCTGTGGTGCTTGGAAAACATTATCTCCCATTCACGGTCACTCTTAAATTTTTCGCCGAATCGAACGAACGCAAAGCAACGGACGGAAAATCGCATCTCCGATCGGAAATCGTACAGCCCATTCGCCTGCGTACACATATTATCAGTCGCGTGTGTATTAGTGCCAGTGTGGTGCAAAATAAAAAACAGCTGCGAAATACAGAAATCTCAAGAAAAGCTAGTGAAAAGAAAAGGAAAACTTCTCAACGCGTTAAAAGTCGCTCTCTTCCCCTCTTTATTCATTTCTCGGTGTGCCTGTGTGTGTGTAGTGCTAGTGTGTGCGAGTGTGAGTGAGACGGGCAAACAATTTGCCGCTAAATACAAAAAGCAGCTGTGACCAGCTGACACATGTGTGTGTGCGAAATACAATAAAAGCAAAAGGCTATAATACAGGCTATAAATAAATTGCAAATGTTTATGTAGCCGTGTGGCCAAAGCAGCAGCAGCGGCAACAACAAAACGCACGTGGCGCAGACAAATTTTGGCCACGATAGTGAGCAAACACACAAACACGATCAAACATGTCCGCCGTACCGGTTGCCATCAAAACGGAGGAGGTTATTCTAGAGCACGCCGAATACAACAGCGCCGAGGAATTGGATGAGGAATTACAGTAAGTTTACCTATCAAATTACCGAAAATGTTTGTGAACAAAAATCTAAAACAACAACTTGAGTCAACAGCTTGGCTTGCATTTTTATCACGCAAATTATTGATTATTTTTACTACTCTGCTAGTGCGCTCTCTTTGAGGTCTTTCTCTCTTCCCCTCTCTTTCTCTCGTTTGCTTTTTGCCGCCGTTTTGCCGACAAAACAAATACGGCACAAAAACACCACCACCATTAAGGCACTACACACACACACACATCGCATTCCATTCCAGTTCCACTTCCATGCCGTTTTCTTGTTGCTGGAATAAATGTGACGCTTCTTTTTTTCTCCCATCTTTCGTGTCTCTTCTTTCCTCTCTCCCTCTCTCTTTTCCTGTCGTTCTCGTGTTTTCACGCTCGCCTCTCGTCGTCCATATTGTAAAACGGCTGTTTTGACAATTTGTCAGCAACGTCGGCTGACGGAAAACAGTGAAGGCACAAATGATAGTCACGGTCACAGCTGCTGGAATTTTTTTATTTCGGGTCATTTAACTAAATCACATTTCTTAAAATATGAATGCTGTTCCATATAACTTTAATAATAAATAAGTTATTTGTTATGATTTAATTGGTTTATTATATACTAATCATTAGCCAAATTTAAAGAGATTCTATCAAAAAAGTAATTTCTAAGACAGTAAAAATATTTTTAATTTCCCTTTATTTACTGCTTTTTGTGTTTTGATTTCCCCAATTCCTTTCCTCAAATATTTGATCTAATTGTTACAGCTGCTTTTTCTATTTTTTATGCCCGTCGATCGTGTTGGTTCTTCCTCTCCTCTTTCTCTAGCATTCTCTCAGCCTTTCGCACTCAGCTGCCAACTTGCGCTAGCTCACATGTTCGAGTTAACGGAGGTAAAAAAAATCAGCTGCGCACCCGCACCTCCGTCTCCCCTCTCTTTTGCTTCTTCTCCTCGCTTATCGTACGTTGCCTAATCAACATTTATATTTCTACTTTTTTCCTGTTCATAGTTGAAATGAAATCAGCTGTACCGGTATATTCGTATCATCAGATGGTTTTGCTTTGCTTTTATTTACACGCCTCTCCGTTTCCCTTTGTTTTCCCCTTTCTTCTACACAGAAGAAAAAAGGATATGATAAAATGCTCAATTTTATGATGCTTTGAACCGAATATTAACTATTTAAATATATATTTTTCGAACATTTTAATTTGATATTTAAAATTTAAAGTTATACAAATTTGGTTGAACTTTTTGCCCAATATGGCATCTTAAGTAATGTAGAGTTGATATCGATATTTTATTTACTTATACGAGGTTTTTAAAACATAAATATTTATTTAACCTATTCTTTTTTCTGTGCTCCTGAAACACACTCAAACAAGTGGCAAGAAATGTGAAAAATTAATTGCTTGTGAAATGTACAGTTTGAATTTCTTATTTTCTCCCCTGCCTTTCTTTCGATCGTATTCGTTTTGCGAATGGTTGCCATGTATTCGCAGCGAAAGTTTATTTTTCCCTTACCGGCTTATCAGAATCATATGGTTGCGCTTTTCGCCTGTAACACGTCACATGCGGCGCCTTTTCTTATCGCTGCAGCATATGTTTTTTCACAACCACAAAGAGAATTTAAAAATATATATTTGTATGTGTACATATACTAATCCCTTTCAGCTGGCTTTTCAAGGCTTTTACTGTGTTGAATGTGTTTGCTTATATACCGGGTATACCTTAAGCTCGGTACAATACCATATGTTTTAACTGGTAAATTTTCGACACATTTGTTTTTTTATAAAAAACAATAGAATTTATAGAAATTATAGGTCATTGAATCATTAAAGACAATACGAAGTTATTGCATACATATTTGGAAAAACAATTATATTTATTTAAGAGACCTTCTCTATTTTGTATTTAAATAGAAAATGATTTATATAAAAGCTCAAACGTTTCCTCCACTGTTGTAAATGTAATAGTAAATATATTTTAGTAGAATTAGACAACATTTGTACACATGAAAAATAAATGAGTTTAAATTTACTTTAAACTCTGAGTTAAATTTGTAAATATTCCAATTACAGAAACTTTAAAAAGAATATCTTACAAGAAAATTAATTTTAAAAAAGCCGGAACGGCCTTATTCCCATGTATTAAAAGACGAAACCGTACACAACTGTAAGAAAAGCGCCAAAAGCGTAGGTAGCACTGTTATTTTGGACACCAGTGTGGGCGGTATAACAACTGCGTTTTAGCAGCTGCTGTCCGCTTGTTGTTGGTGCTAAAACAAAAGAGCGTGCCTTGGCTAAAAGTCTCCACTTTGCTCCTCTCTTCCCCACTCCTCACTTTTCCACACGTTGCACATTTGCGAATACTACGAAAGCCATGTGTTGCGGCTGTTGTTGTTGTGTGGCGTCATTTCCGTTTTTACCCCACTTGACTGGAAAAGAGGAGCAATCCGAGACAGAGAAGGAGCATCCACAACTCTTTCTCCTTCCGTCTCGTTCTAACTGCAGTTTTATAAGAGCCGCTCCCCAAGTATATAAACGAGAGAGATCCCCTTGGAGTTGCACTCAAAAGCTTGCTGAGCAAGAGAGAGGAAAAGAGCACAAAAGTACAGATGCCGCCACACAAATTTTTTTTACTACCACACACGTTTCATTGAAAAAACATATACACAAAAGCTAAAGCTGAAAACCCGCTGCAAACTTGCGAAAAAAAATAAATGAAATAAAAACTAATACCAACACATGGGTTCAAATCTGCTGCGCAAATTTTTGGGCGATGGCTCCGTGTGTTTCGTTTCGTATGCCAAAACGTTTCATTTTGTTTTTGTTTCGTTTCCACACCGTTTTTCGCATGCGGCATTTATTGGCAACCTGCGAGTGAAAGGGAGGGCACAACAATAGTGTGTGAGTGTGACAGAGACATAGCGCTACGGCTTGTTTATGAAAAACACATGATTTTTGTGTACAACAGTTTTTTGGGCCTGGCAAAAGAGAGGAAGAGGAAGACGAGGGCGAAACTACTACTACAACACCATAGTATACAAAAACGCAATGGTGTTTTGGCAAATATATGATAATGCTGTATTTAAAAAATATTTTATGTGAAGAATATTGGTTTTAATGTTTAAAAAACAAGATTATGAAACACAATCAAAAAACATTTCAACATCGAAAATATTTTCAGCAAAGTTGGCTATAAAAGTATACAAAAGTATACATAGTTTACCAATTCGGTAATATCTCGTGAAAATAACAATATCAAATTTCACGTACTTATTAACTACATACATATATTGTTTTATAAACATTTTTAAATTCTTTGTGCCCTGCTCAACTTATTTATATTGATATCTAAAACCTCTCAAATGTCTGTCCAAGTGTACAAAATTTGTTTTTAGCTCTTATAGATTTCTTTAGAAAACAAACAGCTGGAATTTCTTGACCGTTTTAAGCTCTTGATTATCCCGTTTTTATTTATATTTGCTTTTTCACGTTTGCTTGTTTATATTTTTTTTGCAAATGTGGCGCCAACTGGCAGACACAACTGTAAAATGAGAGATGGGTGGGGAAATGCGAATTCTAATTTGTTCATTAGTTTATGCGCCTCTACATTGTTGCACAAATTACGCAAGTGGCGAACCTTATTGCGTTGCATTTCATTTTTGCCTCGCATTCACAGTCTGTGTCGTAAGTTAGCTACCGACTTTTTCCTAACGATAAGTTTAAATGCAAGATTTCCCATTCGTTTTATTAGTGGTGGGTTTTTTTTAATAGTAATAAATGTTTTTGTTTAGCTCGCTGGATTGGAGCATTCTTGCTATGAGAAGCAAAGTTACAAGTGTTTATAAAGAAAGTTTATTAGTTTTAGTTAGTTTTTTAAAGATATACAATTTTGTTTAAATTTCTTCACCTCATGTTTTTGAATGTGTTTTTCAAATACTTATTTATACAAGGTACTAACAACAACATAACACAAAAGTAACTAAAGTTATTCAAGCTAAAAAAAAGTCATTTGAGCTACATTTTTCAGACTGACAATTGATCTTTGTCAATTGAAAAAAAAATGATTTTACATACATATATACATATTTTGTGGAATATGGTATAAATAACCTAAACTATATTATAATTCCTTAATTCTTCAGTTGGATGCTTCCTTTGAATCCAGTTCACTTGGCTTGCGGTTATTTAATCTTTTTCAATTTCTCAAAACAATCTTAGCTAATCCTTCCGAAATTGTAGACGCATGTTGAACGTCTGATAAGGGACAAATAATGTTGGCAATCATTAGAATCCGGTGTTTGTTGTTTACATTATTTTGTGGGTTATATAACTGCATTTGTATCTCTATAAATTGAATATGCCGACACTATGGGTGGAGTTCCCCTTCCTCTGAAACTTTCTTCGGCCTTCTCACCCATTCTCCCACCTGCCCCTTTCTCCCTTATCTTCACCTGCTGCAGCAGCAATCCGACGAAATTCCAGTGAAATGATGACGTAAGCAGTGACCCAATAAACGTATGTACAATTTATGTGCAAAGTGCAACAACAGCAACAGAAGAGGAGGGGAAGGGGAAGGAGTGGGTGGTTAGGTGGCAGCACAGCACCCGTGACTTCGGCTTTTGTCTCTCTGTCTGTTTATCGCTCGTATATCTGTGTTTTTCTCTCTATGTACTTGCTGGCGAAAAGTGGCCAATGAACTACATTGAACCCTGGCTAAAAAGCAGCGCCGCAACAGCGCCGTCAGCTGTCGTCTTTCATATGTTGTTATTATTATTATATTTATTCATTTATATCCACCTCGAAAAACGCGTAATAGTGAAGAAACTACAACAACCTCAGCTGCGTCTTTAATTAAATCAACATTTGGGTGAACAGCTGTTGCAAGCCCTCAGAATCAACGGAAGAAAGAGTTCTAAAATAGATGCGATTTAAGCACTTAGGTAACTGGAATTTCTAAAATTATCTAAAAGTTACAAAAAATGAAATTACGGCTGATTTGGGCCTTAGTAAGTAGTATTAACACCTTAGATCGGTAAATAGGTTATAAATTTAGTTAGAAAGAGAAATTGAACATGAAGATTATGAAATTATGTATATTTTATATAAAAATCTTTTTAGTGCACAATTTTCTATTGTTTACACTGACTTTTTTCTTACTATAAACATTGCATTGCTGGAACAATGTTGCTGCTATGGGGGCAAATACATACCGCTCCCATCAAAAACAAGAACAGATGTTGCCACCACATGCATCATGCACCAACATTCCCTGCGCGGTTTTCATTCAGCGTTTTTTTCGGCTTTTTATTGTGCAAACAAAAACAAACGAGATGCCAAAAAGCAGACAAGTGCCCAGATCCGAGATCCGAGTCACATTCCTTTGGCCTTTTGCAGAGCAGCTTGCAGTCTTTACGGCCTTTGTGCTTTTCTGGCTGCCACAACATCCGCCTGCTGCTGCTGTTGACCAACTTTGGAGGAATCTCCCCTCTCTTTCGCCAGCCCCATTTGCCGTCTCATTCGCCCACTTGCCGCAGAAATGCTGCCGGAGAAGAACGACCTTTGGATGATGTTGCTAAAAATAACCAAGCTAGCGAGACGATGTCTCTAATACAGTCCAACTTCTATAACCAATTACTAACGCTTTTACAAGGCATTTAAACTGAAGCCATAGATGGATTATTTATCTATTATATACTTTATTATAATTTAGCTCATCAGTTGGAACTGTTAAATTATATTCTTAAAATCATTTTTTATTAATTTAAATTTAGAAAACAGTCAGTATCCAAATTTATAAATCTTTAGTTTTGGAACAACACGTAACAAATTTTGGAATAAGAAATCACTTTACAAATTTGGAATAAGAAATCACTTTATTGATTTGTTAGAGAATTGAAGATTTCGCATTAAAATTTCCAGTATTTTCCGATTCAACTATTTCCAAATGTTATAGCTTCAATAGGTTTTTGGAAATCATTTAAGAAAGTTCGAGATAGAGAAGTGAGACTGTATTTTCTAGCATCGTCTTGGAAAGGAGCGTGATTCTTGTTGTTCGACTGGAATGCGGTGTTGCAACTTTTACACCCCCACCCCCTTCACTACCTGCGTTATTGTTGTTCTTTCTTGTTGAGCATACCATTGTGAAAATTGTTTTCATTAGCCTGCAGCAACAGCAAAACTGTGGCCTGTGGAAAACGTGTTTGCTCTTTTTCGTAGGGTAAAACTAAAACCGGTTCGGAATTCTTGGGTCCTATGCTGCAGCATAGCTCGAAGACCCGACAAGAAGAAGAGCTTCGAAATAATACGAATCGGGGTCCCAAAGCAAACCAAAACGAACCAAATCGAACCGACAAAGCAGAAAGCAGAAAACAACAATCACGGCGACCGGCGATGGTGGCAACAATAACAAAAAGAGGAATGCCCATACTATTGACAGCTGTGCTGGGCTACCTCTCTCTTTCTCTAGCTCGCTCTCCGTCGCTCTTTTACATGTGTAGTGCAGTAGTTGATACCCTACAAACCAGCATAAAGGATTTCTCAAACACTATCATCACTTACTGTTAGATCGAACCTTCTTTAGAATGAGCTTGACGAGAAAGTAATAATAATTGAATACTATAAAATACAAAGCACCTAAAAGAGACCCTTATTGGTTCAAGAAATTTAAAAAAACGTTTAAATGAATGCAAATGTATATGTAGCCTGTAGAACAGTTTAAACAGCAATAAAAATAAATTCAGATCATTTATAGAAACCTTCATTTACAATCAACAATAGTAAAATATAGAAAAGTATTTTTATATATATCTACATTTTTGAGAGCATTATACATTTTTTAAAACAAAATTTCAGTATCACTCAAGATTGTGTTGGGATAGGTTAGGGTATTGATGAACTATAGTATACCCTGACTTTTGCTTTAGTCCGATGCCAATGCTAACGTGACAACAACAGTGTATTGACTGTGTGTGTGTATTTGTTGCCTCTCTCTTGTCTTTGTTGTTATTTTTATTGTTGTGCAGCGTCGGCGGGTTAAACTAAAATTGAATTGAATGGAATTGTAAATTTATGAATGAATGAATTTTTCAGCGCTTTAGTGAGCGGGCATGTTACTTTGTGTGTGAGTGTTGTGAGTTCGTGTAAAAGTTAATTGATTTTTTATACGGAAAGAAGCCATAAATAATACTCTAGATATTAAAAGAATGGTATTTTTGAAACTTATGTTCAGATTTTTAAAACCAATCTACTTCTATAAAATGTAGGACGCATTCAATGTTTTTAAGTAGAAAATTGTAAATGATCATACAAGTATACCAACTACTAGGGTAAACTTTATTTTAAAATCCTAGTAGAAACTATAGCATGTGGTAAAAAATGTGGTAACTGTCAAAAATAAGAAAACAAAATGTAAAATTACTTTCATGAAGAGGATATAACTCTTAAGTAATAGTTATTGCAAACTTTAAATGTTTACCAGCTTACCAGTTCGTGACTCATTGTAAACTTATTTCATTATCTTGCAGATTACAACTAGAGGATTCAGGGGGCGAGAACTATCACATCGAGTACGCCAGCGAGTCGGCCCATCAGGGCTCTCAGCGTCGCCAGTCGAGCATGAGCGGTACGAATACCTCCAAGGGCGGAGGAGGCGGCGGGGGCGGGGCCTTGAGCGATGGAGACGGTTCGGGAAAACCCCTCGTAGACAGCGAAAAGCGGATGCGCCGGGAAATCGCCAACAGCAACGAACGGAGACGCATGCAGAGCATCAACGCCGGCTTCCAGAGTCTGCGATCACTGCTCCCGAGACACGAGGGCGAAAAATTGAGCAAGGTAAGTTACTATACAATCAAGTTTTTTGTAGGCCTTCTTTAAGACTTTATTAAGGGTATTGACAAAATATTTACGCTATCCAATTTTCAAATACCTACACTTGAAATTATACAGATTCTAGACATTTCCATAAAGCCCTACAATATCATTTAAGCGTTGACAAATTGTTGGCCGCATTTGTTCTGTAACTATATTTTTTAGCTGAAAGAATAGCGTGTGTTAAATATCATAAGGGCACCACCATTATAACATAAAGGATCATAAACTGTATACCAATTGGTTATTATTTATTTACTCAACAATCAGATTTCAATGTAATTGTCTGAGGCTTATATTATTATTACCCATGGTCAGTTTTCGATCGGTCAACGTCTTTTTCTTTGTTTGTTGTAAAGCCTGATGATCGACATCAACACCATTATGGGCAGCAATCCTTTGGCCTTCTCCGCCTCAATCTTACCATTTTGTTTTTGTGTTAACGCTTGGCACGCAACTCCAATTACATTTAACCAGAGTCCGAACCCGAACCGTTTCGGTCTGGACCTCAATTACAGGGCCATCCACAAACACATGTTGACAAATTGCCGACGACTCCTGGCGAAAAAGACGCAGGAGAAAAACAAACACACACGCCACTTGGTTAAAAGCTTCCAGCTGAGAAATAAAACGTGAATGGAAATAGGGTTTAGGGGGGCGAATAAAGTGGGGACTAAAGCTTTGAAGGTCCCTTTTCGACATTTAGTCGTCAGGGCAACCGTGTTGGCGTCGTCGTCGTAGTCGTCTCAATTGTTTGTTGTTGGAGGCGTTTCGCTTTTTCTTTTTACACCGCCGCATATATATTTTGTTCAGCGTTTTTCCTTTTTTTTTTTTTAGCATACACATGTTCTCATATTTATGGGATTTTCACCTTGAGACGACATCGATTTGTTGTGACGCGTGTGTTGTAAAAGGTCGGCGAAACGAAAAGCCTTGTTTGTGGGGGAGGATATTAGCCAGTCTTAAAAACAATTTGCGCAGGACAAAGTAAAAGTACTTTGCAGATATTTCCTTAAAATTTGTACCTTTCAATTAAGTTTGTAGACAGTTGTAAATCAACGAAATGGCCTGAACAAAAAAATTATTTCTTTTGTAATTTATGGGTCTGCGGAAAAGTAAAAAAAAATCATGACTGAAGAAATGAACTTTTAAAAGCAATTATATATATTTAATAGTATAGAAAACACGAAGAAGTTTTCTGAAAAAGTTCAGTAAATTAGAATACTCCTAAAAACCCTAAACTTTTCCAATTTGAATTGTAATTTAATAATTTATATTAAAAACTGATTAAAATTAAAGTACTGCTTATTTTTTTTATCTTCATAGCTAAAAAAACGACTCCTTTTCATATTGTCATTTTAACAGAGTTAAAAACTGAAAACTGAACTTCGCAACACTTAAGTTTCAGGTTTACTAAGGTTTTTGAAACCAAGCAGCTATGCTTGTGCCAATTTTGGTTTCCCAATTTTTGAAGGCTTTTTTTATAGCCCTTTTATTTATTGCAAATTGAAAAGTGCCAACTAAAACTACAAGACCCCATAAATCAGTCTTACCCAAAAAAAGGAAGGCGATAACAGGCAAACAAAAGAGAAACAATGTAGTAAGATGGAGCATAAACAAGCAAGGCAAGAAAAGGCAGCCAGAGAGTAATGCAAACAGGAAGAAAAGCGCGTAAATATTAAAAAATACTACATCAGGGAAAAAAGAAAAGGGTATAAACAACAACAACAACGACGGCGCCTGATGAATGACATAATGGGCGTAGACGGAGAGGGAGTGACAGAGAAAGACACAGACCGGGAAAGGGGAGAAAGGAGGTGGTGGGCGGACTAGTGCAAGTAGTTTATGGATTTTTATTCTATGCACTTCGTCAACGTCGACGATTACAAACGATACCACCACGCCTGTCACACATAGTAAACATTGTAGTAAATACGTGTGAAAGAGAAGGACCTATAGCCAGAGAAAGAGAAGGGGCTAGAACTGTGGTGAAAGAGCGTGGGAGAGAGTAACTGGCAAAAGAGGAACCTCCGACAGCTTGACCAAGTTTTTCACACCCGCTTTATAAACGGTTAAGCCTTTAAGCCAGTTTCGACTAAGTGCCGGCTAAAAATAGTTTTAGCTCCTCATAAATTTTACTAATAGAAAAAAGGTTGTAATGAAGAGGAGGAAAGTTCTAAAATCTAAAGAAATTTAGCTTGAAAATTATTAGTGAGAATTATCTAAACCTGTGAATTTAAAAATCGCTAGACGGTTTTACATAGTTTCTAAACTTACATAGTTTCTAAACTTTGCAGTTTTACCTTACATATGTGACTCGCCGATGTTTATATAGGGGAAATTAAAAAAAATTATCAAGCCTCTCATCTCTTTTCAAGGATTCATCTAGAGTAGGAATGTTGAAGTATCTTTTGCTTCTTTCAAAATGTTTTACATTGACAAATAAAATTTAATGGTCATATTTAGTAAATTCAAATTATATGAGAGTTTCGACTGTATTTATATAAAAGATAAAATACATATAATTTTTATGGTTAAAATGGTAGTCATAAACATTTATATAGTAGAAATGGTTAAGGGATTGTACCCAAAAGGTGCTTTTACATGTAACATGACCTAAAACATGATGAAAGCAGATCTTACGCACACAATACATAAACACTGCAACACATAGGCAAGTTTAACACACACATAGATACTAGGAAAAGTGCGAAATAAAATTGCAATGCAGACTGAGGCTGGCTGACAGAAAGCTGCGACGACTGAAATCATTCACAGTTAGGCCCGCACGCACATACCGGTGCATGGCAAAAACACAGACACACATACAGCCACGCCCTAAGGTGGGTGGCATAAAAGAGGTGGAAAAGGGGGGCGTGGAAATGCGAGTGCAAGTTTGTGATTTACTCGCTGCTCTCCTCTCTCTATTTTGCACTCGCCACTCCGCACTCTTCTCGTCCACTGTTTGGCGGGTCATTGAACTTACTCACTAGGTGGCGCTAAAGTGCAAATGTGCAATTGCGTACAGTTGCCCCCATTGTTGTTTTTGTGATTACTTGAAATGCACAGAGCAAAAAAGAGCAGAGCTTTCTATCATAAATTGGAAAAATAAAAATATCGATTTTTAGTTTGGAAATTATATAATAGTTGTGACTCGAAACGTCTTTTTCTCGAACAGAAGATTTTATAGTTACTAGAAACCTATTTTTTAACTCACTAGTAGAAATAATTAAAAATCATTAAATTTAGAGGGAATAGTAAAAAAATCTCAACTGCAATTACAGGATGCTGATAATAGACTTGTTACTGAGAAGTTTCCAGAGAAAAACTACTTCTATCATCAGTTTAAATCCACTTACGCATGCCACGTTTTATTTAATTTTAAAATTCCTTACACATACAATTTAATGAAATTTGTATAACAAAGCTTTTGTAAAATTTCGCACCGTGTGAAGATTTAGGCGCGCCCCAGCTGAACTAACCTACATTACAGTGGATGGGGGTGTTCACTGTACACAGTGCACACCTTGCCCAGACAGCGAACAGAGAGAAAACTGGAAAATTTTCTATATACAATACAATATCGATTCCTTTCCAGTGGCCAACGAAGAAAAGCGCGCGCCAAACGCAAAGTTACCCCCGAAAAGAGATGGGAAACAACGCTATGGTATGGGATTTGGGGGATACACGATACAGGATAGGATATGGGATAGGACAACGGCGCCAACATTTTGTTCGCCTTCTGCTGATGGGAGCCCACACCACTCGCTCAGCTGTGGAAAGTTGTGTGCGTGGGTGAGTGGGTTGGGTTTTCCGGGAGGTTTACGGTTCCCGAGAGTGTTTCATTGCCATTTCATTTCCAACGTTTTGGCGTCTGTCTGGCGCCTGGTAGGCAGCTGTTTTACAGCCGATGACGATTCCGAGTGGAACGATGGGTGGTGGAGCCAGCCCCTACATTAAAATGTCCTAGAAAACCCCCATCTACCTATAATAAAATGGGCATTCAGCCTGGCAGCTGCGCATTGCGACTGTTGGCCCGGCAAAATCCGTTTTTCTTTTTCCCTGATAGCCTTTGAATTTCTTGGACACAGGGGCGTGGCACCGGGCGGGGGTGGTGGTTGGAGGTCGTTGGGTGTGTGGTACAGTGCACTAGGCCATTGGCATCTCGCAACCTTTTGCAGATGCAGAAGCAAAAAGCGGGATTGCAGCTGTAGATTTTGATGCGATGTCAGCTTCTGGGCCACGCCAACACCCAGTTCGGGAAAAAGTACATTAAGTCCAGTACATAAACAGAGCACATATGTATAAGATATATAGAGTTATATAACCCCATCATTTATATAGCGCATTGTGTGTAGCCTGTACTTTCAATTGCATTTCGTAGTAAAAATGTTTGCACTACTAGTCCACACAAAAATGCAAAAGGAAAATCAGGTGTATAGTAGTCGCATATAGAAGCAGCGCAGCCACAAAATGCAATTAATGGAGACACGCAGTTTGTAATTTAAATTTTTTGTATGCTTCAGTTGCTAATTTAATTAAAAACCACAATTATTACCCAATTACTTCAGGTATTTCGTTGTGCTCGTAAAATACGATGAATTATCTCCGGATTATGTTTTAGTCATTTTATAAAAATCAAAGGCAAGTCAGGCAAATATTTCTTGTTTATATACAAAATATCAATCAAAGTTATTTACTCATTTTACTTTAAATGGTTTATTTCCGCATTTAGTAAAAATTTAGAAAGGTTTTGATTAATTCTAAATATTTGTAACTAAACTTAAGACTTAAGTCTTTTCTGATCTCACTGCTTTTTGAATGAGGTGCATTGAAAGCATTCTAGAGATGAAGCAATTGTCGACCGTTAGTCAAAGCGATAACTTATCGATAGTTGGCACTCGACACTTTCGCGGAAGAATGCAGCAGCAAAGAGAAAGCAGTGACAAAAGCAACAACCTAGC